AGAAGTCTTCCATTATCCCATATCTCAACAGTAATTCCAGATCACATTTCTAGGTCTTCCGCAGGTATATTCTGTTGCGGCAACCGGTCCTCTTCCTTATTAGAGATAAAGTTATGTAATCATTTGGATTCGCCACATCAATAACATTGACGAAGATCTGCCTCTAAACCAATTACACCTATCGTGGTGAAGGCTCGCGGACCTACTTGTGGACCATGAACTCAAGTAATCGAGCACACAAGCTTCCGGTGTCTCAGCCCTTGCAATGATTCCAGTAGAGTCATCTTCCATTTGAAATGACAATAAGCAAATACCTATTTGATTTCCTCTTTGCATTTCTGCAATAGACTAAGTTGCTGTATAGATATTGAGCTTCTCTCCTGTACCAACCTTTACCATCCCGGACTTGCTTTGCTTATCATCGATATACCTAGTAGTATAGATCCATCAAGTTCATAACAGAGGCTCCTATACCAATGGTCATCCTGATGAGGATAAACCTCAACATCCAGGTCTACAGCTTCATCGATAAGAGTTCTTTTATACGAGAAGAGTTGAGAACCCTCTGTTTTTGTAAGCTCCCATATCACTTCATCTGCAATAACTGTTGTATACCACGAGAACTTGGTTATGCTATGCCTGTAGTGAACGCGATAATCCTGGTGCTACTTACTTATAACATTTAGATAGTGGTTCGAATTTCGACAATACCCTCTATGCCCGACAACATATACGGCAGGTGTAGTACTAGAGTAATGAACTCGTGGTGTCGACGATCCCTGACCTGGTTGCAGCACCATGCTTGGTGTAAGTCTTACTGTAAGAATATGGGTGGGCGAACCGTACTTGAACAAGCTGTGGTGGAATTACCTTCAAGAAATCCGGTTCAGTACCATCTGATTCTGTTTGAGCTTACCGACTTATGCACACTGTTTCAGTTACTATACGGGCTAACTCAAGAACTACTACAGAGAAGTAAGAATGATTAATTGAATTCAGCAAGCTGACAGATATCCGAAATCTCAGTGACGGTTATACTCATTGGTACAGTTGATTATATAAAACAATAGATAATTCAGTTTCAAGGGCTTTTCGTCCGTAGGTATTTCGATTCAGTATCACGAGGAGTGTTTCCTGACTTTGATTTTCTTTATAATTTCTTACTGCATAGTTAATTGGCTACATAAGCATACTCACTCATAGACTAAGTTCTGCAGTATCATGGATCTCGAGATCAGATATGTTTTGTTTTGTTCTGCGGCTGGAATATGTGACTTCCCTGAGTCTTTGACGCCGGTTGCTTTTGATGATGAGTACCATGAGCCAGAATCTGCCCTTGCTACTCGCCTGTGGGGAGTTTCATTCAATATTGTGGGAGAAGTCTGTCTTCTTGTTCGTCTACTGGGCCCCGATTCACCCTTACCATCCTGCATATCTATTTTAAGTTTCTTTAAAACCGCGTCCAGTTTGGGCAGAAGGTAGTTGGGTTTTGTATTAGGCTCGTTGTGTTTTGAACTTCTCTCAGAAGTTTTCGGTCTGAACAGACTGGGTATCTCAGGTTTCTGAATGTGGTCTCTGCTATCTTTCGTTCGTATAACTTTTCCAGGTTTTGTTTTAGGACGAGATTGGTTTGATTCTTCAATCTTTGAATGAACACGTTTGATTCCAGGAGAACAAGATTCCACTGAGTCAATTTTACCAGCATTATCGGAGTCGGAATGCAGCATGCTTTCTTCACTTTCACTTAAGACAACAATAACTTCTTTAATGTTACTGGAATCTGGATGTACTGCTGATATACGACCTGCCTTGGAAGTTCCTCTATTGTTGCTAAGTAAATGGGAAGAGGAACCCGAGGCTAAGCTTTGTAATTTTGAACTGTACGTGGTATTTCGACGTCTTCCCCTCCTTCTGAGGTTTCGATTTCGTGCTAGTTGGCCTTGGGCAGGGATAGATACAGTGTCTGATGCCATTGTCTTGCCATTCCCCCTATCACTGGGAGAAGATGAAGGCACTCGATGCTTCTTTTCCGGAACGATTATAGCATCTGTTCTCTGAGGTTTGAAAAGTGGTCCAGAACAAGATACGTGTTCTTTGGGCTGTGGCAACACTGTAGTTGTATTTGTCTTTGATTGGTTAACAGAATCATTGGTATCGCTATTATCAAGACATTCATTACCTCGCTTGCGACTACCAGTAACAATTGATGCATTCCGAAGCAATCGTGGGCTCTGTGTACCTTGCAAACGTCCCTTAGATACCCATAAGCTAGTGCTTCTAAATTGATTTCTCACAGTAACTCTTAAAATATCACCTGACTTAAAGACATCAGAAAGACAATAATCAGGATCTAAATCGCAAAGATCTGTATCTTGAAATCCTTCAATCTCGAGTTTATCTTCATTTGGATATAATTTTTTGTATCTAGTTTCAACTTGTTGTTTAACTTCTTTAAGATCAATTGCTGGATCTTCTAAATGTAAAAAACGTTTACAAAGTGATCGATCTATCTGGCTAGTTGGTTTATTTGCATAATTCAATGGAATAATGAGTATCTCTAACTTTATTTTGGTCATCTTGTTGTGTGGGGGAGCTACTTGCTATTAGTTTACTTTTCACTCACTTGTCTCTCCCTTCTCAGATCACATTGTAAACCTTTTTCTGAGGGGTCGTTCAAGAATGAGAATTATCAGGGGAAAAAACCAGGAATGTGCAAGCGATTACTTTTTGTGCGAGTAATCATCACTAAAGTATATGCAAAAAAAACGCTAACGGGCCCTTCAGGCGATATTGAATCTGCTGTCGAATTGCTGATCCATAGTACAGCACAAAATACTCTTATGCTTGTATTCATATATTATATATATAGATCTAACGGAGCTATTATTGCTATAACTGATTTTCTTGTTTCTCTGATTAATCAACATTTCCTACACAAGCTCAAATTATCTACAAATTTACAAACTGGACTTGTTTTCAAAATAAGAGAAATGTTGGAATTACGTTTTTCAGAAAGACCACAATCTCGTACAAATGCTGTCCAGCTATTTGTTTCCATGGTACAGTACTAAATCTCAAATTCGTACAACAATATATACAAGTCTCTCCTGATATACCTATGAAAAGATGGGCACACAAAACTACTATGATCAATTATTTTTTTTCGTTTGATCCAAATGGCACGTGATATTGGTGTTATTTTTTAAAGAAAAGAATAAAACGCGAATGTCGTGGGAATGATCCCTCCACCAATTTCAGAGAAAAAAATTTAGTGCTACAATATGCAGTCAGAAATTCTATTCAGTATTTTAAGTTAAATGACAGACATTTATTTTTTGCTTCTCTCATAATTCATAAAGCTTACCACTTGAAGTTGCAAACTTTACCATATCAAATTTAATTAAAAAACGACCATCTAAATTCAAGCAACACTTCCTCCCACCCCAATATGATTTGGGAAATGAAAGCTTTGTTTGTAAACTGATTGTATCAAACAAAATCTTCAATCGTACAATTATTAATTTTTGAACTGGCAATGCCATTATTTAATTTAAATTATCCAAGGATTACCAACATTAGATGTAGCCATCAACTATCAATATGTAGAATGTTGATAGAGGAGCAATGTAATTTAAGATCACTAGCTTCAGTCAAAGGGAAATGACTATAAACTATCAACAAAGAACTAGCCCAACCCATACTCGACATCTTCATTGAATTATTGTCATGGACTGGAAACAATTTAAATGTGAATTCCAAAATACGGAATGTCAGTTATATTAATAGTTTGTTGAACATTAGCCTTTGCAGGTTCATTGCCAGACTCAAATATTTGCTTAACCCATGCCAAATCGAATGACCACCAATATTCCTAAATAAATTCAATGATTAAACTAGACCAAATTACCAAATACAGTTCACAATAAATGGAGTTGGATAATTTTTAGAATTATTAAACATCCAGCTGAAGAAGGTCGTCAAGCAGATACAAAGCCATCGAAAAATCGTTAGTGTTGCCTTGAGAGGATATTCAAACTGATCTATAGTATAACACAGAGTACTTTCATGCTTATATTCATAGGTTACATCGATATATATTGATCATACGGAGCTATTAATGCAATAACTGATTTGCTTGTTTCTCCGATTAATCAAAAGTTACCTATACGAGCTCAAGTTATCTACAAATCAACAAAATGGACTAATCTTCAAAATGTGAGAACTGTTAGAACTGTCTATTTAGAAAGATCGGAATTCCCGAAATGGAATACAAATACTGTCTAGTGATTTGTTTCGATATTATAAGTAGATCACTAATTTCTAGAATAATATATTCACTTAAGTCTTTCCTGATAGAGCTACGAAAGGATGGGTATACATAATTACGTTTTCAGCTTAATCCGTTCTTTTATTCGTGTGTATGAGATGTTGGTCGTCCAATTGTTAAAACAGAAGTGAAGAACTTTCACTATGAGAACGAGGAATGAAAAAGAGAAGTATTTTATAATCCCCATCGACCAGTTGACATCTTGTGGTCACCAGAAGATCATATCACATTTATTGCCAACAGAGTACTACAGAAGGAAACGGGCTAATATCAGATATACATTATATCATGCATTTACCAACTTGCAGAAGTATTAAGGAATACTTAAGTTGATGAACTGTCAGTGCCAGAAGAGAAATAAGTTACTACACGACACCATACAATTGGCGCAGATGCGTTCTAAGATATTATAGAATCTACTACGACAGAATGGAATAGGACTTATGTACCAAATGAGAACAAGCTTACATTATTATCCACTATAGAGAAGAATAAGTTCTTACATATTTCTAATGCAAATCAATATCTATTTATTTGTAAATTTTCTGTTTAACAGAAGTAAGTAAGATATAAAATTCTAAACTACGTAATATAATCTATTTATAATCCAGTCCAAGTGAAGGTCTTCTTGGTTGAGAATTCACCTTGAACAGAAATGTTGTCAGAACTATTACCAACTAATACCTTGTAAGTATCCTTATCGGATTGCCACTTGTTAACAAAACTATTCCAATAAGAGGTAGCCTCCTTAATAGAAACACTCAATTCAACTGTCTTGGTTTCACCAGCCTTTAAGAATACCTTACCAAAATCCTTTAATTCCTTGATTGGTCTGGTAATACTTGGGTTAACTTGTTCAATATATAATTGAACAACTTCAGCACCATCAACCTTACCAGTATTAGTAACATCAACCTTGACATCTATCGAACTTTCACTTGTGGTAAGTCTGAAATTCTTGATATCAAATGTAGAATAAGATAAACCATAACCAAATGGATATAAGACATCCCTACCAACCTTTTCATAATATCTGTAACCAACAAAGACATCTTCACCGTACCAAACTTGTCCCTTGTTGGAGCCAAAGTTAATATAAGAAGGAGCATCTTGTAATTTCTTTGGGAAGGTCATAGATAATTTACCTGATGGGTTATAATCACCAAATAACACATCAGCAATAGTGTTACCTAATTCATTACCACCAAACCAAGCTTGCACCAAAGCCTTAGACTTGTCAGCCCATGGCATAGTAACTGGAGAACCAGATTGGTTGACAATAATAACATTTGAATTAACCTTGATAACTTCTTCAACCAATTTATTAGTATAACCCGGGATATCCATATCTGGACGATCGAAACCCTCAGATTCCCATTCTTTAGATAAACCAACAACGAGAACAACCTTGTCAGCAGATTGAGCAACTTTAACTGCCTTGGCAATTTCATCTTCGGGATTAGACTTAATACGAACACCAAAGTAAACTCCACCAGGTTCAGATGCATCAATTTGAAGAGTATAAGTAGGAGAAGTACCAAATTCAACCTTGATATGATATTTCTTACCCTTTTCTAAATGAATAGAACCAAGTTCTTCTCTGGTACCCATACCTAACAAGAAAGCATCACCCTTGACTTGTTTCGTTTTGTTGTCAACAACCAACTTACCGTCAACAAAGACTTGGGCAGTACCGAAGGTTGAACAACCAAATTCATATTCAGCGGTTTCGTCAGGAGTGAAGTAACCAGTTAAATCAGCATAGTATAATAATTGTTCTGGATCTAAATTGTCACTCTTGAAATCCATGAGGAATAATCTTGACGTGTCTAAAGATAATTCTTCAAATGGTTGACGGTTTGGGGTACCAGGAGCAGAGTGGAAGAATTTAGCAGTAATTAAACCTTTTTCACCTTGTTCATTTTCTAAAACAGCAGCACTATCTGGAACATTCTTATCCAAGAAAGCACCAAGAGCATAAGTTAAACTAACAGTATTACCACCTTCTTTAACTTTTTGTTCAATTCCTCCATATGGAGTAGTCCTGTAGGTTGTAGTCATAGAAGCAGAACCACCACCGGAGTCTTGGGAAGCCTTAGCATTTGGACCTATAACAGCAATAGTTTCAGTAGAAGTCTTAGATAATGGCAAGATACTATCCTCATTCTTTAATAAGACAATAGATTCATCACCAATCTTTCTTAACAATTGTCTAGCTTCTGGCGAATCATTAGCGGATTCAATAACATCGTCTGGAATACCTGCTTTCAAACCGGCGTTAATTAATTTCAAAACTTGTCTAACGTTTTCGTCAATGACATCTGGATGAATCAAGTTAGCTTGAACTTTATGAACAGTTTGAAGAACTTGTCTAAATCTAGTTGGACCTGGCATTTCCAAGTTTAAACCAGCATCAAGAGAGTCCTTGGTAGAATAACTACCATACCAATCAGACATAGTACATCCATCCCAATTCCATTCCTTTCTTAAGATGTTTTGAAGGATTTCCTTTGATTCAGAAACATGAACACCATTAACCTTGTTATAAGCAGTCATAATAGCACCTGGGTTAGAATCTCTAAGAGCAATTTGGAATGGTTTCAAGTAGATTTCTCTTAATGATCTATCAGTTAAACGAGTATCAACACAACGTCTTTCTTCTTCTTGATCATTACAAACAAAATGTTTTATACAAGCAACAACATTTTCGTTGGCAATACCCTTACAAACACAAGCAGCAGCCACACCACCTAATAATGGATCTTCAGAATAAGACTCAAATGATCTACCACCAAGAGGAGAACGAATGATGTTTGTAGTTGGACCTAAGATAACGTGAGCACCTTTCATCTTACTTTCCTTACCCATTAATTCACCACCTTCTACCAATAAATCTTTATTGAAAGTAGCAGCTAAACCGGTACCACATGGGAAACAATTGGATGGAATACTGTTGAAGAATTTGGTACCTCTAATACCATTTGGACCATCTGAAACTCTGATACTCTTAATGTTTAAACGTTCAATAGGAACAGTATGCCAGAAATCTTTACCAGCTAATAAGGAAATTTTTTCTTCAAGGGTTAACTCTTCAAGCAAATATTCAATATCTAATTGTTGAGGTTTACCATTTGATTGTTGTTGTTGTTTACTTAAAGTAACATCTGTATCTGGAAGTTGCATGTTGGGCTTTTTCTTTTTGTTAAGGTTACTTGTTGTGTGGACAAGAAGAGAAAGGGAAATAAGAAAGTATGGTTATTTAAACCCTTATTTATAATTGGGAAATCCAATGGCATCTAACGGTCAATCAACAATAAACGGGGGGGGGGGGGGGGGGCAAATAGGTGGCCTCCCAAGATGTCTGGATAAATTTCCCAAAAACGAAAGCATTCCCTCCTGTGGGGAAGAACAATGACAAAATCTGAATTTCAGCTTCCCGGAACCCGTGCATCCCATACCACAATCAACCCCAAATCATCGTCATTGGTTTATGAAAGCCTTGTTGCAAGTAACAGCGTAGGTGCGCAGGTGTTGACTGAATCTTCTTAAGTAAGAAAAACCAATCCATCGCTTAATTGGGAACCGATCCCGAAGATGTTTGCACCCCTCTTTCTTCCTTTTCATGGAAAGCCATTACTAGGAAATCACTACGTATGCAAACCTACAAAAAAAAAACAAATCACTAGATAATTTTATTCGCATTAATTGTTTTTCCGTTGATACAATATTTTTTTGAGTTGAAGAATTTATAGTTTTCTCAATAATTGAATGAATTGTTCCGCAATACAGTTACGGGTAATAAAGTTCGAAAAGATATTAGACAAGTGATATAAGTAGAAATGGTTCCTCGTTGTATAAGATGGGAATGAACCCAAGATTGTACTGCGAGATTTCCTTTTGTCTAAATTTTTCCACACTTCTTAGCCCCATCTAGATCTCACAGCTTAAAAAATAATAGTGGGAAGAAAATCGCTGGCATTTAGAATTATTTTTTATGTCCAAATGTGAATAATTAAATTCTTTTTTATTGTCGGAAAAAATGAGTTACATTAGACTGGAAAAATAAATTGAGAAAAATTTAACTTTTGGTGATTTCGTTGAAAAATTGACTATGCTGGTTTTATTGGTTATTACAACGTAATCTATATCGAAAGAGTAATTACTACTGAAAACAAAATATTTAGATATCATCTCTCATATATTACCTATATCCTTAGCGACGAATTTATCATCAGCATTGGTCAGAAGCATACCTAGAATTTGTCCAAGAAGAAGCCAAAGGGGATGTACCGTTATGCTTTTAAAATCGGAATTATCATTGCACCGGAGATATTGTTCGCCCATTTTCCTAAGCCACAAATCAAAGAAAAAGAAATATTTGGTGGGGGGGGGGGGGACCAGGGCAGGCGAGACTTCCCAATTAGTTAATGAAACCGCTATCCGGGTTTATCTCAGCCATACCTTTGTTCGATTTGTAGAAAATTCGATTTGTAGAAAATTCGATTTGCAGAAAATACTTCCAGAGTGATCTTTAATTTTAATCTGTTAGAATCTAAGAGGGCGGTTTCCTGAATCATAACACGTGTGCATGGAATCTCTATTAACAAGTGATTGTTAGCCTCGACCTGATTTGAAGTAACAAAGGATAGATAAACCCCGAGGTACAAGGCTATATCCTTTTCGGTATCATCGATTGTTCTGTTCAGTGTGGTGAAACTTTTTCAATTTATTATAGAAGAGAAGGCTTTGGGATTACAAAGCCATGGTTGAAAGTCTGTAGGTTTTCGATGTTTGCATTGTGCTACCATGATTCAAAGTCTAGAACGAGCCTACTCCACTTTCATCCCTCAATTCACATGTTTATTATCTTTGTTGGGGAACTTCGGTCTGGAGAGCCTATTCTCTATTTGAACGTGTAACCAACTGTAAATCTTGCGAGGGTCTCTCTTTTTGGATTACAAGACTTGAATAACGGATAAGTTTCCCATTTAGGACATCACTCCGTTTTTTCATCGTAACTTTAGATATTTGTGTTCTTTTGCGTTGTCTGTTTCAAGTAAGCGAATTCCAAGTCACTTGTCCAATTTGCTTTATCTGTTGTCTCCGCTTTCTTTCTCTTTGCATGATGTATAAATTAGTCTTCAATAATAGCTTCCTCAAGATCACAAGTTTGTGTTTCGTAACAAAATCCCATCCCAACGCGTATGCAAAAAGCTTCCAGTTAAGACTATTGCAGGATGACTCGACCTAATTTGCAAAAGTTATATTTTCTTTTTAGCAGGTTAAAAGCAGAGAACTAATAGTGTACAAAATGTCCAAAAGGTGACGGATCCCGGATATGAGGGCTAATATGGGCCGGCCGAGGTGAATTCGATGTGAAAAAAAAAAAAAATATCGAGATATTATTTACAGCTTTTGCCTTTGTTTGCGGATGAATTATGTTCCCCCAAGAGTTTTTGTTTGCGGGGTTGTTCGTTAGCAACTAGTGGCTGCAAAAGAAAAGAGTTTGAGATGTGGGGCGATTTTTTGGAACAATGGCTCGGAAAAATTAATAACTCTTTCCGAATCTAAAGTTTTTTTTGGCACCTTCGATTTATAATTGGTTTTCAAAGCTTCCAAAAGATGTCCTTCAATCTTGTATGCCGTGGTTTTGGAAAAAAAAAACGATGAGTTATATGTTACATCTAAAGGTGTCAAATTATTAATAATAATCAACAAATGGAGTTTTAAAGAAGACCACTTTCTAAAAAAAATATTCCTTTTTGTTTGTATTTTTGATGATATGATTATTTTTTATGCATGTAATCTAAAAGTTTTATTGTAATTATTATTCTATTTTTTAAGCTGTCAAACAAAATCAACTTTTACACTTTTTCTGTGATTTCTTTTAATAATAAATGCAAATTACCATAAATCTACATCCATCGAAAGATTCTTTCTTATTCAAACCAATGGAATATAAATGGTAGTTGAAATCTTCCATTAATTTCCCATTTTTTTGTTTCTCTCCTTTCTTTATCATTATCATTTCTTTCAATCTATATCTCCAATATCGCTGGTCGGTAACTTAATATTTTGAGAAAGGATTAATTCGCAACAACAATTACATTATGTCTGATTTAAAAGAACAGCAAATCATTGATCAAGACTCTGTCAGTGATCAAATTGAACTCCAAGGTCACATCTTAGAAAAGGGAGACGTTGATGAATACCTTTACTTGGATAAGCCGTGGTACAAGTACAAGCATTTCCTTATTTTACATTTTTACATTTTCATTATCACTTTAACTTCTACCAACAACGGTTATGATGGTTCTATGTTGAATGGTTTGCAAATTTTAGATAACTGGCAGGAAGCTATGGGTAACCCTCAAGGAGCTGTCTTAGGTGCTTTAGCTAACGGAAATACTTTTGGTGGTATTATTTCTTTTGTTTTTGCTTCTTGGTTTTCTGATAAGTTCGGTAGAAAGACTTCTATCTACGTTGGTCAATCTTTCACTATCTTAGGTGCTATTTTACAAGGTGTTTCCACTAACTATACTTTCTTCATGTGCGCTAGAATTATCTTAGGTATGGGTTTCGGTCTTTCTACGGTTTCTTCCCCATCTTTGATTTCCGAATTATCTTATCCAAAGTTCAGAGATACCTGTACTGCCTTATATAACTCGTTCTGGTATTTCGGTGCTATTATTGCTGCTTGGGTTACTTTCGGAACTCAACCAATTCCAAGTTCTTATGCTTGGAGAATCCCCTCTTACTTACAAGGTGCTTTACCAGTTGTTCAAGTCTTGTTTTTCTGGTTGATTCCCGAATCCCCAAGATACTTAATCTCCAAGGGTAAGGATGCCAAGGCTAGAGGAATCTTAATGAAATACCACTGTGGTAACGATGGAAGTGAACAAGCACACAAATTAGTTGAATTTGAAGTTAAGGAAATAAAGGCTGCTTTAGAATTAGAACAAGTTTGTGCTAGCTCTTCTTACTTTGACTTTGTTAAGATTCCAACTTACAGAAAAAGATTATTCTTATTGATTTTCACCGGTGTTATTATGCAATTATCCGGTAATGGTTTAGTTTCCTACTATTTCACTAAGGTTTTAGATACCATTGGTATTACTGACCCAAAGAGACAATTAGAAATTAACGGTTGTTTGATGATCTATAACTTGGTTATCTCTTGGATTGCTGCTTCCATCTGTCAATACTTCAGAAGAAGAACTTTATTCTTAATCTGTATCTCCGGTATGTTGGTATCCTATGTAGTCTGGACTATCTTATCTGCCAAATTCGCTTTAGGTGGTTTCAAAGACACTGGTTTAGCTAACGGAGTCTTAGCTATGATCTTCCTTTTCTATTTTGCTTACGATTTAGGTGCTAATGGTTTACCAGTCTTATATGTTACTGAAATCTTACCATACTCCCATAGAGCTAAGGGTCTTAATATTTTCTTCCTTGCCAACAACGTTATTGTACTTTACAATGGTTTCGTTAACCCAATTGCTATGGATGCTATTGAATGGAAGTACTACATTGTCTTCTGTTGTGTCTTAGCTGTTGAATTGGTCTTAGTTTACTTATTCTACGTTGAGACCTCTGGTTATACCTTAGAAGAAGTTGCTAAGGCTTTCGGTGATGATCCAGAAACTTCGTTAACCCATCTTACTTCTGCTCCAGAAAAGATGGTTGTTGAATATGTTGAACACAGCACTGATAAATTAGTTTAGAGAGATTGATTATTTTAATTCATTATGTGTTAGTTGTGGAGTGGAAAATTCTAGTATGGAGGAAACTTTTCCTATCCTGTTTCGTCGAACCATTTTATTAAAATGAATTTATAGTTTATTTGTATATCTACAGGTAGAAAAATAAGGGGTCTTGATAGAAATAATGCATATCATATATTATAAAATATCTTCTAAAGAAGAAGCTTCGGTAGCAGCTTACATCTAGAGTATACCTAGTCATGATTGAATATGAATCTATACTTTTCTCTATAATTATTGGCAGAAACACCACCTATGAATGTTCGAATATTAAATTCTTCTTTAACTTCAACCGATCACTTAATAGTCCAGTTTAGTACATCATCTCTACTTCTAAACAAATATCATCCACTGGTTCCTTTTGATTTGACCTTATTGTATTAGAAATTTCAATTGTTCAATTTCTTTATACTTTTTGTGCTGCTTTTGAATCATCATTGCCAATTTCGATATGCTCTATATTCGATGTATTTGATTGTGGTGATATAATATTATCTTCTGCTTTGTAATAGGAATAATGCACTTAAATTAAATCGATAATATGGATAAAATTCCCAAGTTGGTGGATGCAATTAAATCATCATTTTTTGGAAATTTTGTGAATCAATCAATTGATTCCAGAATGTTCTCCATTCTATCGTATGGCTTCCGCTTCGTCTCAATCGGTCGTTGCAATTTAGTTCCAATTCTAGTGATTTCTTCTCCTTCAGCTCCACCCACCAAATATAGCATGGGTTTTTTATGATTATTCTTCAAAGATTGATGAACTTCTGTTTAGTGCAAGATAGGCAACTTCTTAACGAACTTCTCAATACTCTAATTATATTAACATTTGTAGATGGATTAATAGTGAAAGTTGCTTTATCTGTATTTGAAATAAAAGATTGCCTAAGTGATTGAAATTGGTCAACTCACTAACCAATTATAATAATTCATCAGCGGGGTACTGTAAAATTATCACAATGATTCGACTTGGGATGCTAAAGGATTCTTCTAGTGCTGAATGATTGTTGTTGTAGAGATTTGTACCCTAACAAGAAATGAATTGGAGGTGGAATTCAAAAAATAAAAATCTGGAAAGGAAAAATGAAGTTCGATTTTAAAAAATGAAATTATAATTAATTCATTTATAGATCATTTAATCACTAATGCCTACAACCATCTATCAGTACTTGAATGTTTTTAGCAAAGCCAAAACAGGAAGCCTGCTTAATATTTCAAAACCTATAGATGCAGAACGAATTACGATTTGAGAGAGTTTTAAAGGATGAGCTCAGTTATTGAACTTATATAGACGTCTATCCAATTCAATTCCCTTCAATTAATTTGAATTGAAAGTACGCAAACTTTAAGCGCTGTTGTCACAAGCCATCACATCATCTTCGTCTTGGAAATTAGATAGTAAGATTGCCTTGCTTTGTGAAACATGCACAATTACTGTTAATGAAAGACTTGACTTTTTTGTGCCCTGCAAGAAATGATTGAAATCTGCAAATTTATGAAAATCTTACCCTACAGCTAGATTGATTAATCCCTCCAATCAAATTTTATTTGACCAATTCATTATCATGACAAATTGGATAGTATGATATTTATGTATAATTTCAAGATATACTCAAATCCGAATAACCAAGCCAGATTGAATCTTCATACTTTGTAATATTACATAATTACGTCAGTTGGTGCGAATACTCTTAAATGTTGCAAATTCTTAAACAGTAAAGAGACGCAACGTCAATTGGTGGATATATTTCACATAGGAACACCCAAGTTATTGGAAGTTTCAAGTACGTACTGTTGATTTCGAACACCTCCTTAATTTGCTTCATTTTGATAACAAACTCACGGTTTTGTTTTGTATCTTTGCTCTGGAGGTAATGTGTTCGGACTGATATCGTATGATGGCAACCAAATGGATTTATTCTTTTAGTGACTACGAAAGATTAAGGGTGTTCATATATTTATTGGGTTTGAGAACTCACGCGTTAGAGAAATGGGTTATGTGCATATCTTTTCACTTTTGCAACACGAGGTTCAAATGATCTTGTACGTAGAATTCTATACCCTAATCCAGAAGTATGGAAGCTAGTTTTAGAGAAACGAACCAAACTTTGTATCGTATGTTTTAATGACATTCTGATGTAAGTGTTTGAGTGTGTAGTGAATGATCCCGTTGTAACTTTTCTTAATTGGCTTTCAAGAAATACTGCCAACTATAAGTATTTATCTCATTCAATAATTTTGGTTGCAATATTTTTTTTTTCTAGTATCACTAAGGAGGAAATGCAATAATGAATTTGTTTTATTATATCAACACTTGGAAACGCTCCTGAATGATCAAAGAAATTCTAACAGGGAGGTCTACCTATTCCTAGAATTAGCGAATTGGAAAATGTATCTTTTACCACTTTAGTGCTTAAAGATTCCTTGATATTCATATATGATAAATTTCTACTATATATTCTATTCTCTTGACAGATTTATGACATCAACGTTCCTCTTTATACGCTACCAAGTGTAAAAGTGAATTGTAGGATTTCGGAAAATTCAGTTGTTATCCGAAAAATAAATCCCGGCCGATTTTTCTTTTTTTTTCTTTTTAATTTTGGGGTAAAAAAAAAATAGATCTAAAAAATAATTGCTCGGTCAAACTTTTCAAGAACTTAAAAAACACTTTCTTTTTTTATGGGAACTTCACTTACAAACTTCTAAACCAGAGAGCCAGTATCAACAGTTACATAGATGAAAAATATGGACATGGGTAAACCGTATCTAGCTAGCCAAAGAATTGTCTATATTTTCTTTATAATTCCCAACTCTTTATGAGCCGAACCACACCTACTACTGTATGATTTTAATACCGACATGCCAAGATATTTAGATGTATATTTATATTCTTTCGTTGCCATTTTCATGATCCGAAATGTTCCTGGTTGAGTTTGTAGATGATGAATTTCTGAATGGAAGGGAAGGAAGGAAGGGTAGTCATTTTTTTTGCCGTATTCCGTTAATAGGTATGTAATTTAGATCGGCTTAAAATCTTAACTTTGTGTATTTGTTTTGTTTTTAACTATTTACCCAAAAAAAAATTTATTGAAGGGAACGGCTAAAGCGGATGATTGCGCCAAGTGTAGATGTTGACTTAGCGAAGAATAGTTCAAAGACTACGCAATAATTGGGTTTATGGTGATGGTAAGAATTATATTTGGTGGGGCAGTCATTTACGGAAAAAGGATGACGAATTGATGGAAATACTGAAAAGGGAAGTGATAGATGACAGATTTTATTTCTTGGTGACATGATGCAAAAAATTTGCATTAATTTCTTAGATAACCGAAGAGCATAGATTTACTAAAAACCATAATATGATTTCTAAACGTTTCTGGAACAGTTTATTAAAATGATTTCCTTCCTTATTCTAAGCAATGTTTTATCTAAAGAACAGTTCAATATCTAACTACTAACAAAAGTGTAATCAATATGTAATTAATGTTAAATAAATTTCAAAGTCGGCTTTAAAAAATTCCCTCAATATTTTGTAAGAATGAAAAGTGTGGAAAAAAATATTTTATTTTTTATGTATATATTATAAGTCACATTTCTACTGAAAGGCTGAACAAAAATTTTTCATGTCATTTTTTTCATGAGCTGATCAAATCATTCATTTTTTACACGTACATATAGACAGGAATCAATGGAAACATATCTCTACAAATACATCCACTGGACATATAACACTTCCCCTGGTATTTCAGGAGTTAAAAAGTTGTCAACCTAGTACGAATGTCCTTGATAATCCTCTGGCGGTAAATTCTTTTTTGGGTTTTTTTTTACATCCGTGTTCTAAATTTAAATTCATATAAAACAAAGGTAGGAAAAAAAAAAGACAATGAAAGAACAAAAAAAATAATTAATGAAAAAAGCAATAACGGCTTTATAACAATTTTTTTGTAACCGACATTTAATTTTTTTATTTACTTTTCTATTTCCATTTCCATTCATTCATCTACCGTCATCCTCAATTAACAATTATTTATATAAGATGCAATATTCCACCTTTTTTGTCCTTCGATAGAAATATTTTCTTTCCTTCTTTCCTTCCTTCTTTAATTAACAACAACAAATATGGATTCTCGTGATTCTACATTAGATAACGCAAGTGTTGATTCTGAAAAAGTTAGATCCTTTGGTGATGCTTTAGCAGAACAACAACAACAATTACCACAACACAATTTAGCTATACATAGAACTAGAAGTATAATAGAAAAGATTCGTTCTCATGAATCTCAAGAAGATCAAGAAGAATTAAAAAGATTAGTCACCAACAATAAAGGGGTTGAAAGAATTATATCTGATTTACAAGAAGGTATTGGTGCTTTAGGTCCTCTTGAACAAGCTTATGATATTAAAAAAATTGAAACCCATCCAGACCCACTTTCAGATTTTAATGAAGCTGATCCTTGGAAATATCCCCTTGATTCAGAATCTGGTTTAAGAATTGTTGAATGGGTACCACAAGATAAACAAAGTCCCAAAAATATTTCAAGAGCTCTTAAATGGACTTATACTGGTTTATTAGGAGCAATTTGTTTCGTCGTTGCCCTTGGTTCTGCAATCGTCACTGGGGATTTAGAAAGACCTGCTGAACATTTTGGTGTTTCTATGGAAGTTATTATTTTATCATCAGTTACTGTTTTCGTTATTGGTTTCGGTGTCGGTCCCTTAGTCTTTGCTCCAATGTCAGAAGAAGTTGGTAGAAAACCAATTTATGTAGCAACATTAGCGGTGGCTTTAGTTTTCATTGTTCCTTGTGGTGCTGCCCAAAATATTGGTACTTTACTCGTTTGTCGTTTAATTGATGGTATTGCCTTTAGTGCTCCAATGACTCTTATTGGTGGTTCTTTAGCTGATATTTGGGAAGGTCCAGAACGTGGTACTGCTATGGCTATCTTCTCAGCTGCTCCATTCTTAGGTCCAGTCTGTGGTCCTATCTTTGGTGGTCTTCTTGCTGATCATGCTCCTACTTGGAGATGGATCTACTGGACGTTCTTAATCATTGCTGGTTTCTTTTATATTGTTTTCATTAGTATTGTCCCAGAAACTCATCATGGTATTTTATTAAAAAAGAGAGCTAAGAAATTAAGAAAAGAAACTGGTGATTCAAGATATAGAACTTTAAGTGAATTACAGATTAGGACTTTTAATGAAGTTGCAAAAACTTCCCTTTTAAGACCATTTATTTTATTACGTGAATTAATTGTCTTTTTAATGACTATGTATATGTCTGTTGTTTATGGTTTACTTTATATGTTCTTCTTTGCTTATCCAATGGTTTTCCAAGAAGGTAAAGGATTCTCAGCTTCTTTAACTGGTGTTATGTTTATTCCAATTGGTGGTGGTGTTATTTTAGCTACTTGTGCTGCTCCGTTCTTTAATGCTGATTATAATAGAAGAGCTCAAGTATACAGAGATAGAGGAGAACTCCCACCAGCTGAATTAAGATTGATTCCAATGATGATCGGATGTTGGTTTGTTCCAGTATCACTTTTCGCATTTGCTTGGTCTTCATACCCAACTATTTCTTGGGCTGGTCCATGTTTCGCAGGTTTAGGTGCTGGTTTCGGTTTCTGTACATTATATAATCCAGCTAATAATTATATTGTTGATTCTTATCAACATTATGCTGCAAGTGCTTTAGCAGCAAAGACATTTGTCAGATCAATTTGGGGTGCATGTGTTCCATTATTTACAATTCAAATGTATCACAGATTAGGTTATGAATGGGCATCAACTTTAATGGCTTTTATTTCCTTAGGATGTTGTTTAATTCCATTCTTATTTTACAGATATGGTGCTAAGATTAGAACTTATTCCAAATATGCTTATGCNCTTATGCACCACCTGCCGGAACTAAAGCTCCAGATGTGGAACAAGATTACGGACATTAAAGATTATAATTGTTTAAAGAAATCTTGTTTATACTCATATACCCTTACCTTTCCTCCCCCACCACTCCCCCATTTGCATTTAGAATTTTTGATTATTATATAAATCCAGATTCTTTTCTATTTATTTTTTTGTTTAATATAATTTTATAAAATTAATGTAATTTCTATTTCCGTATTATTAAGATTATTATTCTGATGTAATTTGAGATACAGGTCTTTCTCGCGTGTTTGGATCATGAATCTATCGGATAAGTCGGTCAAATTTTTTACTCCACCTGGAAAAACATCATCGATTTATTAAAAAATAAATTATTTTTTGCTGTAGCCAAAATATTTCTGACGTCTCAACTACAGATAGAAAGAAATATCTTACACTTTATAATAAATAAATGAATCTATCAAATTGAAATAACTATACCTAAAAAAACGAAAAACAAAGAAATGCCTATAAAACTGAAAGAAGAACTAAACCAAACAAAAACATCAAGAACGCAATAAAAGCAAATGGAATGCGGGAATGGAATGGGTCGGGGGGTTGTGATTGGTAAAGTGTTATATCTACAACACCGCAGAAATCTTTTCATCTCTTGCAACATGTGACTCTAATTTAATATCAGATGATTTGACTTCATTACCCAACTTGTAAATCTTTTGAATATATCCAGCTTTATCTAAAACGATGAAATCAGCATCACAACCAATATTTAAGAATCCACGTTCATTTTGTATACCAAGGGATAATGCAGCATTATTAGTAGCAGTTTTTATTGCTTGTGGTAATGAAATCTTAGACCATTCCATTAAATTACGAAGACATTGTGGTAATGTGGTAGCAGCTCCTGCTAAAGTATCAGTACCTTCTAAATATAATCTATCACCAGTCTTAACAATAGCTTGTTCATCCCATTTATAAGTACCATCTGGTAAACCAAATAAATGCATGGCATCGGTAACCAAAACACATTTATTTGGATTGGATCTATAAGCTAAATTGGCCATTGCAGGATCAACATGTACACCGTCGCAAATTATACCAAAGTATGGGGTCTTATCGTCACCAACAACTGGCGAATTAATCAAACCAACAACACCAGCGTCACGATGATGGGGTTGTGGCATAGCATTATACAAGTGGGTGATCATAGTAGCACCACTGTCAATAGCTTTACAACCAGTTTCATAACTAGACATAGTATGACCAATGGAGAAGATAATTTTTCTATCAGTAATGGAAGGAATTAAATCCAAGACACCTGGGATTTCTGGAGCAGCAGTTATGATACAGACATTATCTAATAAAGATGCTTCACCACCATACGTTTGTAGTAATTTAGTTTCACCATCTCTAGCATCAACAAAAGTTTCAACTGGATGACAACCCTTCTTCTTGACATTAATAAATGGACCTTCTAAATGAGCACCAAGTGAATCACATTGATCATCTAATCTTGATTTCTTATAGAAAGGTAATACTCTAGCATAAACTTCTGGGAAATTGGAAGTAACTGTTGGACAAGTAGCGGTGACACCAGTAGATAAATATTTGGTCATAGCATCTTGATAAAAACTCTTGAATTCAATAACATCCTTTTCAGTAGATTTTTCATTCAAGTTGGAATAATTTAAACCGTAAACACCATTGTTTTGAATATCAATTAAACCTGGTGCTAATATTTGTTCATGTAAATCAATTGTTTTAGTAATCAAATCTTTATTTGCTGGAGGATGAGAGATTTTCTTAGTTTGATTATTGAAATATAAATCAGTGAATTCATATAATTGACCATTATCAATCAAATGACAGTTGGTAAATCTTGTATAAGTAGTAGCCATGTTTGTAAGAAAACTGTATAAAGTTGTTTGTGTTTTCTGTTTGAAGTGGGATATCAACTGGGCGGGAGGTGTGGAAAACGGGGATAACTTGTTAATATATATAATAATGTATTAAAGCAGATAGGGAGAGGGAGACTTATGTAATGTAATTGTTGATGCTTAATGTAACCTCAAATTCAGGTGACATTTTTATAAAACTTTACGCAAAAGACAAACACACAAATAAATAAAATGTGTAACTTGAGATGTACATCGTGTGTAAGATGATGATGAATTTTTTAAAAAGGGAGGATTAAAATGAATCCGTCATAGTTTCAAACAAAAAGAACAAAAAATATTAATTGTTCCGGAAAAAGAAACAACTTGGAACGTGTTGTATTTGCACGGAAAAAAATGGGTTTCTATGGAAAAATGTAACATCTCCTCTGAAACGTTGCATTAGAAAATAAAATGTTACATTTGATCCCTCATCACCTCCCCATACTTTCTTTTTTATTTTTTAACGAAAAAAAAAAAACTGTTTCTTTCTTTTCTAAAACAAAGGGTCAGACTTTTTTAGATCGGTTATAAATGCGGGAAGTACAATTACAACTGGACCTCCTAAATAAAATAAAAATACAACATGAAGATTTTACACGCCTGAATTCCATTACCACCTACCCACTACAATTACTACATACTCACACATCGTCATCATCTGAATACACTACTACTAGGTTTTGTGATCACTGATATTTTCATTGTTCAAAATATTTTTGTCATCTCCTCATAAGCAATCTTCAAAGCCTTTTTGTAATATTTATAAGTTATTCCAAAGGTAGAAAATAGAGTCAACACTTTTAAACAAGATTTTCATATCAATTACACATCAAGAACAAACTTAATTCCTATTCACAATGGTTAAACAAGCTACTTTTTCCTCTGCCGAAGATGCATCTGAATATTTAGCAAATCACATTATCAAAAAGATCAATGATTTTGCTCCAACTCCAGAAAAGCCATTCGTCATTGGTTTACCAACAGGTTCTTCTCCAGAAGGTGTTTATGCCAGATTAATTAAAGCCAACAAAGCTGGTTTAGTTAGTTTCAAGAATGTTATTACTTTTAATATGGATGAATATTTAGGACTTCCTCCAACTAATGAACAATCTTATCATTACTTCATGTTTGATAAATTCTTTAATCATATTGATATCCCAAGAGAAAACATCAATATCTTAAATGGTTTAGCTCAAGACATTGAAAAGGAGTGTGCTGATTATGAAGCTAAAATTAAGAAATATGGAAGAATCAATTTATTCATGGGTGGTTTAGGTCCAGAAGGTCATTTAGCTTTCAATGAAGCTGGTTCTTCTAGAGATTCTATTACCAGAAAAGTCAGTCTCGTTCCATCAACCATAAAAGCAAACTCAAGATTCTTTGAAAATGATGAATCTAAGGTTCCTAAATTCGCTTTAAGTGTTGGTATTTCAACTGTTTTAGATAATTCTGATGAAGTTGCTATCATTGTTTTAGGTCAAAACAAGAATTTTGCATTGGATAAAACCATCAATGGTACTAAGAATGATCCAAGATTCCCATCTAGTTATTTACAAGATCATTCTAATGTTTTGGTTGTTTGTGATAATGCTGCTGCTGGTTTAACTTCAAAGTTATAAGTTTCATTCCCATTTTATTTTAGTTCTTCTGAGACAAATAAATTATCTAAAAATGTTATATGTATCCAATATTTTTCATATGTTTAATGTTTCTTATTTGAAAAGCGTAATTCGTGTATGTAATAGGTCCTCTATTGATGCCCATTAAAACGTACTAATTATAGATCACATGATCTTCATCTCACTCAATTTATACCTTTCCAATTTAGGTTAGGCCCTTTTGAATAAGACTTTCCTCATGACACCACTAAGAACCACTATAAAAGAACGAACTTAATACTTTCTTTCAAACCTTAATTTGGTTGCAAAAAAAAAAAGGTGCTGCCAAAATAACATCATCCAACAATCCAAAAATGAAACGTCAAAGTAAAGTCATTCTAGCTTTTTCGCAAGGATCCCAATGAGACAAAGTACGTGCAACAGCTACAGGATTCATCATATCTAACCAATACTTATTTTATATTATCCTTAACAAATAAAAAAATAAAATACAATCAAAATTAAAACTTATGTAACTAAACAAGAAGAAGAAGAAAATGTCTCTTTTTAAAAATTAATAAACAAAAAAATCCCATGAAATATATGTGTATGCATTTAGAAGATGAAATCCCGTCAAATTCTTTTATGAATAATAAGCAGCACCAATGGCAGCACCAATCATTGAACTGTTATCAATCAATTTCAAATCAATTGTAACACCCAATTTCTTGGCATCTTCATTTTCATTAACAAATTGTTTAACCAAATCTCTATAATTATGGAAATAACTTAATACTGAACCAACATAACCAATCGTTACAAGTGATAATTCTTCATTTTCATTATGATGCTTTAATAATTTAATAAATGAAAGTATGGTATATGCGACAATAAAAGCTGCTCTTTTGATAATACATGACACAACTTGTTTCAATGTGGTGATATCAGACTTAGTAACATTGTCCCAACCATATCTTTCACAAATCTTACTGTTGATAGCAGTATAGTCATTACTTTCATCAATAAAACACATCAATTCACCATCAAAACCATCATATTCCTTGGTCAAAATTTCATTCAAATCCTTGTCATCGTTGAAGATTTCTTGAGCATCAATCAAATCAACAAGTACCAATCTGGTTAATTCTGGTAAGTATCTACCACTAGCCATTAATTCATGAGGTTGTAAAATGGTAGATGTATTTGGATCCACGGTCATATATGGCTTGAAATGGTTCTTAAAGTTAGCAAATCTAGAATCAATACATGCATCGTATTTTGTCACAAAATCATCAGTAAGTAAGTTAGCACCAAACAAAGATAATTCAGTATTATAAAGGATTCTATCATGTCCATCCAAGATCTTATCTTGATGAACTTTGTTGGAACTATCTAAAGCACAACACATGTTGAGACCAGTACCTAAGACCAAAGCTAATTTCATGTTTTTATCAATAAAAGCACCAGCTGCATAAACTGCTAATGAATCATTGAAAATAATTCTTATATCAATTTCAATTTGGAATTCCTTGATTAAAATATCTTCCAAGATGACTTTCAAATCTTTTCCATAGATATCTGGGTGGATAGTGTAACCCTTGGAAACATGAACAATTCTACCATGGTTGTAATCAGTGGTTTCCAATGGGAAGGACCATGTGATACCAGTTTTAACAACAGATTTAATATCGAGAACATTTTGGGATTCAATGATCTCTTTTATTCTGGCACCAATATATTGAAAGAATTCATAATCTATAACCTTAAAGTCATTTGGAATGATCCAACTTTTTTCAACAATAGTGTTAATTCTTGATGATCTATCGGATTCTTCTGTACTAGAAGGTTTCGCAATATCAATCACACCAATTCTTAAAGTGGAACCACCCAAATCGATAACTAAAAATTGACCATATTCTTGACCAGTTGGACTAATATTATAATTTGGTAACATACAAATCTTTGAGTTGTCAAATAAAGCTGAATTGAAATCAGAATATAAATGTTCTGATTGCTTTTGTAAGTTTGCTTTGGTAGCACTTTGAGTGAACGACTGAACAACGGAACCTACTAATGTGGATGCACTGGTAACAGGTGAAGGTGGAGTGTCAGTATTATTTGCTGAAGAAGACGGGGTTTCTTCTATTGTATTAAGGAAATACAGATTAAGTATTAGCAAAAAATATCACAGCTATCACTGATGAGTTGGAATGGAAGATGTTGTATTCATCATGATAACATAAAAAAAAGAACGTAAAGGGCTTTACAGGATTATTATCGAGGTAATAGTATTTTGTAAGTATTAAAACTAAAAGTTAGTTGAGGATGTTATTGGATTTGACAAAAGTTGTAAATAGGAAAAGGGGAAAAAGTGATCTATAAATAAATGAATGGAGCAAAGACGGGGTGGTACGGTAGATGGCGGTAGGTTTGCGTGTGACTTCGCCTGAGTCGTTTGGAGGTGGTAATGAAATGTATAAAAAATGATTTAATGGTTGTATGTAACAATTGTAATTTTTGTTACTTAAATGTTACCATTTATTTTTAGATGGAACTTTTTTTTTTTTTCTAATTTTAATTTTTTTTTTGTGCCTTTTCTAAAAGGAAACCGGAGAAACTTTAAGAATAAAAGAAATAAAAAAAAAGAATTGGGGTTACATTCAAGAAAAAAAAACACTCCTTAAGCTTTAAGTAGATCTAAAACCGATGATCAGATGAGGTACACAAGGATCCTTAAACCTGAAACACTGTGGTGGCATGGGGAATTACAGATGCGTTGATTGTTTTTTGTGTATTTCCCCCGTCTATTTTGCGGTTCATTTTTATTGCGGTTACATTTTTGGAACATTGATGGAACTTGATTACATTTTCCTGCAAGATAAATTTAATGCAGCAAAAAATATATCCTGATATTATTTATTTTTTATTTAATGTGTCAAATGATCCGCGCGAACACAAGACAAAAAATACGAAACATCTGAGATTCATGCACAGGGTTGACCAAGGTGTATTCGATACACTATCCCCAACCTGCCCCAGGTGGGTGTGTATTACGGAGACGACAGGGATACTTACTTGAGAGATTAACCGTCAGAACTTGAATCTAGATGGCGTACACTGACATACAGCATGTTTCATAAAATGTGTGTCACTGATATTTAAGCTATAAAAATATGGGGAAGAGAGCGTTTTATTGTTGAATTTTCTGTATCGAACAATGACTTAGTTAGCGGGGTTATGGCCCTAACGAAAAGGGCATTCACGGAACTAATTCCACATCTCGGACCTACGTCACATTCTTTTTGTAAAAATCTCACCAAAATCGTACCATTTCTTTACCTATTGCAACCATATCTCTCACCTTATGATTTTTCTTTACATGGGGGGGCACCTTTAGCCGAATAGCTCCAATGTAACATTCGGAAAATTGTTCTCGGGTAGAAAGGTTGAATTTACTCCTGTTCTTAACTTGTTCCTTGATAAGAAAATGTGCAAAGGTACCGGAGAAATCTCACGTCGGCTTGCATTAGATTCGTTATCACATTCAACCATAATTCTATATAATCAAAATCATGCTTATAGCCGAATTTAAGGGGTATACCCATCATAGAATCCAAGGAGAAAAGATGCAAGTACACTATGATGGAGCGAACTTCAGTTTTTCCACGGAAAGGGGATTTGCAACCAACATCTGACACCTAGTTCACACATCTTAATTCATCGGACAGAACACTTAACACTTTCGCAGCAATAGGATTTAGTGAAACATTACATGTAAGTAATCAGTTTTAACCTTAATTCACTTTTTTCTTGACTTTACCGGAGAACTTAATTTTTGTTTGTTCTCGGATAAATTTGTAAAATGGATTTTCCGAGGTGAAAATGAGAGTAACGTTACATTCCTAAGAAACTTTGTAAGATATTAAAAAACAACAACAACACATGTTACATTGTGTGGTTTAACACTGTGTCAGTTTATTGTAGTATGCGTCTAATAGAATGATCAATTTCTTAATACATGTGTGAGATGAAGAAATGCAACGTGACATGTATTTTTCTCTAAAAAAGCCTACCAGGGAATTTATTATCACAGTTCTAAGCAACCTCTTATATTTGTGTTGGAAAAAAAAGTCATCTCTGCTGCCTACACGTGTGTGAGGTAGGGAATAATTACTCTCTTCGTAATTTCTATTTAATGTAAGGTATTTTTGAGTGTATTTACTAAACAATTCTACAAATAATTAAAATTATAAGTCGTTTAACTCAATCGCATCTTTATCTTCATCGATTGTCTTTTCTTTAGTCTTTTCTTGCTGTAATTTTTGCAAGTTACGTGCATGAAACTCATGATCATCAACAACTTCCTTTAGTTTTTCTTTCGCCATAACCACTACTTCATTGACTAACCTTTGGGCCACCACCATGGCAGGATTTAATAAATTCATTGTGTATAACATATAAACGACTCCACCAAGTATCAAAACCAATGAGAAAAATAATGGATTTCTAATAATTGCCATAAATTCGTTCCATCCAAGAACCAAAATCACCAAATAGATATAATATGGGATTTGAGTAATATGTTGAACTATAGCACGTTTTGTTTCAACAAATTGTGCATCAACTTCTTTCTTGAATTTGTTTAAGATTTCCAGTTTTTCTTGTTCAGTTACAATTTCTGCAAAACATTGCTCTTCTTCTGGAGGGCGATAGTTTCGTTGTTTATGATACTTCAATCTCAATCCGGCATCGAAAATATCATATTCAGGAAGAATCTCGGAATCATCACTTAGTTTGGCTAAACTCAAAATAGGCAATGCTGTAAGTGCATGTTCCTTTGCCTTTTGAAATGCAATATCCAATTCATGTTCATTGGTATAAAGAATAGGAATTCCATTGTTATCATATCTAAATTTATCATCGAATCTATCTTTTAAAAGTTCGGATAATTTCTCTTTGGAAAGTAATTGATGCAATATGTCATGGAATTGAACCCAAGCCTTAAATTTGAAGGTTTCGACATCCTTATCTTCTTCAAGATTTACTTCTGATACAACTCTCAAGTTATTGAATTTTTCAAATATTCTATCCCAAGTCTTGTCATCAGGATTAGCCATTTCTGATGGAATATGTTGTTTGATCCCTTTTGCTAAACTTTGTATTGACCTGTCAATTACAGCTGATGAAACAAGTGCTTTGACTTGTTCGTTGAACGACGACTCAAACTCGGTAATGGAAAGGTCACCATCCAATGAAATGGCTCTAAGCTTACTCAAAACTTCTTCAGACAATTCAGTTTGTAATTTTTCAGCATTAGCTTTAAAACTTGTACTCTTCAAATTGGCCAAATTTGTATCCAATTTTTCCAATGAAGTATCAATAAGCTTCTTGGCATATGAGTCGAAAACAGCCTTGAATGAATCATTTAATTTTTCCATCAATTTAGTTCTCAAATCTTGATAGATTGATTTATTATATCTCGAAGCAGATTGATCATAGTTTTCTACTGTATCACTTCTTAAATCAAGCATAACTTTGCCAACTTCTTCAAAATCATCATTCTTTGACTTAAACATTTCATCAAACTTGAGTTTAAATTCATCATATACAGTTTCCAAGATTTTTTCACATCTATGTTGGGCAACAAAGATTTGTTGAGTTGGTAAATCTAAATCTTGATTATTTTCAATTTGTTCCCAACAATTCTCAGCATATAAGGTCCAACCATCAATTGGAATTTGATGATGATATTCTGGTTTAAATAATTCATTATCCACAATAAGTCTATCTCCTAATTTGGCAACATCTTTTGAAAATTCTTCAGGTTGGAATACTTTATGACTTAAAGCATGGAAATTGATATCAAAGAAATCTTCAAATTTCAAATGAGCCATATCATTTGGTTTAGAAAGATTATCCCACATATCAACTAAACCTTTTACCATACTTGCCGCCAATTTCTCAAGTGGAGTTTTACCAAGATAATCTCTAATAACAATCAATAATAATACTTTGTGATCATTTTCTTGATTTGATTTATCTAATTTAGATTTACCAAATAATGATAAATTTACATCAAATACAGTTCTTAATAATACTAAATTTGCTCCTTGATATAAACCAATTTGAGTTTCCCAAATATTTATAATTAAGATCTCACTAGTAGCCATGGCAAATAATGCTGCTTTTCTTTCAAAATCTTGATTTTCACCTCTTTCCATACCATCAGCCCCTTCAACATCAACAACAAAGATGTTAGATTTACTAGAATGTTGACCCTTTGAAGTCGTTACAGCAGGAGAATGAGCCATCCAGATACCTTTAGTAGTTTGTTGTCTTTGAAGTTCTTCATTCATAACATCAAAATTAGTATGAAATAATTGATTTAATAAAGTTGATTTACCAGTTGATTGAGAACCAAATACTGAAATGATATGATAATCATTTCCAATACTTTCAGGAACCGCTGAAGTGATATAATCAAGGATACCAGTATTGAATTGTTTTGATTCATTAACAACTTGAATTGCATTATCTTGAGTTGAATCTATTGGTACAAAGGATGAAGAAGATGAAGAACTATGGGAAAGTGATTTCTGTTTTTCGTGTTCTTCGTCTTCGTGTTCTTCGTGTTCGTGTTCTTCGTGTTCGTGTTCTTCGTGTTCGTGTGATACTGCTAAGTGATCGTTTTCACTCTGTCCTTCTAAACTACTCATAATTGTCTGTATCCGTGTTCTGTGTCTAATTCTATCTCTAGTTCTTATTAACAGTTGATACTTTAGTAATAGATGATAAGAATGATTGAAAGTAATAAAAAATGGCAACAACAAAAGAAACTATCACCAGAAATTTTAATTGAAATAACTCAATAGGAAAAAAAGTTAAACGTCATACTTTTTCAATGTTTACTTTAAATGGTTACGATACAATTTAATCACATGCTACTAAAATCTGCCAAATTAGATTAAATTAGAACAATACTAACAGATTCAATGACAATAGAGATTAAATGAACAAGAAGAAACAAGAAGGTGCTCAATTGTTAATATATGATTAAACTTAAACAGTCAAATGACATCGCCAGAAAGAGTACGAACCTCTCTTCCTAGGCAAATACTTCTATAATACGTATTAAATATCAATTATCTTCTTTAAATATATTAATGTCTTTTAATTATACTCAATAAAGTCTATCACAACTTTTCAATTAATTCAGGAACGATTTCGTTAAGATCCCCAACTAATCCAACATCAGCAACATTAAAAATAGCCGCTTCCGAATCTTTATTAATTGCAACAATAGTCTTTGCATCCTTCATCCCAGCTAAATGTTGAATAGCACCAGAAATTCCCACGGCAATATATAAATCTGGGGCAACAATCTTACCAGTTTGTCCAACTTGTAAAGAATTATCACAAAATCCAGAATCAACTGCTGCTCTCAGGGCACCAATTGCTGCATTTAATTTAGATGCAAGTGGTTCAATTAATTTTTCAAAAGTTTCTTTATTCTTTAACCCACGACCACCAGCAACAACTCTAGTTGCAGAACCTAATTCTGGTCTTTCAGAACTAATTAACTCTTCAGAAACAAATTCAGTACGAGAACCAGATTCACTAGATTGGGATACTTCTTCAATGGTCACTGCTTGTCCAGTGGTTTCTTCTATTGGAGCAAAAGCTGAAGCTCTAATTGATGCAAGAATAATACTATCTTTTGATTTAACAGTTGCTAAAGCATTACCAGCATAGATTGGACGCATAAATGTATCAACATCAATAACTTTAATAACTTCTGAAATTGGTTGAACATCTAATAATGCTCCTAATCTTGGAAGAACTGATTTCCCTACTGATGAATTTGGAGTTAAAAAATGAGTATAATTTGAACCATCACCTTGAATAATTTGTTTAATTAATGGGGTAACTTCTTCAGCTAAAAGATGATCATATTTAGAATCTTTAGAAATCAATACATTGTCAACCCCTTTAGTCTTGGCAACTTCAGCAGCAATTGAATCAGCATTAGAACCAAGTATTAATGCAGTTATTGGTTTTCCAATTTCAATGGCTGCAGCAATTGTAGATAAGGATGCTGGGGTTGGTTTACCATTGGTACCTTCTAATAAAGCAAGAGTATCCAATTTGACTCTTGTTCCTGAAAAGAATCTTCTTGCAACTATTGACATTGACATTTTCTAATGTTCTGGGCAGATCTATAAATGAATCACTTGGCTCTGAAACTAAAAGGAATAAAACTATCCATTCAAGTTGAATTATAAAAATGTTAATTAGTCAAATTCCAAATTGTATAAATTTTTCATTTTGATCATTGTTACACGACCTCCGGGTTTCGGGGTGGGGGGTTAAAGTTCTTACGAATCAACGAATACCACACACTTTCTTTTACATCCATTATTGATATCATATCATATGAAAATTCATAGAGTCTTTGGATGGTTTGTAATGTCCAGATGTTTAGATCTTATTATTGCAATTGAAATTTAATACTCTATATAAACACAGATATCCACATTTTTGAGAACATACCAATAAATCTAATATGGTTCACAAGAGTGTATTTGATTACTTCATATCATTATATAATGATGGTTAATACATTACCACTTAAGATAATTCTCGATTAGAAGTTGTTTATAATCATTTGAGTTGAGTTTCAAATTGTTAACTTTGGTTGCAAAAAAATAATGTCATCTTCCTATTAAGATAATTTACTTTCTTAACCTTCCAACCATTTGAAAAGAAGTGTTAGAAATAGTGTTATTTTGTGTAGGAAATTGTATGATTAACATTGCATTACAATACTTATAAACCTAAAGTTATCTTTAATATATACGAATCCAATAAGTATCTATAATGAACATAAATCAATCAACGTGAATTTGGATAAATAATTAGGAAGCTTGGTGAAATTCTAGGCAATAATAAGAAACTTGTTAGGATTTGAGACTAGAGACAGTAAGAATTAATTACAAAGGATAATTAATCTAAATGATATGTCTGGAATAACATTATAAACCTTAGTAATTGTTTTTATTCGTTATTATCACTTCTATCTATATATATTCGTTTATGTGTGTTGTCCACTTTTCTTCGTTAATTTGTTTGGTGACTTTTTCCTATTGGGAGAGTGTTACCCGACTTTCTTATAGAAAAGCCATTGGATTACTTTTATCTCAACATCTCCCCTTAAGCCAATGGCTTCTCGTGCCAGGCACCATATCTTACATACTCTTAATGAGCAGAATCTTTAGTTTTGAAGATTCATTTCTTTCTTTAATTAAATGGTTCCCGTATAGTATAAGTTTATTGACTATGCGGGTTCGTTAGAGAAGCACTCTTTGGTACTTGCTCAATTAGTTTAGTACTCTTAGATACTAGTTTATGTATTATTCTTGGATAATACTCGTGCAGTATCAGACACGTACGATTCAGTATTCTTAGATACTCATTCTTTATATACTAAGTTAGTGTATTATTCTTGGATAATACTCGTGTAGTATAAACACGTACGATTCAGTATTCTTGGATACTCATTCATTTGATACTCATTTATTGTTTTGTGTTCTAAGTTAACGTATTATTCTTGGATAATACTCGTGTAGTATAAACACGTACGATTCAGTATTCTTGGATACTCATTCATTGTTTAATATACTAATTTAATGTATTATTCTTGGATAATACCTTGCGGGCTATAACCGCGTTTGATCAATTTTTTTTTTTTTTTTTTATCTTATATGAGTCATAGCTCATGTTTCAATTTTCCCCTTTAATCTGTTTCTTCCACTACTTTACATTCTTAAACTACTTTGTCTTACTTTAATTCATTGAATTTCAGTTTCCACATTCTCTCGTTCTCAAGTTCTCATCTTATCATCTTCCCACCTATCTCCTCTCAGTGCACCAATACATAATAAATTCTTGATTTCATTGGATTAACCTTCTGATTCCTTTTCATCAATAACTCGTTGGGCTACCTCCACATCTCTTTCGTATCAACATTCCCCCTTAAACCAACGACGTTCGACCAGCCAGTTCACGTAGCAATTTCAATTATTTGTTCGAAGATTTGGTGGTCGGATCAGCAGACACTCTTTTATGCGTTTCAACTCAATGTACTTTTCTCCATATTATCTCAGGTAGCCTGATACATAATATCTATTTGATTTCTTCTTTGATGTAAGACTGGATGACTCGCAACTTAATACACGACAATTTGTCTTCATATACTGTTATTGATGAAGGACTAATCAAATCAAATTAATTAGATAAGAAGTTATGCTATTTCTTTGATCATTCTAGTAAGTGCCATACACTCATCGTTTGTCGTGGATAACGAAGATTAAGATTATGAATAGCTATAGATGAAAAATTGAATTAAATTCCATGTAGATTGTTGTAGACTGATGAAGTCAAATTCCACACGACAAAATTAACTGAACGAATATGCAGTTGTTTATAGCAATTGACGATTGATGATAATATTTTGAAACACTTCCTAACATACATATATTCTTCGACTGCATGAACGCCAAAAACTCAGAACATTTAGAAAAGAATAATGTTTGTAAGCACCCACTTGTTTCTTGCTCTTTCAGATTATGGAGCACCATTCAGCTTTTTACTTTCACTCAATTCATCTAAAACCAATCTGTAGCAAAAGTTCGATTTCAAAATTTTGAGACTACGAGCATGTAGTCCATAGTCTGCTATTTTCGTCGATTTTCTCAGGTCCGTCAGGGTAACATTCCACTTTCTTCTGTATTACGTCTATACTCATGACACTAACACCATGTGCAAAATCAAATTCAACTTCATTCACAGTAATAAAATTTTATGCACCTAAGTCAATTCTGAATCACGTCAGAAATAGGGTTGGAAGTATTGTTACATCTGCAGAAGTTCCAAAAAACATTATGAGCATTCTTTAATTCTGATTTTAATTCTTCAAAAACGAGCTTCTCCACTATCTAGTGATCGAGCAATGGTGTACTCCTGACTGTCACTAAATCCGTCATGTCAACTGGATTCCATAATTGCTTAGCCATATCAATTTCTTCATTTGATTTTCCAGCAATCGGCAAACTCCAACCTATTAACTACCTGACACTATTAACCAACGCAATTGATTTTATTTAGCACAGATGTAAATTCACAATCATTCGAATAAGAACCAATTCTGTATAGATACTATTTCATGTTCTAATGCCAGCGTATGTGCAGTTTAAAATTCTATTATTCTACAGTTGATAGCGCTCTTCTCAATGAGATTCTCGACTCGTCAGTCTTTTCGGATTGTACTTCTGTTTGTGTGCGCAGATAATTTTAACTTCGTCTTCTTGCGGTTGATTATCTTAGGTAATTGACAACTGTATTTATTCTCAAGCACATTCTTTTCCCCCTCAGAAGTAGAAGGAGAATAGGAATCAACAATGACTTGCATAGAGAGATTCGAAAACCAAACTGTTTGTTTTTCATACCAACTAGTTGTTTGAATCAAAAATAAACACACATTTTCATTCATCAATGACCCATCGTACACCACTTCAGCACAGCAAATTCTCCGTCACGCTCAGTATCCAACTACTCAAATATACTTGTATGGATAACACCAAGTAATTCACATAGATGTAACATTATCTAAATCAATTTGTTGAGAATTATCAATTTCTTAATTCTTGAAAAACTGATGCGCCACTTTAAAATTAGGTAAGTAAAATGCAACACTTGTGGTGACAATCACCGGTTATTCATTAGTGGAAACTATCACAGGATAATAACCACAACAAACAAGAGATGTTTCAGGTAGTCTTGATGGAGTAAATTTATCTAAATCAATACCTAAGCTTCTAGCTTCAACTTTGGAAGAACTTTCACAACAAAAACGACATCAAATTGATGAACGTCAAATAAAATTATAACCAGTAAAAGCTTGGTATGGTGTTAAAAACTTGAACTGCTTTCTCGGGGTTTGGCTTATAGTTGTAATGACATACAGAATTATAGAGTAAACCAATGCTAAAGCTAATTCGTGTTGATCTGCCAATTGAATATGCATCTCTGAGGACCCTCTAACAACAACTCTATTTGTAATTTCAGCAGCATTCAACTCTGGAGAATAAGGCTATGTGTGGGTGAATCTATAATAAATCAGGGGAATGGTTTAGGTCCGAATTAAGACAACCTTGACCTCATTTTCGGTTTAAGTGTTTCCATATGCTAACGAGCTACCTCGATTTGAATATAATACCGACTAGAGCATCGCGAGAAAAGGATTTCAAATCAAACATAACCACCACTGTAACTGACATTCTTCGCAGAAATTTGCAACAATCCTAATTAACTGTCTAAAGTCTTAAAAACCTGGGTTTCCAATCATTCAAATATCAATATACTGTTCCTTTGCGGAAATTGAGATCATGCAAACTGATTTAAATTGAAAATAAAGCAACCATGAGACCGCAAATTATAAGATACTTCATAATTTCAGGAACTGCGAGTTGATAAATAACACATAATGCATCACACATCAAAGAAACGTACAGATCAATCCAGCTGCGTGTACTAATTTCACTCTTCAGTTAATTTGCCCTCAGATATTCATTAAGCATGGAAGGGATTCCTTTCATTAGGCCAAGCGATAATAGCCAGCCCACAATAAAACCAAAACAACAACCATCCAATATAAAACCAGCAGCAAAAGAACAAGTTATCAACACAGTACATTCAGTGAACCATCTCGTAACCAAGAAACATAATAAGCGTCTCCGAATAGATTAAACTTGTATGGAAATACAACGAAATAGAAGCTTCAATTTAGTCTCCAAAACGTGGTACTGGTATATTTTATCAACTTGGGAAGCAGGGCTCATAACCTGTTAGGATTTGAGACTAGAGACAGTAAGAATTAATTACAAAGGATAATTAATCTAAATGATATGTCTGGAATAACATTATAAACCTTAGNGTATCTATAATGAACATAAATCAATCAACGTGAATTTGGATAAATAATTAGGAAGCTTGGTGAAATTCTAGGCAATAATAAGAAACTTACTAAAATCACTTTTTACTTTGGTTTCTTCGAAAGATGAAAACAGCATTCATAGAGATCACATACACATTATCCATATATCTCCGTCATAAGATCTATATGATTATTTTCAATAAATCTAGTGCTAATTATATAGTTATACACGTGTTGAATGATTTTCGCAGCCATTTAAAAAATAAGTGGATTTCTTTTTGGGATCAGTAAAGAAATTCTCTTATAAGAATTTTTATATCTGTATGATATATGAAATATGTTGTTGCATATTCTTACATTACAATACTGAAAAATATAAATTATAAATTCATGAAGTTCATAAGGAGAGGATCCCTCCTACAACATAATTAAATTATTAAGGAAATATGAATGAGATACCCAATCCTTAATCTTTTGCAATTTCAATTCGCCAATTGATAAGACCAGGCAAGGCTTAAAGAAATTAACCAACGGCCCAAAAAAAAAAATAATAATCAAATTCATGACTGAAATTGATCATTTATTAAATTATTATTATTAGAAACATCAGATCAGATTTATTTAATTTTCAATTTCCTTTCCATCTTATTCATCTCTCACTATATCATTCAATGTCATCCCCAGGTAAGAGTGAGAGATCTAAAAGATACAACAGTCCTTCTCCATTCCGTGTCATCTCCCCACGAAGAGTCAACCAAGAACGACAACCACTCATAGATCGACCACTGTCAGAATATGAATATGGATCAATTCTTTCTAATAATAATAATAAATATCCTCCACATATTCCATCTCATTTAATTAATGAATTACTGTCAAAACTGGGTTCAGCTTCCCCTTCTCCACTTCCTCTTGCTGACGCCGAATCAATAATATATCAAGCACCTGATAATAATTCTTCATCTTCATCTCGTCCATATATCGTACCTACTAATGTACAACGAATTGATGACCTACCTTGGAATGAATTACTTCCTTATTATCTTCCATGTTTATCTTGGATTGGACAATATAATCTACTGTTTTTCGTTGGGGATTTAATTGGGGGGTTGACATTGGTATTTTTCAATTACCTTTATGTTTATCTTATGCAACTACATTAGCTCATGTTCCAGTTATATCAGGGTTATTTTCACTTGGAATTTCTCCATTGATATATATGATCTTTGGTAGTGTTCCACAAATGATTGTTGGACCTGAAGGTCCAATTTCTTTGATTGTTGGGCAAGCAGTTGAACCAATATTACATGATTCAAAACATAAGAAAAATTTAGATCCTTTAGAATATGTAGCGGCAATTAGTTTTCTTTCTGGGATGAGTTTATTAGGATTTGGATTAGGAAGATTTGGTTTTTTGGATAATGTATTAAGTGCATCTTTATTAAAGGGGTTCATATGTGCTGTTGGGATTGTTATGAATATAAATGCATTAATTAATTGTTTGGGTTTAGAAGAATTAATGAAGGAAATTACTAGGAATCCAGAAGAAATGGATATTCATTCACCATTTGATAAAGTACGATTCTTATGGTTTAATTATAAACATTATAATCCATTAAGTCTAAAAATTAGTTTAATTGGTTTTGCAATAATTATGGCAATAAGAATATTTAAAAAATATGCTGCAAAAAGACCGGGGAAATATTCTCCAAAAATCGTATTTATCCCGGAAATTTTATTAATTGTCGGGTGTTCAACTATATTATGTTCTTACTACCGTTGGGATTTATTGGGGATTAATATAATTGGAAATGTAAAACATGATGGTGAATTAAAACTATATAATCCACTAAAATTATCATTATTAAAAAAATTTACTACTTCAGGATTCTTATGTGCCATGTTGGGTTTTTTCGAATCAACAACTGCTTCTAAATCACTTGGTTCAAGATATGATTTACCAATAAGTTCAAATCGAGAATTAGTTGCATTGGGTAGTCTTAATATATTTTGCTCAATGTTTGGTGCATTACCTGCATTTGGAGGTTATGGAAGAAGTAAAGTAAATGCAATTTCAGCAAAGACAACTATGCTGGGAGGGATTATGGGATTTTGTACTTTAATCACCGTGGTATTTTTCCTTGATTATTTATATTATGTTCCAGAATGTATGCTTAGTGTAGTTGTGGCAGTGATTGGTTTACTGTTGATTGAAGAAGCTCCATATGAATTATATTTCCATTGGAAAACAAAAGGTTATAATGAATTAATTACATTTGCAGTTACGGTATTAACTACATTATTTTTTTCAATGGAAGGTGGAATTGCTGTTGGTTTAATATATCTGTTAATTAGAGTAATTAAAAATTCCACAATTTCAAGAATTCAAATATTGGGGAGATATCCAAATACTAATGTCTTTGTAGATGCTGATATCCCCACAAACTTAAATGAAAAGAAACCAGGTACTCAATTGAATGTATTTGATGATATTCAACAAATGCAATTAAATGAACAAGTTATTGAAGAAATTGAAGGTTGTTTAATTATAAAAATCCCCGAACCACTTACTTTTACCAATTCAAGTGATTTAAGAGCTAGATTAAAACGAGTTGAAATGTATGGATCAACAAAAGCCCATCCTGCTCAAAAGAGAAGTCGAGATTTAAGTATGGTTAAATATATTATATTTGATTTAAATGGGATGCAAAATATTGATTCATCAGCTTGTAAAATTTTATATGAATTAATTATCAATTATCGTCAAAGAGATATTCGAACATTTTTTGTTAGAGTGGGTAATTCCAAAGATTTAAGAAATCGATTGAAAAGTTCAGGAATTAATAAGATTTTAATTAAAGATTTAATTGATGTTAAATATTTCGTAATGCAAAATATTGCTAATAGATTTAATATTAATTGTCGTGGACGAGATCATCTGATTGAAATGGAAGAACAAGAACTGTTGAATACTAATTTTGAAATAGAGAATGTTATTGCATGTCATGACTTAATAGAGAGTGATGATAAACCTTACTTCCATCATATAAGTGATGCTTTAAGAGTTATAGATTGTTTTGAAGTAAATGAACAATTTTTAAATTATTAGCCAGTGCATGATTACCCATTGGTTCCCTTGCTTTATATAGAGACTCTCCTTTAATGAATAATTTATTTATTTTTTTCTGATGAAACGCGTGTTGAAAATTGATTTTAAAAAACCTTTCCCATTCTTACTCTAAAATCAATTGAAGAAGTATCAACAAACGATGTCAGAATTAACTGCTGAGAACGGTGAAGCACAAGGGGAATTAACTATTAAAGAGGAATATCAATTATGGAGAAAGAATTGTCGTTATATGTATGAATTTGTTAGTGAAACTGCCTTAACTTGGCCATCTCTAACAATTCAATGGCTTCCTGAAACCACCACCAATGATGACGAAGGAGCAATTGATGCTAAATTATTATTAGGAACTCATACTTCTGGAGAAGATAAGAACTATCTTAAACTTGCTACAACACAAATTCCAATTGATTCTTCAATTGGTCTGAAGAAACCCAATTCAAGAATCAAAATTATTAAGAAATTTGAAAATAATGCTGAAATTTGTCGGACAAGATATATGCCCCAAGATCCAAATATTGTGGCTACTATAAATGGTTTGGGGGAAGTTGATTTATATGATTTAACTGATGATTCTAAAATGGCAAAATCCCATTTTGTACCTCATAATGAAAATGGATATGGACTTTGTTGGAGTCCATTTAAACGGGGGTTATTATTAACTGGTGCTGACGATAAATTTGTTTGCGTTACTGATACTCTGAAAGATAATTCAATTATATTTAAAAATGATATTCAAAAAGATATTGTCAATGATACAAAATGGCATATGTTTGATGAAAATATGTTTGCTAGTGTATCAGAAGATTCATATGTTTATCTCTTTGATTTAAGAAGTAAAGAAGTTATTTCAAGATTTTATGCTGAAGAATCAAAAGGGATTAATTCATTAGCATTTTCACCATTTTCACATAATTTAATGGCAATTGGTAATACCAATTCTAATATAAATTTATTAGATTTAAGAAAATTAGGTAATGCACCAAAGAATAAATCAGGATTATTACATACAATGATGGGACATGGTGATTCAATAACTTGTATGGAATTTTCACCTGATAAAGATGGAATATTAGCTAGTGGAGGACAAGATAGAAGATTAATTATCTGGGATTTATTTAAGATTGGAGAAGAACAACAACAAGAAGATGCAGAGGATGGATGTCCTGAATTATTTATGATGCATGCTGGTCATACTGGAGCAGTTACTGATTTAAGTTGGTGTCCATTTAAATCTTGGACAATTGGATCAGTTGCTGATGATAATATTGTTCATCTTTGGGAAGTTGGTAAGAATTTAATTAATTCTGAAGAAAATGAAGAAATTGATATAAAAGAATTGGAATAGATCTGACCATTCAATCATATATAGACATGTGTGTATTATTAGTAATAAATGTAATGTATTAGAATCATATAATAACTCAATCTGTTTTGTTGGCCGTAGCAGCCAACTCATAACTACACCAAAAATTGCAACCCCCATGAGTTTTTTCTTGCATCACACAAAATTCAATTTAACTAATTATTAATTAATAGACACAACGGATATAACGGGCGGCAGGGATACTGAATTGGTTGAAGTGGCAATTTCCATTTTAATTATTAGTTTAATTAATTGGGGGGTTATAGTCATATTGATTAGAAACGTGTTGTAATCAATCAATCAATAGAGAGAAGTGTATTTATTAGTACTTACTCCCCTTGTTTAACAAGTGAATGATTTTGTTTACTTTGGTTAACCATCTTGTGATACTTAAAGATAAAGAAACGAATCCATCCATTCCAATAAATTCTGCATTGCTTTTCCCCCAATCTATTTCATTCAATCTCAAGTCATCTGTTCTTGTCTATCCCATCTCTTCTTTACTCTCTCTCACTCTCTAACTATCTCATTTCTGTGTTGTTATAAATTTAATAAAATCGCTGTCAATCTGAAATTTTTAAGAAAAGTAATGTCACAAGAAGAACAGCGAAAGGAAAAAAAAGAAGACTCTGTCAGTCAGAAAACAAAATTATTTATTTAAAGTTAAATGTGTTCATAGAATATTAGCATAGATAGAACGTATTTAAAGTATTAAACTATCATTAATAAAAACAGTAATTAAATAGATTGTAAACTAAAGATGGCAGACTTCCCCCCTAATTTATCAATAAGACCATTAACTATAGAAGATATTGATCAATGTATTCAACTTGAAAATAAAGGTTTTAATGAAGATGAACGTTGTACTCCAGAAAAGTTTCAATATAGATTAAATGTTTGTCCAGAATTATGTTCAGGATTATTTATTAGAGAATATGAATATAAATATAATGCAATAAATTTACCTGAAATTGCTGATAAATTAGAACAACAACATCGAAATCAACAAATAGAACGTCAGCTTACTAATAAGGATGGCAAAGATGAAGGTAATGCTGCTACCGCTGAAGACGATGATGATGATGATTTACCTAGTAAATCATCAGTTGTTAATGAAACTTTAATTGGACATATTATTGCCACCAAAGTTGCATCAAATACAATTACTGAAGAATCAATGGAATTACCGTCATCTGATAAACCTGGTTCTGGTCATGTAGAAAGTTCAAGACATATTGGTATTCATTCAATTGTAATTGAACCTGAATGGAGAGGTAAGAACTTAGGTGCTTTATTATTACATGATTATATTCAAAAATTATCAAATCAAGATTTAGGTGATCAAGTTATATTATTAGCTCGTAAAGATTTAATTACATTTTATGAAAAAATTGGTTTTAATAATTTAGGTGAAAGTAAATGTAAACATGGTGGATCTATTTGGTATGATATGGCAATTGATTTAGTTGCAACTGATGATCTTTAGATGACTACCTATATATATATATATACAAAAAGTGTGTATCATTATAATTAATATCGAAGTTTAGTTGTTCAATCTCACCATCACCGCTCTCGGTAGAATATTAATTTTTTTTTTCCAGCTCTCACTATCGACTTGGTAAACCATAATGATATCACCATTCCTTTTGAAACTAATATTCTATAAAGTTATTAGGTAGTTACTGCAATGTTCCAGGTACCTCAAGCAGTCAAATCATTCTTTGATTCAGTTCCATTGAAAACTATAACTGATCAACCTACCTTATTATCACCTCAAGATATTTATTATTTTAGAGGAATGGGAAAACACCCAGATGGCCATTTCACTTTAGGTGTATTCAATACCATCAAGATTAATGATCATGTAGTTCCATCAGATCCAATCTCCCTTGGCTTAAGTTTGATTTTGGCTAATAAGAATCAAATGGGATTACCTACTGGTCTTGCTGCTGCATTTGGTTGGAGAAATGGAATAATTAAAACGTCATATATGTCAAGTAAAACCAATGTATTACCAATTCTTATAGAAGATACTAGCGACAATGAAAGAAATATTAAGACATTAGACATTGTGAATCATGAGCTTGTTATTAATAATTTCACCAATCTTGAATCTAAACAAATTAATGAATTAATTGATATTAAATTTTATGATATTTGGTTATTATGTATCTTGACTGAAAATTTATCTTATGATACCTTGACTCAAATATTTGGAGTTGGTGAGTCAACCAATAAACTAATTCAACAAGCAGAGATATTGGAATTCTTGAATGAAATACCTCATTGGAATTCTTTCCGAAATCGTCATCCATATTTATTTGATAATTGGACATCAATTCAACATTTAGAATCGAAACATTTATCAAATTATTATAAACAAGAATTAGCCCAATTTTCCAAAAATTTCGATTTAATAATAGATTACTTATCTGATTCAAATGAATCATCATCAGAGAAAGATATTATAAAATTCAAAGTTGCCGGTTATATGAGCATTATCGATCATCTTCTCAAAGATACAAAATTATATCAAGTTATAAATCAAAGATCTGAATTTGTTAAACAATGTTATACCCTAATGAAATAGACAGATTGTTATATCATTTGCCATACTTGTATATAATTATCATCTAAGAATAATAATTCTTGACTTTGAGATTTTACTTCCAAATCCTTTATAGACACCCATGAATCATTATTCATTCGAAGTGAAATTGCCCAATTAGAATCATCTTTCTTAATTGTAGATACAAGTCTATATTTGATGTCATCCTTCACTGGATATAAATACCTTCCCATATCCAAACTATCAGGGTTGAATTTGACTACACAAGATCTCTTATCATCTGACTTTTCATACAGAATTATTAAATATGGTGGTAATGGATCCAAAAGAGTATAAGTTTTAACTTCTTTTGATCCAACTTGAGTTTGTTTCACTCCATTATATTTCTGTAAAAGATCTTGTAAATCCACTTGAAGTTAAAAGAGTCAAACTTGTAAATTATGTAATTTACCATGTAGATAACTATTCATCCAAAATTTCAGTATAACCTCTTTTGCTTTATTTTCAATGGTAGTATATTCAATTCGAGAATCGATTTCTTGTGAGACAATAGGAATGGTTGAAATCTTGATTCTTCCTTGTAAAGCATCGCTTAACTCACTGGATTTGGCCCTCTCCTTTTTAATCAATTGGCTATGTAATGAATTTAACAACCAAGTTAGAAACATTTTGGGCAGAATTGATTTCCCATCAATTGTAAATTTCTTCTTCGATATCTCCGATACACAATTTAAAAACTCATATGGAGCAACATGACTCTTGAATAGATGAGGTGACCAAACCTTCTTAATCAATAAACTCAATTTATTATTTAATGGGGATGCCATGCTATCATTATTATCAAACAACAAATAAAAATCCCTAATGGGTTGAATATGAGCTAATAAATGTATAACAACATTAGCATAATCATTATGTTTTATATTATTCAATCCAATATATCCAACAAGATATTTCTTATCATTTAAATCGAACGATATTCTTGGTAATAATTCAATATCTCTTTTTGTATATTTCGGATCCAAATATTCAATTATATCTTGAATACTATTGGCATTATCCCATTGTTTATCTTCAGGTAATTCATATACTTTATGACTACTTAAATTGAGATATATAGAATGACCAGGGTTAACAATTGAATGATTATAGGCGGGTGATGAGATTGATCTACCATTGAAAAATTTCCCACATTTTAAACAACAATAAATATTATTTGAATTAAGAGTTATCAGACATATCTTTTCAAAATCAAAATCTAATAATTTTCTATTAATAGAAGACTCGGTAGTATTTGAATCGAGCTTTCTTCGTTTCGATAATGGATTGGTCATTGCATGTAAGAAAGAGGAAGAAGGAATCTGGAGAGATAAAAAAAAGAAAATACGGCTGTTCTAGATTCGCAAATATTGGAACATTTATTGGTTGGTTGTACTATACATTCTATACGGAATAGAGAGGGATCTTCTTATTGAATAGCCAAGGCGTCATATAAAGGTCATTCTTCTCAACTTTGTAACAGTAGATAATTGAAAAGTCGTCATACTGATAAATGTTTCTTTGGATCTTGTTTACCAACATATCTTGTTTTTAATTGATCTTCAGTTAATTCTTTTTCTTCTTGAACTCGTTGATGATATAATTTAGCAATTTTAACCATTTGTTGAGTATTTTGTAAATTTTCACATTCTTTATGATCATAATCAATTAATTTTAATCCTGATTGCCAATTCTTTTTATGTAAATTCAATAACATATTAGTTTCATATGATGTTTTATGATAATCAATATTTAATGAATAATAATGACGATTTAATCCATGAATTAATGCTTGAATTGAAGGTTTATTCAAATGTCCAACATTAGATGTTGATTGACGAGGTTCTTGTCCCATCATTAATGTAGTAGTATCAATTGTTCTAAACGCATCAATTACAACTTTCCCTTTAACTGATTGAATTGGATCTATAACCACAGCAACTGCACGTTTATTCAATTGTTCAAATGATTGTTGAGTATTAACATCAACTGAAGATAACCAACATCCAAAACCAGGATGGGAATGATACCATCCAACAACCATTTGATCTCTACCTGTTTGTCTTAACATATCCATCATTTTAGTTTGAAAAACATCATCAACAGCTTCAACAGATACACCAGTTCCTGATTGTGGCATAGCAAACACATCAAATACATGAATGGTAAATTCATCAACAAATTCTCCCAACATTAATCCCATAACTTCCATTGGAACCCCTGCTCTTCCATGTTTTAACATCTTTAATAATGCTAATGATGATATATATACTGTTTCAGGTAATAGTTAACGACCAGGTAGTGAAACACCACCTCGACGAGGAGGATTAGGACGACCTGATCCCAAAAGTCTCTGTAATCTTTCCATAGTCGGTTTGTATGTGTATGTATTTTATGTGAATTGATTCGAATTGAAAACTAAAAGATACTGTCAATTTTAGTGGCAACAATTTTTCATTTCCCAAATCTGTTTTTTTTGGTGGGTTTGAAAATTAGTCATGTGACTAATGTCTTTTTTGAAAACATTTACGACAATGGATTTATTATTCGACACATTTTTTACAGGATCCCATTTAAGGAGTGGTGAAACTTAGATATTAAAAGGTAAGAAGAATATGGAAAGGTTAATTTACCGCTTATCGTTTTACGAATCCAGCCAATATTAATCAAATAGAAATATATCTTGCATAATTGTGTTACTCCAAATTTACGTGAAATTTTTACCCAAAGTGCTCTGATCCAGCTTTCCACACCAATATCTAAACACAAAACAATGTAAGATTGACTCAACCAAGAATTAACCTTCTTGTTCTGATCATACGTCATCCTACTCCAAGACGCACTCATAAATAAGGTTTCAGATAAGGGCATAATTGGGTGCAAAGTTTAAAAATCTCACAATCAATAACGAACCCACAAGATGGTGCTACCAATCGCGTTTCAAGGCATCAAAAATTTAAACAATGCCGTACCAATCAATGGCCAAATTGTAACATGAAAAGCCATCTAATTATTATCTTTTATAAATAGGTGATAATTTCCCCATATTTATTATCCTCAAATCAAACTATTCTTTCCATTCACAAATAAGAACTCCAAAGATGTCCGATGGTCCACAATCATTAATTGGCAAGAAATATCCTGCCAAACAACATGCAAAAAATGTGTATGATCATCTCATAAAGAAGAACTCATCCAAGGCTAAAGATTCAGTATTCTTCATCAGTGGGGAAGATTATGAACTTTACAAATATTGTGATCAAACTAAACCAATTAGACAAAATAGATACTTTTATTATTTATCAGGATGTAATATTCCTGGATCTCATGTTGTTTACAATTCCACCAAAGAAGTTCTTACTCTTTATTTACCAAATATCGATAAAGAAGATATCATGTGGTCCGGTTTACCATTATCATTAGAAGATGCTCAAAAGAAATTCGATGTTGATGAAGTTAAATATGTTGCAGAACTTGAACAAGATTTAAAACAATTTGGAAGAAAAGCATTCACAACTGATGTTAATCAATTTAATAATAAATATCAAGAATTTTTGATTGAAAGTGATGAAGATTTCTTTTATGCCCTTGATGAATCTCGTCTTATCAAAGATTCTTATGAAATTGAATTAATGAAACATGCTGCTAAGATTACTGATAATTGTCATTTTGCAGTTATGTCAGCCTTACCTATTGAAACTCAAGAAACTCATATTCATGCCGAATTTATGTATCATGCTTTAAGACAAGGAGCAAAGAATCAAAGTTATGATCCAATTTGTTGTAGTGGAGAAACTTGTTCTACTTTACATTGGGTTAAGAATGATGGTGATATTACTCCTGATAAAAAATCTGTATTGATTGATGCAGGTGCCGAATGGGAATGTTATGCCAGTGATGTGACTAGATGTTTCCCAATCAATGGTGATTGGACTAAAGAACATTTAGATATTTATAATCTTGTATTAAAGATGCAAACTGCTGCTTATGAATTAATGAAACCAGGAGCAAATTGGGAAGATCTTCATTTGAAAGCTCATCAAGTATTAATTGAAGGATTTCTTGAATTAGGTATTTTCAAATCTGAATATTCTGCGAAAGAATTATTTGAAGCAAAAGCTTCTTCTCGTTTCTTCCCTCATGGTTTAGGTCATTTATTAGGTATGGATACTCATGATGTTGGTGGATATGCTAATTATTCTGACCCAGATCCTTTATTATGTTATTTAAGAATCAGAAGAAAATTGGAACCAGGTATGGTTGTTACCAATGAACCAGGATGTTATTTCTCTCCATTCTTATTAGAAGATGTATTAAACAACCCAGAAAAGGCAAAGTATATTAACAAAGATGTATTGGATAAATATTGGTACGTTGGAGGTGTAAGAATTGAAGATGATGTTTTAATTACTGAGAATGGATATGAAATATTTACAGAAATTACCAAGAATCCTCAAGAGATTAGTAAGATTGTTAAGGCAGGTCTTGCTAAGGGTACCGAAGGTTTCCATAATGTTATTTAAGTAGATTTTTATATAGGGAATTTATACAAAGAAAAGATTTTTATATGGCTCAGGAAGTAGCTGTTATTTCTAAGATCTAGGCAGACCTCCCTTCTCTTTCGAGGTAGGTCAGTTCACGCTAGATCTACTATGCTCCAAGGTAAGCTTCTACAGGTTTTCTATTTCGAAAATTTTGTAAATTCAATTTCAAATGGATGCTCTTATAAATGCTTCCCTCAACGAATTTATAACTCAGTTGAAGGGTCTCTTCAGCTTGTGAGCTTTGTCTCGCAAGCTCCTATTACCTTGATAGCCATGTGGTTGCAACGGCCAAGCTACGACATTTCCAAAATGAGACATATGTCGCAATTGATTTTAAATTTGTTTGTTTGTCGTTAAACTCAGGGCTGCCACTTGGCGGGGGGGAAGAAATGGCATTTGAGAAATTTCATTCATCTTCAATTGTCAACCACTGAATTTATTCAACCACACAATTGTTATATCAATCAATTAATTTGGTAGTACAATTGATATATCCAATTACAACAATTACAGAAGAGACTCACACAATTGCTACAATGGATGAAAATTATGATGTTATTGTTTTAGGTACTGGTTTAACTGAATGTGTTTTATCAGGTATCTTATCAGTTGAAGGTAAAAAAGTATTACATATAGATCGTCAAGACTTCTATGGTGGTGAATCTGCTTCATTAAACTTTTCTCAATTATATTCAAAATTCAAACCTTCTGCTCAAAAGCCGGAATTAAAGGGTAGAGATAGAGATTGGTGTGTTGATTTAATTCCTAAATTCTTAATGGCAAATGGTGAATTAACCAATATTTTAGTTCATACTGACGTCACTCGTTATATTGAATTTAAACTCATTGCTGGAAGTTATGTTTATAGAAATGGTCGTATTGCTAAAGTTCCTGCTAATGAAATGGAAGCTGTTAGATCTTCATTAATGGGTATTTTTGAAAAGAGAAGAATGAAACGTTTCTTAGAATTTATTCAAAATTATGATGAGGATGTTGTTTCAACTCATCAAGGGTTTGATTTAGATAAAAATACCATGAATGAAATATATACTTATTTTGGTTTAGAAAATGGCACTAAAGATTTCATTGGTCATGCCATGGCTCTTTGGCATACGGATGATTATTTGAATGAAGTTGCACGTCCAACTTATGAGAGAATTATCTTGTATGTTCAATCGGTTGCTAAATATGGAAAATCTCCTTATATTTATCCATTGTATGGATTAGGTGAATTACCACAAGGTTTTGCTAGATTATCAGCAATTTATGGTGGTACTTATATGTTAGATACTCCAATTGATGAAGTTTTATACGAAGGCGAAGGAGAAGATAAGAAATTTGCTGGTGTTAAAACTAAAGAAGGTACCGCCAGAGCACCAATTGTAATTGCTGACCCAACCTATTTCCCAGATCAAGTTAAGAAAGTTGGAGAAAAAGTTATTAGAGCAATTTGTATTATGGATCATCCAGTTCCAGGTATTGATTTAGATTCTTTACAATTAATCATTCCACAAAATCAAGTTGGTAGAAAACATGATATTTATGTTGCTGTTTTATCTGATGTTCATTGTGTTGTTCCAAAGGGTTATTATCTTGCAATTGTTTCTACTATCATTGAAACTGATACTCCACATATTGAATTAGAACCTGCACTTAAATTATTGGGTCCTAGAATAGATACTCTTATGGGAATTGCTGAATTATATGAACCTATAAATGATGGTACTAAGAGTGGTATTTATATTTCCAAGAGTTATGATGCATCATCTCATTTTGAATCTACTACTGATGTACAATTTCTATAGATGAAATCTTAATGACCATTTGGTAATGTTAATGTTTTCTCGCTTACTGCTGAGGAAGAAGAAGCTCTTCAAGGATTGTGAGTTATTTCATATACCCATTTTATTAGTTTCCTTTATATACTAGTGTTTGTTAATCAATACCATACATCGTATTTCTAAAACTCCATCTCGGCAAAAATTCGGTTGAAAAATTATCCGTTATTTACCGATCCAATTATTTTTTTTTTCGATTCACATATAGAATGCCATAGAAAGAAAACTTTTCCCCGAGAGCCTTTGATTGATTCATACGGCACAAGGGAAGGGCACACAATTTTCTTGATTATTAAAATGTCAATGATTGATTGTTCTCAGAATTATCGATAACGAATCTTATTTCAGATTTATTTCTTATCTCTTAGCTTTTCTTGAAATCTCATTCTTTTGGATTCAAAACTTTCCACCATTCATCAAGTAAAGCAACTATGACAATTTCTCATCCAGTAACATTCACTAGAACTTTTCAAACCAAATCAGGTAAGGATATTACTATTGGTACCGGTACCGGTACCAAATGGAAGAAGGACCTCTCTGATGATTCTGTTAATCCTGAATTAGTTGACCAAGTTTTAAGATCATTAAATTTAGGATTTAGACATATTGATACAGCTGAAGTTTACAATACTCATAAAGAAGTTGGTGCTGCTATTAAACAAGCAGGAATCCCAAGAGAAGATCTTTGGATAACTACTAAATATTGTCCTGGTTATAGAGGCATTAATGCTCCTAGTACTAGTCCAACTGAATCTCTCAATAAGGCATTAAAAGAATTAGATACTCCATATGTTGATTTCTTCCTTATTCATCAACCATTCTTCACTGAAGAAATGACAGGTGGTGTTACAATTGAAAGTGCTTGGAAGGAATTAATTGAGGCTAAGAAACAAGGAAAAGTTAGATTTATTGGTGTTTCCAACTTTGCTAAAGTTCATTTAAAGAGAATCTTAGCTATTAGTGAATCAGAAGAATTCTTACCAGTTGTTAATCAAATTGAATTCCATCCGTTCTTACAAAACCAATCTCCCGATATTGTTAAATTTTGTCAAGAAAATAATATTCAAGTTGAAGCTTATAGTCCATTAGCTCCATTATCAAGAACTGAAGCTCCAGAATTAGTCAAATACTTGAAGGAAATCGGTGCCAAATACAACAAGACTCCTGCACAATTATTATTGAGATATACTTTACAAAAGGGTATTATACCAATCACAACATCTTGTCAAGAGCAAAGAATTCGTCAATCCTTAGACTTATTTGATTTCGAATTAACTAAAGATGAAACAACCGCTATTGATACAATTGGAGCTAAGTCTTCTTATAGAGCTTTCTTCGATGTTGAATTTGAAAATTTATAGTTTTCTAGACCGTATTTGTAGATAATCAATAACTTTATATTTATTTAAACCTTTCGGAATACATTTCCGTCACTTAATGCGTAAATCCGTTCGCGCAATCTCGGGGTAAAATCCCGAGCCTGTCAAATCAAAACTTTAAGTGTCATATTTCACACTTGACAGGTTGATTATGATTAAGTCAATCTTAAACCGCATCCAAATGAAACAATTCTCAACGGTGTCAGGAAGTCCAATCACCATTGGTTTAGGCACAGGAACTGCAGTCAAGAACTTAAAACGTTCCAATCCTGATGATAAAGAAAAACTGGATGAAATCGTCAAGATCTTAAACTATGCTGTAAAAGAAGCAGGATATAATCATATAGATACTGCTGAAATTTATTTGACTCATCAGGAAGTTGGTAGGGTGTTAAAAGAATCTGGAATCTCGAGAGACAACCTTTGGATAAGTACGAAATATTCCGTACATTCTTCAATGGTTCAAAAGAAATATTTCACACCAACTGATTTTATTAATGATACTTTGAAAGAGTTTGATACTGATTATATTGATTCGTTATTGATTCATCACCCATTCTTTCATCCTAGCCAATCCACAAAGAAATATACTTTAGCTTCACTTTGGGAAGAGTTTATTCAAATCAAGAAATCAGGTAAAGTTAGATATATTGGAGTATCAAATTGTAATGTACAACAACTACAACAATTGATGGCAATAAGTGATAATCTCGGAGGAAAAGAATTCTATCCTGCAATTAATCAAATTGAGTTCCATGCATGTTTACAAAATCAATCACCTGGTATTGTTAAGTTTTGTCAAGAGAATAATATCCAAGTACAAGCTTATAGTCCGTTAACTCCCTTAGTTAAAGTGGGGGACGGGAATCCAATAATGCAACATTTGTTGCTGAGTTTAGAAGGGAAATACAAGAAAACAAAGGCACAACTCTTGCTTCGTTATTGTTTGGAGAAGGGCATATTACCAATAACTACATCATCCAAACAAGCAAGATTACTGGAATTTATAGACATTTATGATTTTACAATTGCTCGTGAAGATATTGAACAAATTGATTCCGCTGGGTCCAAGACTCCTTATCAAGTTTATTTTAATGGTCTTTTCTAATATATTACGTAGTCAATAATACACAATATTCCACTCCAAAGTTAGATTTAATTGGTCACCTTATTGCTTTCGTTCAAAAAGATCTGAAGTGGTATGTTTGGGAATTTCCGACTCAGTAAGAAACTTCCGAAGTTATACAAATGGTTGTTAGTTTTCTAGAGAGAGGTTTAGTTAATATGTAGTATGTCTACGTAACATATCCAATCCAAATAATATACCAACCGAAGTATCAACTACAAGGAATGAACTAGGTAAATCAATATCTGAATCTCCAATATTGATAGGTACACTATGGATTTTACCTCCAATTTCTTGAGAACCAACACCTATAGCTTTCCCTTGGAATCGTTTATCAATTAATCTTGATATTCCTGTCTTTTCAGCCAACTCGTGACTAATGGTACTATTATTAGCTCCTGAATCAACCAAGGCTACAACTTCAACTCCATTAATTTTCAATTTAATATAAAGCATGGTTACAGTAGTGAAACTTTCAGGAGTAACTTCCCAAGCCAATTTCATATTTTCTTCAATTTGTTCTTGTCTAATTAATTCTAGTATTCTTGCTTGATTTTCCGGATCATCGGGGTCTTCTTGTAATCTTCTAATTTCATCTTGAGTTTTTTGTTGTTGACTAAAGTTTTCATTCGCTTGTTGAATTACCAAGTTTCTAAATTCTGTTGGGTTGGACAATGCACGATGGAAATCCGGTTGCGTCAATCTGATTTGTTCATTTAAACTTGGGTCATTTAAAAATTGTTGTCTCATTAATTCAATTCGTTGATTGGCTATAGCTTCTGGATTGTTGGGATCCATTGCCAGTGAGCTTCCAGCTTGCGGTTGCTGCTGTTGAGGTGCTGGTTGTTGCTGATGTTGCTTCTTTGTCAACAACAATAATTCACCTTCTTTTAACCCCAATTCGGTTAAAGATTGATTTGTTGTTAATATTTTGCCATCAAATCTTAATGTTTGATCATTTGGTTCAATTCCAGTTTCTGCTTGTAAATAAGCTTTAAAATCTTCAAGTGAAAGTGATTCAGGTACATCAACTGAAATTATATCTCCAGTGAATTCAAGTGAAATAGTTAATAGCATGGTTACTGTGTGTGTTTTAGCTTATAAGTTGAGAGAGAGAAGGAGGGAAAGCGAGAGAGTGTGAGTCTGGTAATTCTTATATTGGGGGCAAAATGGCGAAAAATAAGAAACCCATTGATTACATAATCATGCCCAGGGCATAGGAATGGCTAGTTATAAATAATACACCAAGTTATTTCATTATATTTGTAAATAGTCTATACAAGACAGCTTTCCCTATCTAAACAACAAGAACATCAGGTACATCAGGAATAATCATAGCAATGTGACCTCCATTTAATAACATCTTTTTCACAGGAGTAGTACTTGTTCCATTAGTATTATCAGTTTCAATTACATCTTGTAAAACCATATTTACATAATCATCAAATCCTATTAAAGTACCATAGAATTCTTTATCACTTGTCATTAACACTCGTACTTTATTTCCAACTGATCTATCAATAATTTCTAATGGTAATACAGCAGTTGCTGGTTCAATATCAACTACTTCTGGAGTAGCTTCTATCGATACTGGTGGTTGTTCTGCTACCTGTGGTTGTGGAGTAACATTAGATTCAGATCCTTCAGACATTGTCTATTAATATATTTATATATATAGATGCTTACTATGTATACAATTATAATCCCCTTGATGGTTTAATCCGAGTTGGTCTTCTTTGTTGGTAGAGCAAACAGTCGCAATGAATTTTTTTTTGCGCTGTAAATTTTCATCCCAGACACTACCTAATTATCATTACTATGGACTATCTACTGATTATAGACTCTCTACTACAGACTACCGGTCTAACTACTTCTTATTAGTATTAACAATATTCTTGATGAGTAATCTTGAACTCTTATTCTTCCAACCATCAAAGTCAATTAATGCTTGCATACATCCCCATTCAGTTATCTTATTTTGTAACCAAACTAAATTAACTGGTTTAGTTAAATAATCATTACATCCAGCAGTTAAAGCATTCTTACGATCATTCGAATTAGAACTTGCAGTTAATGCCACAATAATAACAGGAGATCTAAATATTGACAAATCTAATTTCTCTTGTGGTTTTAATTCAATTTTCTTATCATTTTTAAATTCATTTTCATATTCATCAAATACTCCAATTTTATTTAATTTCTCAAGATATCTAATTTCTTTTGTAACTTCAATTCCTGATTTAACTGGTAATTGAATATCCATTAATACCAAATGGAATCCACCTTGTCTCCATTTATCTATTGCTTCTTGTCCATTCTTGGCAATTTCATAATGAATCTTTCGTTTTCTTAAAAATGCCCCTAAAATTGCTTGATTAATGGCATTATCTTCTACAACTAATACTGAAATTGAAGGTAAGACTTTATCAGTTGGAGATGTCCCCATCTTATTGGGTCCAGATGTTTGTTGTTGAAGAGCTAATCTTTTCTCTCCTTCAGACTTGGATGATTTCTTAAGTGTCTTTACCTTATCTTGACTATTTGCTCGAGATGGTGTTGGTGATTTGGTTGGGATTACTTTCGTTTCCTTTTCTTTATTTATCTTCTCCCCACCATTAGTCTTAGATCCTTCTTCTTGTTTCTTATCTTCATTTTCACCCAGCTTATCTTTCGTTTTATCCTGATGTTCCCTCTCGGACTTCTTTTCATTCAGACCCGACAAATCACCAAAACTATCACTAGTTGGACTATTATCAAAACTTGAACCATCAAGTGAATGTCTCTTTTTCGCAGTTAAACTAGTTCCACCAGTTAATGAGAAATTCTTAGGTAATAATAATACCGCTTGGGGATTAGCATTTGCAAATTGTGAATTTGGACTCAGGACAGGGCTCGATTGAGACCTTCTATGATATGCACCAGGTGATTCCTTTTTCGAAGATGTTCCTAAGTTTGTAAATATAGGAGACACCGACCGGTCTTTTAGGGTGTTACCTGGATAGCTTGATTTAGTAGAGATATAATGTCTAGCTTGTGGTTGATGCTGCTGTAGTTGGGGGAAGTTCTGTTGCTGCTGCTGTTGCTGTTGTAGTTGTTGGTTATAAAATGATTTCGTCACTAATGATGGTGATGCAGCAATGGGTTGGGGTTGACTTAGGCTTGGGTTTCGGCTTTGTGATTTTTGTACTTGAATCTGTGGTCCTCCAACCAAGCTTCCGTGACGAGAAGAAGTTCTTTGTGGGTTTATTTGATTCTGGGGCGGTATTTCATTAGAAGTTGTATATTGTGAATCAGAATATCGTATCTCCTGATTTTCAAATGGTGAATTTGGTGTTTCCACAATCAAAGCATCTGCCATATTCATTCCCATGGGGAAATATTGATCCAATGTAGTCCAAACCGATTGATCCGGTTCAAGAGTAACAAACTGTTGCATAGATTCTTGACGACGATGATGTGAAGTATAATTCTTCTTGTTTGGAGTAGTTGAAACTGGTGATGCCATCATCATTACATTTGATATTTCTATTCTAATTGATATATCAGCCACGTCGAAATATCTTCCAATTGAATTGGGATATTTTTCAATAATTAATAATTTCAAATCATCAATCAAATCAGTGGAATGGGTTATTACAGTAGTAGGGGTTCCATTGAGTCTCTTGACCCAAACTCTTCTAGTATCTGGTAGCGTTGCAGAATATGACATGTGTCCTGGTGTTATACTTGTAGGTGGAGGTGCTGATGTTCCGACTCCTGTTGATGTAGTTGGGGTTGATACTTTATTTTCAGTGAATGATTCTCCTTTGGGTATAATTATTTCAGTTAAATTGGGAGTCTTACGTTTATGAGAATTTGAAAAACTATTAGGAATATTTGGAAACGTGTTTGTAGTTATTGCTTTGGGTATGTTACTTATTGTTGTACGATTTGTTCCAACATGTGCAAATTGACTCATGTTCTCTGTCAGTCAATATTTACCTTATTCCCTGTTACGTGTCTCCAGTTGGTTGTTTCGGTTGAGTAAAGAAACAAAATGTATGGAAAATAAGTTTGTGTGCCTTGCTTTCTTTGTGTTATTGTTGGGAAGAAAGAGACTTATAAAACAATATATTCAATAACAATGGGAGCTACGAGGGGGCAGAGGGAGGCGTAGATTGGAAGGAGAAGATTGTTTGTTTTGTAAAAGTCCGTTAAGTTTAAAAATCTTGTCAAAATGGAAAGGCGGGACAGAGTGTATCATTGGGAGTGTATATAAGAGAGAACAGAGAGATTACGGGTCGTGTACTTTTATACCATAATTAATTATTCATACTTTACTCACTTAAGAAGCTATAAATCACTATTCCCAATCATCATCTTCATCTTCGTCTGCAGTTTCTCGCTCTTCTTCAGTTGATCCTTTGCTAGGAGGAGTCTTCTTTGAGTCTTCTTCAGGCAAGGCTTTGGTTGGTGGAGTCTTGTCTCGGGTTTCTGTAGGTTCTACTTCGATAGGTGTTGACTTGGGCTTTGCCTTTGACTTTTCCTTCAGTTTCTCAGTCTCCAGTTCTTCTACTTCATCAGTTTCCTCTTCATCATCATCGTCACTCCAAGTGAATTCATCCTCATCTGTCTTGGTATCCTTAGAATGATCTCTTTGCAACAATTGTTGTCTCTTTTCTTCCAATTCCTTCAAATGGGCTTCTTGTTTAAAATATCTATACCAAAATACAGTATATGATAATTGAACTGGTACCAATTCATTCATAGTTTTCTTTAATGTACTTGGATATTTCTCTAATAAATTAGAAATCTCATTTGTTTTATCGTCAACATTAAAATTATGGAAATCTTCTTCAGTATCTAATTCCAGATTAAGAAAACTTTGTTGAGTTGTATGTAACTTAAATAAATCATTATCATACCGAGTAGTACCGTAATTGTTATAATTATTTAAATTGGAATTAAATAAGACCTTCTCATCTTCGTTATCTTGAGAAGCTCTTGCTGTTTCAATTTCTTGCGCAGATGATGATGATGATGATGATGATCCTGGGTTGATAGATATGACATTGGAAAAGAATGAACCAAAACTACTAAAATATTTCCCAGCTTGATTTTCAATAGCTTCTAATTTAGAATCAACAAAATCTAAAGCAGTATTTGCTTTATTAACAATATCAGTTGATTGAATATCTTTTAAATTCAAATTCCTAACTTGATCTTCAATTGATTTTAAATTCTCCAGTATATTAATATTAGCAGCTTTTGAATTTAATCCTTCTTTAGTTGAATTTAATTGATTAATTAAGTTCTTTTTATGTTCTTCAAGATTATATCTTTCTTGAAGATTATTGGATGCAATTGACCAAAGATCTTGGAATTTATGTTCAATTGATTCATAAGCATGTTCTATTTCTTGTTCAAGCTTTTCCATCGTTTCTTCAGTTTTAGAATTTAGTTTAGATGTTTCATCGTCGATGGTTGTTGTATCAACTGGGTCAATTGTAGAAGAGGGGTCTTCTTGTTTAGATTGTGGATTTGGTGATGGAGTGGGAATACTCTCCTTTGTAACTGGATCTAATATGTCCATATTTGAATTGTATCTTGTATGACTGGAGCTTGTGTTGGTGGTTCAATCAGCTGGTGTATTTGGTGCTTAGAGTAATTTACAACAACAGCTACCAAAAAAAAACCTCCTGAGATTTTCTCACTTTCTTTGTTTGTCATATAAAATTAATCAGTAGAAGGGGTTGGCTAGAGAATACAAGAGAGAATTGTTAACTATGAAGAGTTGACCTTTGAAATAAGCTTCAACACTTCATAACGATCAAACATTGTTTTCTAGGTGAAGACCTACAATAGTGTACATCCAAGGAGTTGTTGCATCTTTTCCCAAGACCTCTTTGTGAGTTACACTCACAAGAACAAATTCTCTCCGGGTAACAATTCTTTATCTTCTTTTTATTGGAGTGCCATTTGATTAATTTAGATTAAGTTACTGAATTCATAACTACTAGGGAAATATCATGAGATAAGAATCACACACACAGTGCTTCTTATTAGTTACCATCTCTACTTTACTTAGGATCAATTGAGTAATCAAAATCTGTATATCTGACTCGGCAATTAATTAAAAAGTTTATCCGTGATTCTAAATTTAATTAAACAATAAAACCATAAATAAATTCCTTTGTTCCACATATTTCTAATCTCCTTTTCTTGTGCCGGAACCGGGGGGGAGGACATGTTCGTTTAACTAAAAACTCTTTACAATCTCAATTCATTTCCATTAGTTTCATACACTCCATTATAGGTAGAAGATCCATCCATCTCAAAATGACACGACCTTCACCTCAATTACTTAAGAATTGTTTAATGACAATTCAAAAAGCAAAATTTAAACCTGATACATCATTAAAAAGTCAATTTATATTCCCAACTGAAATTACCCAGTTTTCAATTAAATCTCCAAACAAGTGGAACACTAATTCATTATGGTCAATTATAGGACCTGGTAAATCTAAATTATTAAAGATTATAGCTGGTGAATATATTGCTCATCCTCCATTATCTAGAATTTATTATGATAATTCCAAGATTAAATTTCTTAATTTTAGAGAGAATTCAGGATTAGATAAAGTTCATATGTCAGCAAGATATGAGGCTTATTCATATAAAGGAGTATTAGAAATGAGTGATGATACTAATTCAGTATTTAATTATATAACTGGATTAAATAATTATAATACCATGCATAAGCAAGAAGATATTTCTCGAGAATTCGTTGATCAATTATTGAAATTATTTAATCTTGATCATTTACAAAAGAAATGGATTCAATCTTTAAGTAATGGACAATTAAGAAGAGCAAGATTGGTTAAGGCTTTGATGGATAGACCTAATATATTACTTATAGATGATCCATTCTTAGGATTAGATCCAAAGAATACAACAACTGTAAGTGAAGCATTATATAGAGTTGCCAAAGAATTGAATATTTCAATAGTATTGGGTTTAAGAGTTCAAGATGATATTCCTGATTGGATTAATAGTATTGCATATGTTGATAATGAATTTGGAGTAAAAGTATGTGGATTGAAAGAGGAAGTATTTGATGATTATCAAAAAGAAATTAAACTCATTCAACAAGAACATTTACAACATGAATCAATTCATCATCAACATACTAAGTTAGTTCCAATTACTCAAGAAGAAGAACAATATCAATCTCCAATTCATATTGAATTTAATAATGCATCAATTATTTATAAAGGATTAATAATTTTTCAAAATTTCAATTGGAAAATCCCCAAGGGAAGTAAATGGAGAATTCTTGGTGATAATGGTACTGGAAAGACAACTTTATTATCAATTATAACTGGAGATCATCCACAATCTTGGAGATCAGTCATAAGTATAGATGGGAAATTACGTAAGACAGGAAATGGAATTTCTATATTTGATGTTAATAATAAAATTGGTATTTCATCACCTGAATTACATTCATTAGTTCCTCAACATACAAGAACCATGAATGAAATTATATATAATGGATTAGTTAAAGATATTGGTAATTCTAATTTTATGTACAAGAGAAACCCGAAGAATCATCCAATCCCACCTAAATCTCAAGCTATCTTGGATCAATTTAAACAACAACTTGATGAATATGGTGATGAATTATTTATTAATTTATCAATGACAAATCAAAAATTATGTTTATTTTTAAGAGCAATAATTAAACAACCAGAGATATTAATTCTTGATGAAGCCTTTTCATGTATGGAAGATGAAAAAGTGATGATTCAATGTCATAAGATTATTGAACATCAATTAAATGATATGACAGTATTAACTATTGGACATTTAGATTGGGAAATACCAAATTGTCAATATTTATTACAACTTTCCGGAGATAATGACCGGAGTTATAGAGTGTATAAATATGCATAGCTAGTCAACTTGTAACTTCATACTAGAGATATTTGTTGTTTAAAGATACGAAGAGGTCGTGTACTTTAAATCAATCGGTTAAAACACGAAACCTTACATAATTTATTTTTTGGTTAACTTAAACGCGTTATAAAAAGAAGGAAAAATGGGAAAATAATAAAAGATTCATTTTATTTTTTACACAATTACACAATACAATAAGAATTATTATTTTTTGTATTTTCGGGTAACGGTTAACAAATTTTATTTTTAATTTATTTTTAATTTTTTTTTTCAAAGAAAATTCACTCACTTTTTCTCCTATTACAATTTTAACTCATTTTTTTTTTTTTACAACCAAACTGAACAAAACCTTTAAAAATTGTACAACAACCAACTTATTTACATAACAACAGATTAAAACAGACAGACAGACACATATAGTTTGACCAGTCAGACAGACAGACAATTTACATATTCCATACCAAATATTTTTTTACACATTTACAATAGTGGTCTCTTATATCAACACTATTGATTATTAAATATACACTCGCTTTTACTGAAGAACAAAACACTTTCTCTACTTTACAACACACAGCAGACATTTAAATAAGATCACATGACAATAACAACAACAACAACAACAGATTCCGAGACCACCACACATTATACCAAATATATTCCCAATGCCCCTGAAGATAATCGATCATTAGAAATCAAACGTAATTTAGAATATGGTCAATTAACTTCAAAAGAACATTTATATGTTTCTCAACATCCAGTAGGAGAACCATTACCAATGCCAATAGATGATGAACCTCCATATATTATTTATATTGCTACATATATTAATTATCTTATTTTAATTATTATTGGTCATATTCGAGATTTTTTTGGTAAAATATTTAAACCAAAAGAATATGAACATTTAATTGAAAAAGATGGTTATGCTCCTTGGTATGATGGTTTTGAAAGTTTTTATGTTCGTAGATTAAAAACTAGAATTGATGATTGTTTTGCTAGACCTATTCATGGTGCTCCAGGTAGATTTATTAAATGTTTTAATCGTCAATTAGCTGATTCTGGTAATGGTTATATTTATGATGGTACTAGTAGAGAATGTTTAAATTTATCATCTTATAATTATTTAGGGTTTGCTCAATCAAGTGGTGTTTGTACTGATTTTGCTTTAAAATGTGTTGATAATTATGGTACTTCTGCTTGTTCATCTCGTATTTATTCTGGTACAACTGATTTACATAAACAATGTGAAGAAGTTGTTGCTGATTTTGTTGGTAAAGAAGATGTAATTATTGTATCTCAAGGTTATGGTACAAATGCTAATTTATTTTCATCAATTGCTGATTCTAAAACTTTAGTTATAAGTGATGAATTAAATCATGCATCAATTAGATTTGGGATTAGATTATCAGGTGCATCAGTTAAAGTTTTTAAACATAATGATATGAATGCTTTGGAAAAATTAATTCGTAATCAAATTGCTCAAGGTCAACCAAAAACTCATAGACCATGGAAAAAAATCATTATTGCTGTTGAAGGGTTATATTCAATGGAAGGCAATATGTGTAATTTACCAAAATTAGTTGAAATTAAAAATAAATATAAATGTTATTTATTTGTTGATGAAGCTCATTCAATTGGTGCCTTAGGACCAAATGGTAAAGGTATTTGTGATTATTTTCAAGTTGATCCAAATGAAATTGATTTATTAATGGGTACTTTTACAAAATCATTTGGGGCAACTGGTGGTTATATTGCTGGTGATAAAAATATAATTGATAAATTAAGAATTAATTATATAACTCAAGTATATTCTGAACTGGTACCTCCTCCAGTATTAGGACAAATCATATCTTCATTAAAGGTGATTAAAGGTGATTTAAATCCAGGAGAAGGTAAAGAAAGATTACAAAGAATTGCATTTAATTCTCGTTATCTTAGATTAGGATTAAAAAAATTGGGATTTATTGTTTATGGAGCTGATGATTCTCCAGTTATTCCCTTGTTGTTATTTTTACCAGCTAAAATGCCAGCAGTTTCAAGAATGTTATATGATATGGGAATTGCAGTTGTCATTGTTAGTTATCCAGCCACTCCATTAATTAGTGCAAGAGCTAGATTATGTGTATCATCAGCATTAACTAAAGATGATTTAGATTATGTTTTAACTAAAATTAGTGAAATTGGTGATTTAATTTATTTGAAATTTAGTAGTGGTATTGCTGGAGGATCTAAAATCCCTGGTCAACCTCCAAGATGGTCAATTGAAGATGTTTTAGCTACAAATGTCGAAGATTGTAAGAAACCAAAATTGATGTAATTCCCCATACCGCATACTAATTTCACACTTCCATACCATATCCATACCAATCTCACTCATTTAATCAATCTGTATTAAAGAAAAAAAAGTTTTTCCATTTTTATGTAAATTAGTTTAATTTAATTTTAATAGTAATAATAATAATAAATAATAACAAGTAATAATAAGTAATAACCTATTAGTAGTAGCACCAGCAATGTCCAATGAACGAATTCCTGATAATTTAATTCCTCCTTTAAGATTTACAACAATTCAAACTAATTTATATCGAGGAGGATATCCTCGAGAAGTTAATTTCCCATTTTTAGAAACCCTTGAATTAAAAACAATAATATCATTAACACCAAATCCAATAACCCTGGAGACTGATCCTAAATTATATGAATTCATTCGAAAACATTCTATAAACTTAGTTCATCTAGAATGTGCTCCTGCTGGTAAAGGTAAGAAAAGAGGTGTCCCCTTAGATTATCATATAATTTTAACCGCTATAAATTATATTATTCATAATAAATATCAACCAATTTATATTCATTGTTTAAATGGAGGACAAGTTACAAGTTTATTAATTGCATGTTTAAGGAAATTACAATTTTGGTCTTTAATTTCAATCTTTAATGAATTTATTCAATTCACCGGGAATATTACTGTTAATGATCGTAATTTTGTCGAAGGGTTCAAGGGAGATATTATAATTGATCCAAATGATAAAGTAGATTGGCTATGGGAAGGGGTTAGTAAACATATAATTGGAACTCGTCCAAAATTAAAAGTTATCGAAAGTAAAATATACTAGAATCTATTAAATCTATACTAAAAACCTATATCCTTTGGAAGAATAAACAATATGCATTACGATTCATTACTTTATCAACTGAACAATTCAAAGTTATCTTTGCATCATCAAAATAACACCAACCCCTAGTCTTTGATTTATCACTTTGTTTCAATACATATGAAGTATAATGACCAGTTGTTAAATTTCCAAAATGATTAACAACTCCAAATAATTTATATTTAAATGGTGGAATTTGATTTCTTACAGGTAATGTTGCCAATACTTGTTTTTCTTGTTCAATTGTCATTGGATTGTTTGAACTTATAGATGTCCCCAAATCTGGCCAATATGGAGTTAAATCTAATTCTTTTGTTACTGGATATGTAACAAATGTTTCCAATTTATTAAATCTTCCATTTCCATCATATTTAAATCGTTTAAAATTAATAATTAAAACTTGTGGTAATCTAGTTATACTTATCTTTTTAGTCAGTCTTGTGAATCGTTTACAATTGGGACAATGCCATTTATTATTATCATCCAATAATTCAAGGGTTAAGAATTCTTCTAAACAATCTTGTAACAGAACATTCACGGTTTTATTTAATTTCTCGGGAATTGGTAATGATAAAATACTAAATGAATTATAAGTAGTTGAAGTTGATTGACATTCTAAACATTTTAATTGTGATAAATATTGTCCTTGAAAATAATCAACAATAATTGAAAAATGTAATTTTAAATATCTTTCCCATTCAATTGTAGATGCTAATCTAATTGGTAATATTTCTCGATTCTTTTCTTGTTCTGGAGTTAGTTCAGTAATTAATTTCTTTTCTTGAGCATCTTTATAACTCATTTGATTTAAATCTTCATGAATAGAATCTAATAAAAATGTTAAAAATTCAATACAATCTTGTTGATCAGATGTTGCAAATTGTTTACTTGGAGATAATGATCCCATAATTTGTTTAAAATTACATGGATTTAATACTTTCTCATTATTATTAAACATATTCAATAATAATTCAACAAAACTGGTAGTAAATAACCCCTTTGTACCTAATTTATTATTAATATTAATATGTTGTTTATATGGACTGTTAGTAATTGAAAATGACCCATTATCAGAATTTATTGAAGGAAAGAAAAATGTAGTTAATTGAGGTGTTGCTGCAATACATTGTAATATACAATTCATATAACATGAATTGCCAAGATTTACTATTGGTCATCATACGTCAAGTTCTTTAGCTTCAAAAAATAGAACTAATCTTTGATGTAAATCTTTAGGATGAGGTGGAGTTTCTGGTTTACCAGAATTTTCATTAGGAGTCCCTGATACTGATCTTGGCATTGAACCACTAGTACTACTACGTACCCGTGGAATTGGCTGTTCTAATGGATTCTTGGGTGGGACAGGTGGTGGAACAACTACAGGACTATCGGCTATATGATTTGATTGAGGCATGGTTATTTTAGTTATTGGTTCTGATTTGAGGAATTCTGGTTGGGTTGGTCTATAAGGTTCAGGTTGGAAACTGGTCTTTGGAATAGTTGCTGGTCTAACATATTTAGTGAAATCATTCTGAGATGACTCATTATTAGTGATGACAGATAAATCATGATTGGATTTAGTCAAATAATCACCGAACGAAGTTAAATATTCCAGTTTATTATCATTATTTACCTTATTGGATTGGTCATGGTCTTCATTTAGTGAACTTATAATAGATTCTTTCCCAAATGTATTAAACCAATTCAAAACCCCTCCTGATAAATAACAAGGGATTATTTTAAGTCTTGAACTTATATATTTACATTTAATCATCAATATATCAATTAATTCATTGAAAGGAAAAAGTCTTTATAGTAGTAATTAATAAAATAGACTTTAGGTAACCTTTGCTAGAATTTGATTAGTTGGACCATATTTATAGTTGTATAATACCACCAAATCATATTTATATCTATCTCTAAATCGTTGGAATTGATCATGGGGTAATGAATCTGAAAGTAAATCTTCTAAATCTTGATCCGTCGATGAATCATTCTTGAGTATTAATTGTAGTTGCTTTGGTTCTATGTTTATTATATGTTTGTAATTTATATGATTATGATGGAAATCTTTAGCCGGTCTATAATCTATTAATAGGATTTTTTGTTGTTTGTTATTTAATAAATCTCGTAATTCATGGGGTGTAATTTGATTTCTATATTTGAATTTGTTGATATCTGTCAATTGATTATTGTTGATTTCTGGAGAAGGACTTGATTTTAGATTGTTAAATCTGTCTAGTAATGGATCTACTTGTTTCGTTGGCTGTAACAGTAGTTGATGATTATGTTGTATGACTTTCTCTATTGACTTAAAGTCTGGTTCAATAACATCAATAGCTTCTTCAATTTGAGTATAAAGATCAATATTCTTTTTATTAACAAACTTCTTAATCTTAGATAATAATAACAAAGCACAAGTATAAATAACATAAGCTAATTCATAATCACAATTATTCAAATGTTTAAATAATTTTGATTGTTCTTTAAAGATTTGTAATAAACTAATTTGAGCACTCATTAATTTATGAAAAGTTGAAACTCTACTTATAATTTGTTTAACTAATTGATTACTAATAGATTCAAGTTCCATTGGTGATCTAAATGACATTTGTTGATTACTCGTCATCTCTTTTCATATTCCTCTCTCTCTATATATATAGACGTGTCTTCTTATCTAAGAAGCAGATGATGATGATTAATTTATTGTGTGGCGTTAATCTGTAATCAATTCAATTCTTTTTTCTTTTTTTTGGCTGCTACTAAATTAATTAATTGCCGTGGGGGATCATTCTAGAATTTGACTGCAAAATATTTAATTTATAACGAGAGACTAATTAAGACTAATTACTACTCAATTACTACTTGTAACTTATAAAAAGTAGTACTCTAATGACAATTATTAGAGAACTCTTGTATACCTTTATCAAATCCTTGTTCCCATTCCCATATAAATCTCAGTTTCCCCTTAACATTAATATGTTCTTGTAATCTAGAATGTTTCAAAGCTTGTTTTCTACCAATTATTGATCCATTAAATTTACCAAAAGCTTCAGAATCAGCCCAACCAGTTATAAACCCATCTTTATATCTATCATGTTCAAATTTTTCATTTGGACTAGTTGAATTCCAATAATTGGTATGATCATTATATGCTTGATTTAAACTATTTTCAAATGCTTCTCTTGAAGGAATATTAATTGGTAATGATGGGAATTTAATTGCACCTTCATTAATCATTGTTTTTAAATCCCATTCACCACCATTACCAGATTCAAATTTAAATGTCCAAAAATAGAATCCACAAGTTCTTGAATATAATAAATCACATTGTTTATTACCATATTGACGAACTATATCATTTCTATTAGCATTAGGTAATTTCTCCCATGATTTATTATCAAGAACACATGAATATTCACCAACCATAATATCAACTCCCTTTGAATCATTAGTTAAATTAGTTAAAACATCTTTATCTAAATCATGAATAATTTGATTTGGATCTTTGGATTTATCATCATCTGAAAAACATCTATAAACATGATGATCAATAACTACCCCAATATTATGATCATTATCACCTTGTTGATTTTGAATCCATTCAACCCATTGATTAGTCCACCAACCATCAGATATAATTATTGGAATTGTTGAATTTTTAGATCTAATTTCATTAATGGTTGCAGAATAATATTGAATTTGTTTCTTTGGAGGATCAGCAAAGTCAGCTTCATTAACAATTTGAATACCAGCAATATTATCATAGTGGTTTAAATCTTCAGCAATAAATGAAAACATCTTTGTCATTAATAATTGAGCTTTTCCATCATCCCAAAATTTATTTTCACCTTGTTCTCCAGAATGACTTGAATGATTAGCACCAAATGGTAAACCATGAATATCAATCAAAATTGAAATATTATATTTGGCAGCTTGTTCAATAAATTTCAGTTTAATAATATTCCAAGCATTTGAATAAATGGATTTAAATTTCTCAAATTTTAATCCTTTGGTAAAATTCCCTCCATCAACTTCCCAATAACCAATTGGTAAACGAATTGAATTAATATGATGATCTTGTAACCATTTCCAATCTTCTTCATTTACATAATTATTCCAATGAGATTCAAATCTTGATTTAGTTTCTTGTTCTCCTAATTTTTTAATCATTTTGTCAACTGCAGTTAATTCACAATCATCATTACCAGTATCTTCAACAAATAAACTATGAAATATCCATTTTTCTAATACAAAACATGAACCAAAATTAACTCCAATGTTTTTACGTAATTGATAAATTTGTTTTGTTGTTGGTGCTTGACCAGGAGTTACTACTGGATCTGTTGGAATAATATTACCTGCTTTATGTTTTAATTTTAATTTATCAAACATCGATGACTTGAATTGATTCAATTGGATCTCGCATTCTTTTCTATAATTAGAAATTGAAATAAGATCTAAGGAGAAGCCATATTTATATATATTTATACTACAACAAAGGGGTTTAAGAGAGGCGCAAGTAGCAATATAAGCAATTTTATTTTCTAGTTCCCTGTTATTGTTAACTTTCATCTCATCTCATTTCAGTTGCTCACATTTTGTTCTTCGTTCTTTATTTCTTGGATTTGATTTTGGATCTCATCGTTCCCCATTTATATAGTCTCTTCCACCCCTTTGGTTAACATCATCATTCTCTCCATACAAAACATCCATTTGAAAAATTATTAATAATTATTAATTTTTACAAACCACATTGAATTTTAATTACTTTTTCATTTAGATAACAAAGGTTTAAGTAATGCTATAATGACAATAATACTATGAATAATCATGATATATCTATACCAAAATCATGGTCTTTATTCTTTCAAAGATTAACCAAAATATACTTTCAAATTAATACTCATTTAACTTTCTTATCATCACATTCAAGAACTGTTATACCATCAATTGATTTGATTCAAAAATTAAATAATTCAATAACCATTAATGATCTTACAATTATTAAGTTGTTATTCCCAAATAATGAAATCTTCTTTGATTATGTTGATGAGAATCAAATTATGTTAAGTTTTATTGAAGATGTTAAACTGGATTATGAAAAAGGTTATCATCAAACTTCAATTGTTGATAGACAAAATTATGATGATGATCCCGAAACCCTCCAATCTAAACAGATACTAATATTTGATTTTCAAGATGCTAAATTACATGGAATTGGATTGGCTAGAAAAGGAGGTGGAAGAAAACGGATTAAGAAAGAAACCACCCGTAGCAATCCCGATGATTATGATCAAGGACAAAGACGTGATTTCTTTCTTTCGAATGCCGCATATCATTTAACTCCATTGAATAAACAACAACTTATGAATTTGATCCAATCGAGAAATGCCAAGTTCCTTCAATTGATTACCGAATATCTTCTAAAGTATACTAGCAAAAACGGTGAAGTTGATTATGACAAAGCCGAAGTGGACTTAATAGATCAATCTGAGCTAGCGCTCCCAAAGCCAGCTGATTTAAAGGATATAGTTCAAGTATTGAATGACAAAGAAGAACATCAAGCGGTAGACCCAACACATGAAGAATGTTCCACCGATTATATGATTGAATCGTTAAAACTGGCGAAATTCTATCAAGATCAAATCACTTCAATCTACACCTTGAACGAAGCACAAGAACCAAAGTATCAAACGTTATCACCAGAAGTTTCATCATCCTTACATCCCAAGCTAAAAGAAGCTATTCAATTGAGTAAAAACATAGATATTGAAAATGGACTTTATTGTCATCAAGCAATGGCTCTAGAAACCTTACTATCACCATCCTCACCCGATTCACATGTTATTGTAAGCACACCTACTGCATCGGGTAAATCATTAATCTATCAAATTCCAGTTCTAAACTCAATACTATGGGATATCACTTATGGGTTAAAAGGAAGACATAGTACTGCCTTTTTTATATTTCCAACAAAAGCATTAGCTCAAGATCAGATGAGGCATATTAAAGAATTTATAAATTATATCCCGGGGAATATTGATAATCCAATCATTGTAAATACTTATGATGGAGATACTCCATTTACTGAACGTATTCGAATCCTGAAAGAATCTCATATTCTTTTCACTAATCCAGATACAATACATGCGTCTATCCTTCCAAATAATCATTTTGAATCTTGGAGACAATTTCTTCAATCTTTGAAATTTGTCGTTATGGATGAACTACATATATATAAAGGTACATTTGGGATTAATGTAAGTTATGTCATGAGTCGACTATTACGGATCAAACATCATTTGTGCCCGCTGGAACCCAATGCCCGATTCATTTCATGTTCAGCAACAATTGAAAACCCAATTACTCATTTCAAGGCAGTTTGCAGTCTCTCAAACATCGAAAACATCATTCACATCAATCAAGATGGAAGTCCTCATTGTGAAAAGAAATTGCTTGTTTGGAATCCACCCGAACTAATGAATAAACGAGGTCAAAAGAACGCTAACAATGGAAATGATCAAGTTGTGCCCCGGGTAGGTATGATTTCGGAACTGGCGCGAGTCTTGGTAAATTTATTAAATTCGATCCCAGGGATTAAAGCAATAGTATTCTGTCCAATTAGAGTAGTTTGTGAAATGTTAATGAAAGAAATTAGATATTTACTCCAAAATGAATTCCCCAACTCAAACATTGATCAAAGTGATGTCATGGCATATCGTGGAGGATATAGTAAATCTGATCGAAGAATCATTGAACAAAAAATGTTTAGTGGACAACTTCGAGCAATCATTGCTACAAATGCGTTAGAATTAGGTATTGATTTGTCTGATTTGGATGTGGTTATAACTTGCGGATTCCCCATGCTGAAACTGAACCTTCATCAACAATTTGGAAGGGCTGGACGAGGTAATTCATCTAAAGGAAGTTTAGCTATTTATGTTCCAGGAAGAAACCCTGTTGATCAATATTATTTAGAAAATTCTTATGAATTATGTCAACGTCATTATGAGGATTTATGTGTTCAAGGATTACGTGATATGGATTGTAGTCTGTTGATTATGGAACAACATCTCCAATGTGCTGCCTATGAACTTCCAATCGATTTAGATGCTGACAGAAGATGGTTTTCTTCTGAATTATCATTTAATGCATATACCAAAACCCTCAAGGATCATTTATTATTCGATATTGATGGGAAATATAAACCCAATCCTAATTATTTACCAAAACCACATAGTCTGGTCAATATTCGAGTAATTGAAGAAACACAATTCGCAGTAGTTGATATCACAAACAATCGAAATATTGTCATTGAAGAAGTAGAAGCCCTGAGAACAAGCTTTACTCTTTACGAAGGTGGGATTTTCTTACATCAAGGACAACCATATCTTGTCAAAGAATTTAATCATAAAGACCATTATGCTAAAGTTGAACGGGTGAATGTTGATTGGACAACTCTGCAACGTGATTTTACTGATATTGATCCATTAGAAGTCGAGGCTGTAAAACCATTATTCCCATTACAGGCTTCAAAACCGTTGGATATTCCGATTTTCTTTGGCAAAATCAAAATTACCATGATTGTATTTGGATTTTTCAAAGTTAATAGAAGAGAAGAAATAATTGAAGTTGTTGAAGTCAAAAATCCTCCTGTAGTTATGCACTCGAAAGGATTCTGGATCAATATCCCTAAACGAGCCCTTGAAATCATTACAGAGAAGAGTTTATCCGCCGCTGGAGGTGTTCATGCTGCCGAACATGCTATTATGAACATGCTTCCCGTATTCATCAATGGAAATTCTTCCAAACAAACAACATCATCAAATGCGTTCTCGTTGGAACTTTCAACTGAATGCAAAGCTCCAGAAAAGGAATTTTCCGGTCGAGAAACTTCAAGAAAACGTCCCGCAAGATTAATCTTTTATGACACCAAGGGTGGGAAATTAGGAACAGGAATAGGATATAAGGCGTTTGAATGTATGGATGAAATCTTGGATGTTACTTTTAAAAGAGTTCGGGATTGTGAATGTGATTGGGGATGTCCGTTATGTGTGGTGGGCGAATGTAGGGAGAATATGACAGTAATGTCTAAACCAGCCGCTATTATCATTCTTGGATCACTTCTAGGTGTCGATTTGGAGGAATTAAGTGAACAAATACCGGATGGGCCTGAAATGAATATGCCTGAGGTGAATACTGAAACTATAATTGAAGGGTCTTCTACAGTTAAATTTTCCCCCAATGTTAAAATTTCCAAAGTCATTAGAAAAAGAAGATGTTTTACGTAAATTATACATTTATATTATAAATAAATATTTAATTCTTATTGGAAATTTTTCCTTTAATTAAAGATGCTGTTCGTGAAAACCTTTTGGAAAATTTGTCCTTTTTAGATGTAAGACTATTCTCACGAGCAGATGCTGTCGTCATTGTTCTGAGAGTCGTGACATTATCACTATTGGTTCTTCTATATGACATTCGTCTGTTTATCTCAATTGCAGGAGATGCTGTTCTCAGTGTTGGTCTTTCGGGTTGCACCGGTTCAAGATGTTGCTGCTCCTTCCCACCTTTTCTTTGTAATGCAGGACTAATTGGAAGTGTCTTCCTCTTTGCACTCCTAAATACGGTGTGAACCGGTTTTAAATAAATAGATGCTAATGTTCCAATATTCAAATCCAATTCTTCAAGAATTGCAGGATGTATTGAATCGTTTTCAGATGAAATTACAGGATTTGAATTCAAGATGATTTTCTTTGTATTCTCTTGGAATTCTCCATCTGCGCTAGTCGCATGCTCTGATGATATAAGTCTCCAATAGATATATCCTCGATCTCTTATATCAGGATTATCTACTTCTTCAGTCGCCCATTTCAAAACTCTCAATACTATAGATTCACCTCTTGTAGGATATTTTAAATAATATTTGGTAGCAGCAGTCAAGGTGGCATATTGAACTTCGATTGGATCATCTTTAAAACTAGAAATAAAATCATCCAACATCTGAACTGTATCTTCCTCAATAATTTCACAATATTGTCCCACAATCCAGATTAAAGCTGTTTTGGCATCTGGTTCATCAATTAAATGATAATGCTTAATTAATTCATTAATTGCGAAATTGAATTCGCCAGGATATTTTCGTAATATATTCTTGATGGCAATGGTCGATTCTTGTACAATATACGAGATCCCATGAGACATTAAATCACATATAATCTCAACACATTGTGAAGCTGCATTTTCTAATTTCACAGCAAGATTTCCAAAAGCTCTTATAGCTTTTCGTGCCATTGGTATATCTACTTCTGTTGCATATTCTTCTAGTTCAAGTAAGACCAGGCCAACATTTTGTTCATTTGCTAACAAGTAAATGATTTCAAGCTTTGTATCTTTAACGTATATTGGATCGTCGAATCGACAATAAAACATTTCCACTTCAAAATGAACTAATTCTTTATTACCTAAAAGTAATAAAATCACATTTCTTAATACAAGAAATTGAACTTCAGGAGTTTTCGATAAAAGTGATATTAATGATGTTCCTAATCTTTTAGGTAAAATTGGTAATTTTAATTCAGGATTTTTCACATATTTTGAATAATATATTATGATTTTAATTGCATTTAATACAACTGCTGCATTCTCATGTTGTAAAGATGGAAGTACAGCTTCTATTAAATCCAAAGCTTCAGTTTCACGTTGAGGTACATATGACATTAATGCATTTAATAAATATATTTGATGCCATTCATTTGTAGAATCCAAGAAAGAGATCAATTGTAATGAATGTGCTTTATCAATCTTTAAAGTTAAAGTCTTACTATTTTCAGTAATTGAACTTAAAGCGGCTAAAGCATTTGCAACCACAAGTTGATCATCATCATAAAGTAATTTATTCAATTCATCTACCAAATTTTCTCTTTCAACTGCTCCATGATCATATTGATACAATCTGGCGATTGAAAATGCTGTTGTTTTCCTTACATAAGGATCAGGATCTTTAATCATACGAGTTGCCAAAGATACCCCGACGTCTATAAATTCTCTTCTTCTAACTGAAGAAATAGCTCTTATCACCAATGCTCTTAATATAGGAGAAGGACTTTCACTTAACTTTTCTAAATATGGGATTGCATTCAAGGAATCGTCAGATTGAGTATTGTTGGAATATGTTGCAATAAATTCTAAACAAAGCTTACGTACTTCCATATCATCCAATTTTAATAATGGTATAACATCAGACATCATATCTGCTACTTCATTATTGTTTAAAATTATATTGGCTAATATTTTACGTAAGACAGTTTTGACTCGAGGAATTGGTTTTGATTTCTTGAATGCTTGATCCAATTCTGCTCGTAATTCAAGACTTTTTGACTTTCCAAATATCTTGACATCACTCATGATTGGTTGTGACTTTGGTAAGATGCAGCGAGTGATATAAAGAGAGTTTGTATTTAATTTGTGGTAGATGAGGCTAGTGAATCTTGAATTGAAGATATCAGATTACTGAAACGGAATTGTCCATCGTTGGATGTTTTTCGCTTAAAGCGGAATTTTGACGCGACCTATTTTTAGAACGATGAACTTTTCAAGTTCCAAAAGAGGAGGGGTCCATTATAAGGGTCTTTACGACGTAATAGCAGGAGAGAAAGACAGAGAGAGGGTTTGGTATATCACAAGGGTCGTGGGACTACATTCAATACATTAAAAAACAAACCTATAACTTTATATAACCAGAAGCGTAAGATACACTGCTTTCTGAACTTCTCTTGACTGGATTTGATTGAGAATATCCTATCCAATTGAAGACATCTTGACCAACAGTACCACCACTATTCTTATACCTTTCTGTCAATCTAAGAATGATTGATATAGGTTTCTGTCCACATATCGTATTTCCTGAAACTTTAATATAGTTATTCCACTCCGTGTAGCTTCCTTTAGTGGCAATATCAAGCGCCATTTTGTCAAGTAATTCTATTGATTTATAGATTTCCAACTCTTTCGGTTTATGTAATGCGCCAAGCAGTACCATATATCTATCTAGGGTGTCTACGGTGGTGTCAATAGAATTCAAATATCTAGTATATTGAAATCTAGATCCCCAATGACAAAAATCGGAACTTATTATAAAATGATTCTCTTCATGCTCCATATACGGTAATAATGATTCCACAATATCGTCATGTAATCTTTCATCCATTGCACTTATTAAAATTGGTATTATTTTTGGCATGCCATGTACTGCTTCTTGTCCCTTATAATAAATAAAAGGGGCATGCATTTCAAATGAATGTTCATCTTCATCGATATCTTCACTCATATACTTAAATATACGATCGGTGCTTGAATGTTTGGATTTCAATTTAACCAACTTTTCGATCGTATCGGTATCAACTGGAATATTTCCAAATGGTGTTTCATAATAATCAAATGGTGATAATAAGGCATAGCCTCTGAAATAAACATGATGAGATGGACCTAATAAGAAAACACGCTTCACTTTCGAAACATCCCATGCATTAAATGTTTCTGCTAAGCGTTCACCAGAATAAGCATATCCAGCATGTGGACCAATAAGTACTCTTGTTCCAGATATACCTTTACTTGCATCTGGTCCCGATAACGGAGTCTTTAAATGTTTTGCCTTTTCAAAAAATGCATCTAATTGGCCACGTAACTTGGTAGAACTACTAGAATACCAAGAGCCGGAATGGGTAGCAGAACGGACACTCATTTGTTCTTCGAAAGCTGACTTTGACTTGTTAATAGTAAATACTAAGAATAAAAATAATAATAATAATAGCCGTAGCGATAAGTCAAAGAAAGAGAGTGAATGATTTTGTACCATAAAATTGACGGGATGAGGGTTTGCGCTTCTCCCACAAGAAAAAAAAAATCGCACTTCAAAGATCTCCTCCCCTTTTCCTTCGGTATTGTAACCGGACTGACCGAAACAACCCACTAAAGCTTTCTGCTTACAATGTCTGGGCGGGTTCCACAAATGTTGGATTGCTTCGTGTTCTGGCTTTTATTTGTTCCGAGAGTTACAAGTAAAACAAAACAAGAACAAACCGAACCCAGCAATTCTTCAACACTTTTCCCAAATAGGAAATTCCTCGTAAATAATTTGGTTTTTAGTGAACAACCGAAAATTTATAAATTACAAAAATAATTTTACACCCAGCAATTCAATTGTCTAATCAACTAAATAAATATTCATTTATTGAAAGCAATATCCAAAATAAGTAAAGAAAAAAGGGAGATATGTTCACATTATGTTCCAATTATACTCAATCCAAATAGCTTTAGATGATTTGTTATTCAAACTCACAACTCCCCACAAATCGTATTCTATTATTTCCGAGATTACTTTTTTTATTCATAATTAAAAAAATTGTCCATATCTCGACATATACATAATCTCATGATATCAAATAGTTAAACTACTTCTTACAAATTTCCAAAGACCATTGATGAGAAATCAACAATTCATCACCAGCGTAATAGGATGAATAAGCCAGGAAATGTCCTCTAGAAAAAAAACCAGATGGAGTTTCATCCTCTGGATATTCAACTGAATATATTTCATCTGATGGTTCAAAATCACCAAACTCAAGGTCTCTTGTTTTAACAGTTAAACCCGCCTTTTTAACATCTTGATGATATCTGAAATTCTTTAATGGTTTATTCTGAACTTTGAAATAAAGGGTGTTACGATATTTAGAGCCTTCTGGAATCTTGGCACTAATTGATTCAGCATCTAAAATTGGAAAATCAATTGGTTCTCTACCTTCAACCAGCATGGTACTCTTGATAAGAATCAAATTTTCATGTTGTGCGAAACCCATTGTTGTATATATATGTTAACTTGTTGTATAAAAGATCTATTAAAAGCAACTACCTAGACTAAGGATCAAAAAAAAACTGTTATACAACTTAAAAAAAAGGGGGGGTTGAACACTATTTATATTCTTGGTCCGAATGGTCGGTTTATATAGTTTTCCTTGTGAAGCCATTCTTGGCCCATGGAATTTCGGTACATTTTTTGTTAAAAATCCACATACTGCCTATTTATAATTGTCACATGTCACTTTATCCGCTTTCAGAAAAGAAACACAAAAAAGTAATTATGGGTCGCAAAACTCTCATAATTATTCTCCAATTTTGCAGGTTTCTTTAAAACTCCGAACTTCAATCTCTAATAATTCCTTTAATTGGGAAATTGAATTGGCTCTTGCTTCAAAACTAAAATCAAATAATTCTTTAGAGACTGGTTCCTCGGAAAGATTTCTCACATTCTTGAAAAAGCTATGACAAAGAATTTCATCTATTTCCAATCTTTTCTTATAATCCCACTGTAAAAGCTTATCTAATAATTGAATTGCATCATTTGGAGCAAATGGATACAAGATTTTCCATTTCACAGGACGATATTTAACCCAGAGTAACCCCTCTACTTTCCAATTATATTTCTTGATTGCTTCTATTGGTGGATTGCCAAGAACTTTGAACAATTCATGAATCTGTTCATGCAGATTCTTCCCAGGAAATAAGGGTCTTCTGCCAAATAATTCCCCAAAAATACACCCGGCTGCCCATATATCAACTGATTTAGTATAATTCTTGGTTGATAAAATTAATTCTGGAGCACGATACCATCTTGTTGCAACATAGTTAGTAATTGTTGTACTATGATTTTTAAAATATTTGGGATTTATTCCTCTTGCTAAACCAAAATCACAGATTTTTAATATTCCTTGTGTTGTGACTAAAATATTCCCTGGCTTTAGATCTCTATGTATAACATCTGCTGAATGAATATATTTTAAACCGCATAGAATTTGATACATGAAGTTTTGTATATGGAATTCTGAAAATTGGACATTGGAATATAATACCCTTGCTAAATCTAAATCTGCCAATTCTTGAATGCAGTATAATCCTTCATAAGGTTTAACATAAACCACGTCTAAGTCTATTAAGGTTGCAATCTATAATGTAAAAAGTTAGTAAAATATTTAATGTTGGTTATTACTTAAAAGTATACATACGTTTCTATGCCCTCTGAAGAATTTCATAAATTTTAATTCTCTAATTGCCCTAATCAAAAGGATATCTTTATTAAATATTTTTGTTACTTTCTTGATTGCAATCTTATGTTCATTTCCTGACGTTAGCGTTTTTGTATCTATTGCAGAACATACAACACCATATGATCCCTTTCCTAACACTCGTACAATTTCATATCGTGAATCAACTAGAAAATGATTTTCATTATCTGTATAAGTTGAACAGGACTTTAGATGACCAGTCTTACTTCTGATTGATGACATGTATTATTAGTTGTCGAAAGGAATACAGTGTTGCAAAAAAGATCAAATTCCCGATTTTTTGCCGCCACTGTTTGTTCTGAGTATCTAAAATGATTGATTCAAATCTGGTGTAAATAACAAGGGGAAAAACTTTATTCAAAGTGAAGAACCTTGGTAATCTCAACTTTCTTGGGGGGGGATTGGATCAGAAGAAGAAATTCTTTAAGTGTGATCTTTATATTTTGGTTGGATTTGTGCTGATCATTTTCTCATTTTTTTGTACAAATTGCTGCAAAAAAAAGCGAACTCATAAAAAGAACTGGATAACAAAGAAAGAGAGAAAACAGATAAAGAGGTTAGAATATAGGGTTGGAAAAAAGCAGAAACTATCAGTAATGGATTACTACCATACGCTTGACATAAAACGGCCACCATCCGTTAAAAGGGGAAACTTAAAGTATAATTTAAAAGGATTTATCAAAGACTCTTGTGCACTTGAAGTGCATGTGTTTTATTCTTTCTTCAGAGAAGCAATCAATAGCTGTTCTACTGATATATTATTTCTCTCGCAACTTCTATCATAACTTATTCTAACAATACTACGACCGAGGTTACTTAAATAGGAAAAGATTTGAGTTTGCAGTTTAACTTCGTTCGGGAAAGCCGTTAACAATGAACCAAAACAATGAAATTTTTTTAACTTGAACAACCGAGGAAACCAGAACCCACAACAATGTAAACTTAGTTTACCTAGAAAGGAAACCAGTTCTCAAAACTGCAATAGTAAAGGTGTGACGGGACGGTAATTGTAACTATTTATATGGAAACCCCGTGGGAAACGAGGTTTGCCTCAATAATTCAAAACCAAATTTGCTTAATTTTGTGTTCAAGGTGAGTGAAAAAGTTTACAAGTCAGAAATCAAAGGTCCCTTGGCCCAGTTGGTTAAGGCGCGGTGCTAATAACGCCGAGATCAGCAGTTCGATCCTGCTAGGGACCATTTATTTTTAATATTTTTGACCAACATGGGTATAGAACTATTTTGGTGGTCAGAAAGTGTTTAATTTGGTCTAGAAAAATATTATTTTGTTGCTACCAATTGGGAATGAGTAGGTATTAATTTTTTCTGCTCACTATAATTTCATTGAGATTTGAAATTTCTTAAATGTGACACAAAACTATAAAGGAAAAACAAACCATATTAGGCTAAATTAGATAGTCTGGGGATATGACACAAAGCACTACAAGAATTCCATGTGAAGCTGGAATAATTTTTAAAGGGTTTGACGACAAGGGCTTTTTTTCAAGTGTGACCAGAACATAGTTTCTGAGAAATAAGGTTTGGAATGGTTGGGAACGTGGTGTATTGGCCTAATCAAGAAGCGAGGGTACGCTATTGCAAATACCAGTTGTTCTTATAATGCTATACATATAAGTCCTCTAAGGAAGCTACCACCAAATTTGGTCTTAACCCTATATCTATATGGAATTATACTCCAACATGACTAAGGACATTTTTCTAGCAGTTGTAATTCGACAGTTTGAAGTTGCAACTCACACTCTTCAAAACTGTCGAGTCACATGGTTTAGACACTTGTACATCCCTCTTCCCCAGAAGGGTCATCGCTATACTACGAGCACTGTATTCCAACTTCATTAACTTCTAGTGGAAGGCATACAAGCGAACCCATTCGATGACGTAGCTTGGTCAAGAGATTTGCCAATTCTGCAAGTGGGGTAATTCATAAGAAGCAAAATGCATAGACCTCTAATTATGAAATCGCCATATGAATTGGCCGATTTTATTTAAACAGCTACTTGTATTCTGTCGAAAGGTTGCTGGTAATTCATAGCGAGCTTTCAGTGATCACTTCCTACCTCCAGATCAACTCTGGCAAGCATTGGGTTTGGCCCGCCATTCTTCTCCAGACCTGTCAAACTATAATATGCCCACCCAACTGTCGAAGAGCCACCACTATCACATAGTGTCCGAAGAGAATACGAATCCAGTCTTTGCCACACTTGACCAAGACTCTTACTTCAAACGTTCCAACCCCATTATGAGGCATTCAAACTTAATGAAATGCCCCAAGGAAATCTTTAGAGATATTTTTTTATGAAGCCGTAACCAAGTACATAATACGCGAGCAAGAAAATAAAAAATTAGTCTTGTTGCAAAAAGAAAATTTCTGGTTTACCCCACATAGAACATGTTCTTTTCTTTTGAGAGTATAATTCGAAAAATAAGCTTCATGTTAAATCTTATAGATGAAAAACCGGAAGTAAAGACAAGCGAGATTTTCTTTAATGAATGTAATCGGCTAAATTGAATTCCATCATGATTTTTTAGCTAATTGCTCTTATCTGCTAAACGGTTTAACAATTGAGTATAATTGCTGATAAGTCTTCGATAAGATAGCTTAATGTCCCTGCAAGGGACAAACCAAGGGAGATAAATACATTGACTTTTTTGTGCAATTGAAATTCAATAGACAATACCATTTTTTGATAAGATTCGCTATTTAGAGACTTTTAGGTCAAGTCCGAGATCTGCGATATCTCTCGCTTCATGCAACCCTCGAAGTAAATCTGCATGAAACAATTCGATATTTTTTTTTTTTCATGGCAACAATCTATGCGGCATTCTTTCAAACTAATATGCAGTTCAGAACACTTTGTATTTTGCGATCTTTGGTGGTCTCACATTCTCAAATATTACTCTAAGTTATTGTTTGCATATCAGATCTCCTAACTTTTCAATAGACTAGAAACTTAAGTTACACCAAATGATTACCTGGGCAGAATCAGGGTTATGAATGATAAGGGAAAACATAGGGATCTTCATTAATTCAGAAGATGGAATACAAGAAACGGCTGATACCAACTAACATCTTTTTACTTTATTTTTTGAATGTAAAAATTGACGCATTGGAATTAAAAAATTGATGGGGTAGTAGCAATCAATTATTTTTGAAAAAGTGGAGACTTTCGAAATAGGTTCGTGAAGTAAGTTTTGGTGCCATCAGACCACCTGATATCATTGGATCTAATAGAAATTGATTTTCTTTGTGGATATATTTTGCCGTAGACCTGAGGAGGGGATCACTACGTGCAACATAAATGGTATCGCTTTGAATGTCCCATTTGTCTTTGTAAAATCGAATGGAAATTGACAACTATCATCGTTGAACATTGTGTAAGCTTTTTTTTACGAAATCTGAAATTTTAAATTTTCACTATCAAGAAATTTTTTAGCTATTTATTTTATTGATTGAAATAAAGTTAAAAAATATTTTCTGGGTAGTAATTTTAATCGAATTTTTTAAGTTGCAGAATAGCTACATAATAATTTTTTATTTTTTAGAGAAGAAAAAAATAAAATTAAAAAGAATGATAAATCAAACAAAACTTTATCCCTTCGATATTAAACTTATCAAATCCTGTTGTAAAGCCCCAGAAACTTAAACTTCCCAATATAAATACAGCATGACCCCCCCCCTCTGTAATTTACTGAAATTAGATTTAGACCCCTTTTTTTCTCTTTCTCCCTATCTATAAAAGTAAAATGGTTAGAAAATCGATTCAACGTGGAGACAGATCGTCTCTCAGTATTTCCATTTCGAATACAGCTATCGTACAAGTAGACGAAAAGACTGGTCAGATCCTTTCTGCAACCAACTCCAATGGTTCAGAATATGAACAATTCAATGAACATACTCTTGAAAGAGGTTTGAAATCAAGACACGTTCAGTTAATTGCAATTGGTGGTGCTATCGGGACTGGTTTATTCGTTGGTTCGTCCCTTATCTTAACTACATGTGGTCCTGGTAGTTTGTTCCTTTCATATTGTGTAATGTCAACTCTTATTTATTTTGTCATGCAAATGATGGCCGAAATGACTACATATTTGCCACTTCCTGGTAATGGTCCTCAAGCTTTCGTTAATGATTTCTTATCAACCTCCTTTGGTTTCACTGTTGGTTATAATTATTGGTATACATTTAGTATTTTGGTTGCAGCAGAAATTACAGCAGCGGCTATTGTTATTGAATATTGGATAAAGTCGGTTAATGTCTCAGTTTGGATTACTATCTTCTTCTTCATAATCTTCGGACTTAATATGATTTCAGTTGCATTCTTTGGTGAAGCTGAATTTTGGTTTGCATCTATCAAGTTGATTACCCTTAGTGGCTTGATCATCTTAGGTGTTGTTTTGTTCTTTGGTGGTGGGCCAAATCATGATCGGTTAGGTTTCAGATATTGGAAAGAAGGAGCCTTCCTCGAACTTCCAGAAGTAAGCGGAGATGGTGGTAAATTCTTAGGTTTCTGGTGGGCCTTAGTTAGAAGTGGTTTCGCATTTATTTGTTCTCCTGAATTGGTTTCTACATCTGCTGGTGAATGTGCTGCACCAAGAAGAAACTTACCAAAAGCTGCTCGTAGATTTATTTGGAGATTGGTATTCTTCTATGTTTGTGGTACTTTAATCATTGGTGTCATTGTTAGTGCTAGGGATCCAAGATTACTTTCCGCCTTAGGTGGGGAAGATGCATCTGGTTCTGCCTTTGTTATTGGTATCCAAAATGCCGGTATTCCTGTCTTAAACCATATTATTAATGCAGCCATTTTAACTTCAGCAGCATCTGCAGGTAACTCATTCTTGTATTCTGCTTCAAGAGCTTTGTTTTCAATTGCTCACAGAGGTAATGCACCAAAATTCTTATTGAAGGTTAATAGATTCGGCGTTCCATATTATTGTGTTTTAATTTCATCCTTATTTGGATTACTTGCATATCTTAATGCTGGAGAAGGTTCCAGTAATGTTTTCAGTTGGTTCATGAATATTTGTACTATTTCTGGTTTCATTTCTTGGATTATGGTTGGATTTGCTTATTTAAGATGGCGTAAAGCAATCTTTTTCCAAGGTCTTTGGGACAGAGTTCCTTACAAAACCATTTTCCAACCTTATGGTACTTATTATATGATTACTATGATTGGTCTTTTAACCCTTACGAACGGATTCAGAGTCTTTTTCGAATTCAACATTGGTGATTTCTTAGCTTCTTATGTTACCTTCCCAATTCTTCTTGCTTTATACTTTGGTCACAGATTCTATGAATATAAAGTGAATGGAGTCAAGCACTGGGTTGTTCCTATCGAAAAAATTGATGTTATTACCGGTTTAGATTTGATTGAAGAAGAAGAAGCAAACTATCCTCCACGTGTTCCAAGAAACTTTGCTGAAAGAGTCTGGTTCTGGGTCGCTTAGATAGCTTATCTCGAACAAAGTGATTTTATTTATAAAGAAACCGTTATAGTTTCATTTCTATTATATAAATTGAAGATTTTAATTTTCTTTATCTTTTGTATTCAGTTTTTAATTCTATGATTATATTTATTCGCCTTAACTTACTCCATTTCTGATTGTTGTAAAGATTCAACAACTTCTTAATCAATTCAAATTTTATGTACAACTTGGATGATGCCAATTTGGTCAAAAAGGCAGAATTGGTAGCGGCATAGATATACTGCATATAAGTCACATCTTGAATATTTTTTTTTTCCTGCACTTGAGCCTCATCTCTCTCCTCTCTCATCTCTCATACTTTTTTTTTTCACAACCATTTTTCAATAAACTTATAGAAAGAAAAGACAACAAGAGAGACAGTGAATTTCAATATGTCCAGTTTAGCTTCTCAGTTGAAATCCATTCAGGATAAGACTGCAACAGTTGCACTTGATAGAAAGTCGCGTTCTAAAGTACATTCTCGTTCCCTTTTATTTGAATCAAAAGTTGCTTCTACCCAAGATTATGAATTTATTTATCAAATAGCTTATGAAGGATTAGAAGAATTATGTGAATTAGATTCAAGATTTACTAAATTCAAACAGACGCTTTATTCAGAAACTTCAATTAATTTGGATAGAACGTTACAGACTAAAGAAATCGTTGATCAATTAAATAAAAATATTGAAGCTTTCTTAACTTTAATTGGTCCTTATTACAATTTGATCCCTGCAGTTAAAGCTGTAGAATGGTTAGTTAGAAGATTCCAAGCTAATGTTCACAATGCAGAACTTTTACTTTTGACTTCATTGCCATACTACCAACAACCTATATTTATCAAGATATTGAATGTTATTCCAAAGAACCAATTTCCAAAGATTTTTGAATGGGTTATTGGTTACAAAGATTTGCTTAAATGTCCTACTTCATCATCTATACTCAAAGCGTTATACGGGGACTTTGATTTATACAATTTTTATTCCATGTTTTTGAATGAACAGATCAAGAACCAAACTATTTACAAAGAACAATTAGTCTTTTATTTATCCAACACTGTACAAATCTTAGCCTCCTTGACGAAAAATACATCTACATTAAATGAAAAACATATGCCTGTTACTTTAGAAACCGTTGGATTAATGTTATTGCCTCAGAAGGAATCAAAATACTCGGGTACTATCAATTCAGATTTGAAATTAACTGCCTACTCGGTCATCACTGTTCTCGCTTCGGTCGTTCCATTATCAACCCAAATCATTAAAACTTTAACGGAATCAATATTACAAGACAAGCTGGCTCTCAAAGCTTCCTCTTTGAAACCAACTTTAATTGTTTTAAGTCAATTATGGAATTTCTATCCAGGCGATCTTGAAAAGCTTGATTGTTTTGATAAATCAGCCTTGAAAAACTTAAGTGACGAAGTCTTGCAAGAGTTAAAGAAGGATAATTTCAAGATTTCCAAGTTGTTGTCCTTCTATTTTGTTAATTCTTTCCCATCTTCGGAGTCATACAGATTGATTCCCTTTATTGACTTAAACAATAAATCAATTTTTAATACAATAGCAAAGTTAGCAATTGAGAATTCAACAACTGAAGATGCAGATGTTAGATCAAGCTTGATCAAGATTTCACAATCGCTTTTAAAAATTAATTCCAATTTTTTTATTGAAAATTTAAAGGAACAAGGCTTAAAGATTGACGATTTAGAATTAAGGTTCATGACATTGATCAGTGAAGGTAAGATCCATAACGATGATGATATCGAATTCGATGCAGAAGATGAAGCTGATAGTATTCTGGGTAATGAACAGGAGAATTTGAACAATACCTTAGACTTTGAATCTATCCAAGCCAAAGCGAAGTCTTATTTCAGTTCTGAAAACGAAGAAGAATTTAATGAATTGTTATCCGTATTGACAAGTGCATTATCCAGCGGAAATGTCAGAACACAAAAATATATCATATCCGTATTTTGTAAGAAAGTATTCAAGTCGTTAGAAATTGCATTATCTTTCATTATTAGGGTCGCATTCACTCCAGCCGTTCCATTATCAATTAGGGTATCTGCAATTAGAGTTCTTAGAATCAAAATCAAGGATTGTGCCAATGATGCTACTGACTTTTATTTATTGCTTCCAATTCTTGTGTTGGCATTTTCTGATGAATCAAAAGTTATTAGAGCGGGTTTTGCAGAAGTATTGCGTCTAATTCATGATATCACTTCTAAATTGCACAGCAATAAATCTAAGGCTAATACTACCTTATTTTTGGAAAATGAGATTTATGTTGATACCAAAGCTGATAAAAAGGCAATCATTCCACCTCAATATGCATTATTTCTTACAGAACTTTTTTGCAAGGATGAAACAATCCTCAAAGACATGGTTTTAGATCCATCAAGAATCAATAAGGTTTTATTTGACAACGTTTTTAAAGTTTCCAGATCAGGACAAAAGAAATTTGGACAAGTTATTCTCAAGACATTCTTTTTAAACCAATGGTCTTTAGCTTTCTGGCCAATTGTTTTTAAGTGGAGAGCATGGAGGATTGTTGCTAATGAAAATAAAGTTGGATCGGATGATAGATTCTTTTTTAGTGAAGGAGATATTGAAAATTATTATAACAAGAGAAATGAATGGATTAAACAAGCTAATACTGCCAAGATTATTTTCTTTGATGATTTTGAATCTGCCATTGTTGGATTAGTAGGTGGTGTCAGTTCTACGGATAAGAATACCAATAAGGAAGTTGAATGGATTTGTCAAGGATTAGAATCCCAATCAGGAAATGTACAAATTGCAGTCAATAAACGAGTATTGGAAATTTTCACTACATTTAAACTGGTTGATGCAAGTTTGAAGATTTTAAATAAATTGATTGAATTATTGACCAATGAACAAAGCATTGATTTTGATCCAATGCAAACTTTACAAGAACTTGAGATCAGTCGTGAATTATATCTTCAAGCTTTGAATAATGTCCAAATTGGTGGTCAAGTCCCAGAACAAGGCGTGGCAAAGAGAAGAAGAAGATCTTCTAGTTCTACTAGACAAGCTATGGCAAAGGATGATATCAATACTATGGCTTCGAGTCATTTGAAGAAATTGACTTTTATCTTAGATGTTTTAGAATCCACTTTACGTAACCGTCCAACGGATATTGCTTGTCCAGATTTATTGAAGGCATTATTTAAGATTTTAACAGATTTGGATTATTTGGGTAATGATGGTAATTTACCAGTATTGTATGCTCAAGAAACTTTAGCTTCATGTATGTTACTTAGTATTGTCAAGATGAAAGAAAGTGGCCAACAATTTAAATTCGATTCTAATTCAATCAGAGCAGATTTGATTGTTAATTCCATCAGATCTTCACAATCACCTCAAGTTCAAAATAGATTATTATTGGTTATTTCCGAATTGGCTTCATTAGCTCCAGAAATTATTTTACATTCAGTAATGCCAATTTTTACATTTATGGGTGCTCACACTATTAGACAAGATGATGAATTTTCCAATTCTGCATTACAACAAACTATTGCGAAAGTTATTCCTGCATTGGCTGCAAATGGTTCATCTTCAGTTAGTAGCGAAATTGAATTTTTGTTGACAAGTTTTGTAGCTGCTTTCCAACATATCCCAAGACATCGTCGTGTTAAATTATTCACTTCATTGACTACCACTTTGGGATGTGATGAATCCATGCATATTCTTTTATTTTTGATGGGACAACAATATGCTTATAATTTATCCAAAAATAAATCCAATGAAGTTGACTCTATTTTAGAATTTGTCAAGGCATACTTAAAGGGATTTAATTCCGAAGATCAATTGAATGGAATTGGTCAATTTACCAAATTATGGAATCAAATTCCAATCAAGCAAGTTGAAATTAATTCTGATGAATATCATGATTTAAATTCCAGATCTATTTTTGGTACATCCATTATTTCGCTCCAGAATGAAGGATTAGTTGATTTAAAGAATCATCTATTACAATTTTTGAATTCTGTATTACAGTCGGAAGTTAATACCAAGTTTGATACCAGTTCTTTGAAGACAAAGATTACGATTTCATTGTTGGACGGTTCTATTCCAGAAGGCGTGAAAGAAACCATCTTGGAAAAATTCAGGATCATCTCATCTTTTGCCTTATCAGGCTTAGATAAATTCACAAATGTTTCCAAGAATAAGGATATTTGTTTAAGTTTGTATGAATTATTAGCAAACTTGTTAGACTTATTACCATTGAATTACTTCGTTGACTCAATCGTCGATTCTTTGGATATTGATAAATTATCAGATGCTTTATCTATCAAGGTAGCACGAAATTATGCAATTTTAGCTTCAAGAAAATTCGAATCTGATTTGAATACAACTAATATTGATGATGTGATTCAAGTGTCTGTAATTGACAAATTATTGCCGGTTTTGATTAAGGGTATCAAGAGAAATGTTGACACTGAATTACAACAAGCATACCTTGATGCATTCTCCACTATTGTGAACAAATTTGGTACTGCTACAGGTGTTGATTTTGCAACCAATTCAAAGGTTTTAATTGATGCTTTAACTATAATTACTACCGATCGTGGATTATTAGGTGAACAACCCGAAATTATTATTTCTTCAATTAATGCAATTACAAGTGTTGTTAATCTTATGGGTGTGAAAACACTTGGTTTGTTCCCTAAGGTTGTTCCACCAGCTCTCAAGATTTGGGAAAGTACTGTTGATGCTGAAGATGAAGAATCAGCCAAATTGTTACAAGCTTCAATTTTGGTCTTATTATCATGCTATATTAAGAAGATTCCCGCATTTATGACAACCACTTTAGATTCTGTATTCATAACTGTTTTATCAAGTAATTTGATTGATAATTCAATCAGATCAACCATTTTAAATTCAATCGTGGAACATATGGATTTAGCTCAAGTTTTGAAATCATTATGTAACATTTGGACAGTTAAGAAGTTTTATCAGAATGATAATTCTGGTAATCTTGGTTTATTCTTGAATACGATGCAATCTACAATTGAAAAGATTGATAAGAAATCCGCCACATCACAATCTACTGTATTTATGAAATGGTTGATTAATGCATTTGAATTCAGACAATATTCAGAAGAAACTGGTAATAAATTTGATAATAATACAATCCATAGATTAGAAAGCTCATTCCATACGTGTGCTATTAATTATGTTATGAAATTAAATGATAAGACATTCCGTCCATTATTTGCAAATTTGGTTAGATGGGCTGTTTCAGGTGAAGGTGCTACATTTGTTGGTAATACAGAGATTTCTCGTTTATTGGCATTCTTTAGATTCTTTAACAAGTTACAGGATCAATTGAAAAGTATTATTACTTCTTACTTTTCATATTTACTTGATGCAACTTCAAATATTTTAAAGAGATTTGCTAATGGTGAATTGGTCGCTACCAATTTAAGAAGAATTATATTAATTTCGTTAACATCATCATTTAAATATGATCAAGATGATTATTGGTCACAACAAGGTAGATTTGAAAGTATATTTGAACCATTATTGGATCAATTGAAGAATGTTGAAGAAACAATTGGTAAATACTTGGTTAAGGCTATTACTGGATTTGTTGCTAATGTTTCTTCTGAAGAGTATAATGAAACTTTAGTCCATCAATTAATTAAATTTATTTCAAATGAAAGTCAATCTAATACTTCAGCTACTAAGATTTGGACCATTAGAACATTAAAGACAATCTTCCAAAAGATGGGAGAACAATGGTTATCATACTTGCCTACTTTAGTTCCTTATATTGCAGAATTATTAGAAGATGATGATGAAGATGTTGAAATGGAAGTTAGAGGTGGATTAGTACGTGTGATTGAAAATGTATTGGGTGAACCTTTGGATAGATATTTAAGTTAGTTTATATGTATAGTAGAGTTTTAATATATTGTTAGTTGTTAGTACATTGAATGTAATGATGATGATTGTATAATACCCGGGGAAGAGAGGTTTATTATGGGGTCGTGTAATATGTGTCAAATATGGAATTTTCTTTAAGATTCTGTCAAAACTAAAAGAGGAAGAAGAATTTTTCACGCTAACTTTCTCTCTCTCCCGCAGAAGCATAAAATTGATTTCATCTAAGGGAACACTTTCCTATAAAGTTTTTTTTACATTTTCTTTTAACAAATTGCAAATACAAAGACACCAAACCAGTAATCATGGTATGTAAACTGTAGAACCTTATTAAAAGAAGAATTGTGGAAGGATAGAGAGAATGAAATACTAATATCGATAAAATTTTTTAGTCCAACTTATTAAAGAGTGCTCAATCCTTAAAGCCATTGTTTGACAGAGTCTTAGTTCAAAGACTTAAGCCAATTACAAAGACTGCTACAGGTATTTACATTCCAGAAAAGAACCAAGAAAAATTAAATCAAGGTACTGTTATTGCTGCTGGTCCTGGTATCACTAACACTACCACTGGTCAAGTTATCCCAACTTCTGTTAAGGCTGGTGATAAAGTCTTATTACCAAATTTCGGTGGTAACCCAGTCAAGATTGGTGAAGAAGAATACTTGTTGTATACTGATAAGGAAATCTTAGCTAAGATTGAAGATAACTAGATGTTTTATTCTATTTTGAACATAGTCATATGTCTAGTGAATACTTGTACATAAAGAAACAGAAATGAAATGTATTTATTATTATTATTATTATTATTTTCAACTTGATTCCAGCCAACTTGGAGAAAATCATCGAATTTGCTTTTCATAATAACCTCCGCTAGAGATTGAACTCATATTTCGATCCGGTCAATATCTTTTCTTTTTTTTTTGTTTCGTTCTAAAAAAAGAATGTAAAAGCATTATTTAAACCCTTGTATGTTCCTAGATTTCGTCTTGAATGAACCTTCTAACAAGGAGTGTTGTTCGACTATGTTTGTAAATATTGTCAAAGTATTCCCATATTAGCGATAAGTTGGTGCAGAGGGTGAATTCCTGCATATAACCAATTTGGGCACTTTTTGTCGATTTTCCCCGAAACGAAAGATTTAAACCAAATTCAATGTGTATTTATAGAAACAAAAAAGGTGTTTGTTTTAGTTTATTAACCAGGATTCATTATTCACGTAGTAAAAAAGAGGAGAGATCTATTAGTTCAAAGTCATCGTCCCGTAAAGCATTTTAAACAAAAGTACACCAAAAGTAAAAAGGAAGAAGCAATATATCAATAATGTCAAATAATCAACCAGATTCAACCACACGTTTTGCTCAATTTAAACTTGTTCTTTTAGGAGAAAGTGCTGTTGGTAAATCATCAATTGTACATCGTTTTGTAAAAAATACATTTGATGACTTAAGAGAATCTACTATTGGAGCTGCATTTTTAACTCAAACAATCACTATTCCAGAATCAAATACAACAATCAAATTTGAAATATGGGATACTGCAGGTCAAGAACGTTATAAATCACTTGCTCCTATGTATTATAGAAATGCTCATGCAGCACTTTGTGTATATGATATAACAAGTCGTGTGTCGTTCAATAAAGCTCAAGATTGGATTAAAGAATTAAAAAGACAAGCACCAGAAGGTATAGTTATAGCATTAGTTGGAAATAAAGCTGATTTAGCTGATAATAGAGAAGTTGAACAAAGTGAGGTTGAAGAATATATTGAAGAACATAATGAAGTTGGTAGTGGTGGCTCAGTGATAGTGACTGCTGAATGTTCAGCAAAGACTGGTGAAGGTGTTTTAGACATATTTAATAGAGTAGGAAGAGCATTACCAGTAGAAGAAGCCATCAATGCTGCATCTCATAGATCTAGACAACAAGGCAGTAGAAGATCTGGAGGCGTTGATTTAAATAGACCCAGAAATCAACAACAACAACAAAGTAATTCCTGTTGTTGAATTTCATTTATTTTCCACCACCCCACATAATTAACTGATTAAGCCACATTATCACCATTTACACACACACACACATACCACACACCATACACCACACACCATATACCACACACCACATACCACACACCATACACCACACACCATATACCACACACCACATACCACATACTAATTGATCAATAGATTCTAAATTCTTCCCCTTTTATTTAACAATAAACTTATTCATAATCAACAATTATATTTTTGCTAGTGATATTATTATATGCAGAATAGACACGAAGATCTGCTTTCTTCTTTTATATAAATATATATAAATATATGTCGATACCCATCATCATCAATTGTATAAACTTCTTACATTTCGATTCTGCTTTACTTTGCTACGTGCGGGTAACATCTACAAAAGATATCACAAAAAAACAATAACAATTTTGAACTTCCACACGACCACATCAAAAACCTTTTTTTTTTTGTTTATTCAAAAATTCTTAATGCACTTGAAAAATTTTTCACTTTTCTTCCTTCTCTTGTTTCTCTTACTTCTTCTTCATCATTTATACATATTGTTAACGATGTCTGCTAGACCACAAGTTTCTGTTATCTCCGCTCAAGGTGAACAAACCTCCACTCAATTACCATTACCAGCTGTCTTCTCTGCTCCAGTCAGACCAGATATTGTCCACTCTGTTTTTGTTAGAGTCAACAAGAACAAGAGACAAGCTTACGCTGTCGCTGAAAATGCCGGTCACCAAACCTCTGCTGAATCTTGGGGTACCGGTAGAGCTGTTGCCAGAATTCCAAGAGTTGGTGGTGGTGGTACTCACCGTTCTGGTCAAGCTGCTTTTGGTAACATGTGTCGTGGTGGTCGTATGTTTGCTCCAACCAAGACTTGGAGAAAATGGCATGTCAAGGTTAACCATAACGAAAAACGTTATGCTACTGCTTCCGCTATTGCTGCTTCTGCTGTTACTTCTTTAGTCTTAGCTAGAGGTCACAGAGTTGAACAAGTTAAGGAATTACCATTGGTTGTTTCTAACGATTTTGAATCCGTTACCAAGACCAAGGATGCTGTTGCTGTCTTAAAGGCTGTTGGTGCTCACAAGGATGTTGTTAAGGTTATCAAGTCCAAGAAGTTGAGAGCCGGTAAGGGTAAGTTGAGAGGTAGAAGATTCACCCAAAGAAGAGGTCCATTAGTTGTTTACGCTCAAGACAACGGTCTTGTTAAGGCCTTAAGAAACGTCCCAGGTGTTGAAACCGCTTCTGTCAAGCACTTAGGTTTATTACAATTAGCTCCAGGTGCTCACTTAGGTAGATTTATCATTTGGACTCAAGGTGCTTTCGAATCTTTAGACTCTGTCTACGGTTCTGACTCTACCAAGTCTATCAAGTCTGGTTACGCTTTACCAACCAACATCATTGCTAACACCGATGTTACCAGATTAATCAATTCTGCTGAAGTTCAAGCTGTCGTTAGACCAGCTGGCCAAGCTACCCAAAAGAGAACTCACGTCTTAAAGAAGAACCCATTGAAGAACAAGCAAGTCTTATTAAGATTAAACCCTTACGCCAAGGCTTACGCTGCTGAAAAGTTAGGTTCTGCTAAGGTTGAAAAGACCAAGGCTAAGCCATCCAAGGGTCAATTCGCTCAAGTTTTAAAGAACTAAGCATGAAGTATTAAAATTGTATAAATTTTGGAATAAGAATAGAATAATGAAATCATCAAGAGTTTATAGCACTTTATAGTTTTTCTATTTTAATATACTTTTAATTTACTTTGCATTCAGTAACTTTTTATCTCTTTGTTGCCTTATTTTGTTTGTGACAGGTGTCAATCGGTTTACATATGTGAACTATGGAAGCTAGATTAGCCTGTTTTGTTTGGTTTAAGACTCCTTGTTGACAGGGGTATTTATTGTCAAATATATACAGGCAACAATGTCAGAAGAGATGTAAATTGCTACCAGGAATTCTACAAGGCAAATGACATTTTATAATGAAACTGTAAAAAAGACGATATTAACTAGAAAACTAAAAGATTAGAATTATATATTGAAAAAGAAAACGCCAAATGGCTATTTTTTGAAGTAGTAATTACGTCAAATATGAATGAGAAGATTAAATGTTTCATATTTCCGAGGACGGTATTCCTAGTCAAAGAGATATGAAGTATCGCAGCAACTAGGTTGAGCTAACTGTAGTACTAGGCCCTAACTGTCATTCCTGTTGTACCAGGGCTCTACTGTTGAACCTGGCCTTGGTAGGTATGGCTCCTGAAGAAGAGGAGGAACCTGTACTCGAAAGTTTTCGACACCTCTCAAGTCGGCCGTGGTAACTATGTTACCTTGAATCCAGTATTCACAAATTGTATACTGAGTATAAGCAAATCCATCACATGGTTTTCTATAACACCCAACTTTAGTAGTATCTTTCCAAAGAAGTTGGGTGAGATGGCCAACCCGATCCAGCCAACCAGGATCAGTAAAGTCGTAAAGTTCAATTTCCTCCAAATACCAAGCATCAACTCCATTAACATCAAGATATCCAGCTGCTAAGTTTTCCCCATATGGGCTGTCAGAGTGTACTAACACACCCAGACAATCATACGTCCTTGCGTATTCTTTGGAAAATTGCTGTAATTCATTGCTCCAAATCAAATTGCCAACACCGTGTTGTGCTCTGTAGAAATTATGAGCTTCTACCATACGATAGGACCAATCTATATCCTCAGTTGGAATAGTGTCATCAACTGAACCGGCGGGTTCTTCTTCATCGGTATTTGTAACTGGATCTGGTGTTTCATCGTTAGTATCTGAACCTGGTTCTGGGAATTCTTCTTGTGAATTTGGATCGGCAGCTTCTGAGTCATCGTCAGCATCTGGAACTGGTTGGGGCAATTCTTGTTGTGGATTTGGATCGGTAACTTCTGGGTCAACGTCAATTACTACAGGAATTGCTGGTGCTTCGTCGACTATCATTGAAGATTGCAGTCCATCAACTATGGCCAAGGAGATCAGGGACACAGTCGAGGAAACACTACTTGATGAGGAGGATGTGGTGGACGTGGCTTCAGACAAACTGACAGAACTCGAGAAAGTAGAATCTGCTGCAGAAGTTGAGCTTGATGGGGATGGGACCTGTACTAGACTTGATGGGGATGGTGCCTCTTCTATGCTTGCTGGAGGGACGTATAATATAGCCGCTTCAACTAAAGTTGCTGGTGGCGATGTTAACGCAGTTGTTTGGATAAAATAGCTTGAGACTGTGCGAGTAACAACCACCCAAGTAGTCTGTGTGGGAAGAGTAACTTCGATGGTTAATGTGACTGCTTTGGCTGTAGCAATTATGGCTGCAAAGCTTGCCAAAGAATGGGCGAACTTCATCTTGTCTATTTGGTTGCTACAGAGGAAAGAATGAGAAATGGTATTTTTATTAACTAAGGATTGAAGCAGCTTTTTATAAGAGGAGTGGCATGGTTTATAGGGGGGATTTACTTGGTATACTAGCATACTTGTTTGTGATTTGAAAATTCTCCTTGGTTCAAAAGAAAATGGAACCCAATAAAAAGAATCTTGCAACGCATGTCTATTTTTTTTTTCTTTTCTTGCATTTTCATGCATAAAAATAATTTTAGTCTATAATTTGGCGATTATTTTTTATGCTTATGAGAGAAATTATTGCATCTCCCGACAAAAATAAAATACTACATGAGATCTACTTTTTCTTTCAACATAAGAAGCACTTCTTGGTATTTCCAAAAACTTACTAATATTAAATTCAAAGGAGACCTGTAAAGCGGATTGATCAATTACTCAAAAAAATCTTAGAAAATGAAAGTTAAAATATTGAGCAAATCTACTAATATCCTTACAAGTTTGACATCTATGTATTCATTTACTTCAGATATTCTGCTTGAGAGGTAAGCCCTCTGGCTTTCTGGTTGTCAATGGTACGTGATTCTTGAACTAATCAGATTAATGTCAATTACAATAGGTGATGCGATATTTATGGGATAAAATTGAAGAATTATATTGAATTTTTCTTCGCCATTTGAAACCAAGAAAAGTATTGACTACAAAGAAGGAAAAGTCGCCAAAATATATTATGCTAAGAAAAGTTTGGGTATTTTCCTGATCTGTTTGCTGTCGATTGCAATCAATCCCCCCGTTCACCCCCTGTTTGAGTGAGCCGACCAATAATAAGAAATTGTATAAGAATTCTAAAGGGGTGAATACTATCTTGTTGGCCCAGAATTTTATTCATCAAGTCACGCCTGAATATAAATGGAATAAGAAGATATTACTGTATCTCAATGGTAAAGCTGCAAAGAAACAAATCCACAACTTATAGGTTCCTGTTGGCTTGACGCAGCAATCGACGGGCTGAGTCTTGAATGTATCAAATTCATTTTGTTTCTCAAATATACTATTGGATGGGACTTCTTGGTGTTCAAAACCAAGCAGATAGAAAACTTTATAAACGCTCACTATTATTATTTTTAAATCCTTTTCGAATCCACATTGTTTTGAATTCTCTGAACCAATCTCGGTCAAAACATACACAATCTTGGTGTTTATTAACTAACGAAACACTGCCCTTTTAGAAGCGTCTCATCTATTTCAGCCCTGATTCTTTCGATAAAGGAAACTCTTTCTCAATGATGTGAACTTATGAACGACATAGAAGTCGTTTCCTGTACATTGATCGTCTTTTTATCTCCTTGAACATGCGAGAAACCCTGAAATACAGACTAAATCGTTACTGGTAATTGAGATAGCTAAGCAAGAGAAGAAGACCTTACATTCAACAACTAGACCAAGAAGGTTGTCTCTTCCAGTCAGTGAGCGTAACGAGATTAAGAAGTATTGCAACTCTCGCAAATAAGAGCATTCTCTTTGACTGGAAATATGATTGATTCTCATGTTCATTCATTAAGTTATTCAACAATTTTAGTTACATATTTCTCCAAAATTGTTGCGAAAATAAAAAGCCAAAAAACAAAACAGTAAAATAAATAAACCAAATTAACTGTTTGACAGAGAAATACATTTCCCAATGATACGGAGTATCATCTAATATTAAATATGCTGAGCATGATCGTGCCCGCTTGTGGTATTACACGCTTTGAATAATGTTTAAACCAAGCCAAAACCGAACATTTGTTAAGGTTCTAAGACTACAGAATAGGAGATGAATTTATTCCATATAATGCTGAGGTACGTGGACTCTTGACTGGGTAGAAAATTCTGGGTAATATCAAAATGGATTATTTGGCTGCAAATTGTCTTACATGTTGACGTTTTAATTGACGTAATACAATAGTTTCGGAACAAAAACAAAAAGAAATTGACGCAAAAGAAATTAAATTGCTAAAATAACGAGATTGACATTGACAACACAAAAACGTCAACAACTACGTAATCGAATAGGAATAGGGGTAATTACTCAACCACCCCATCTTCACCCCCGCTGATCTTAAAAGATAACAGAGACTTTTTGTCTGAAAAAAGTAGTTAGAACAAGCCATCTAGAAAGAATGTACGTACATAAATATTCAAATAAATCTGTTGATAATAATGTTGCACCAGCAAAAAAAGTTTTTAAAATTGGTACAAATGGGAAAAATGAAAAATCATCACCACGATTATCTATCTGGACATCAGACTACAAATAAAGGAGATTGAGATGTCTTTTAAAGTTTCTTTGCTTACATAAGTGTAACTGGCAAAGTTTTAAATTATACCGAAATAATTTGTGTCTGAAGGCTCATCTAAGCAATGAAATGAAATGTGTATTTAGCTGTTTTACGAGTAAAAAAAGAAATGATAGGTCACAAAAAAATCTCCTCCTCAAAAATGGCCGCAAGCTATTTCAGACACTTTCTAACCAGTGACCCTAGTATTTGAAAAAGCCCCCTCGTAACCCAAAGCACACACCACACTTTCCTTAATAAATATAATAAGACAAACGACAAAATGTCTAAGACAAAGAGGGGGGGAGTTCCTTAAGAGCTCCTAATATCGTTTCTAAACTTCTTCTAATTTCTTAAACTTATGCTGGTGTTTCCTGAATAAAATGAGGTGAGGGAAGGAACAAAACTTCTCTCATTAATGTGTAATACTTATAAAACAATTATCAGACACAAAATGAAAGTAAAAATAAGACAGTAAAATTTAAAACAATAGAAAATAATCTAATCAAACGAAAATTGACACTTTCTTCTCTTCATAAAATTTCCAATTTTTATTATCGCGCATAATTGTCTCCGTAAAATTTATTTATAAATATTTGTAACATTCACGTTGTTGAAATTTGAAAACAACATTCAAACAGACAGACAGACAGTTATTGATTTTCAATTATCAACAAAAAAAGATAAAACCCACTTACAAATTTCCAAATTTACTGCATTTATACCAACCAACCTTATACCCAAGTCTGTACCCCCCGTGTGACTTTTCACTAAGCTACTTACAAATAATTTTTTTTAATAAAAAGCAACTCCAACATTTAATTTTTATAGAACCAATTTATAGACCATGCTTAAAGGATTAAGACAAAAGGCACTGTTGTTGTCATTATCATCAACCTCACTGGTACAAAGTACATCATCAAACAATACAAATTCGGAAGCAAACTATGAGAAAATTATTTCACAAGTACATGATTTTGAAATCGCACTTAAAGCAATGGATTATTTGTTAGATGATCATTCTCAAGAAGGTATTGTACTCTTGAAAAAAGAATCAACCAAGATAGGTAATGATCCTCAACAACCTCATGCTATCTTTCCACTAGCTTTAGGTGTTATGGAATTTATTGAAGCTACTTTAGGGTTTGAACCTGAAGTAATGGCTAAAGCTCATAAAACATTATCAGAAGCTGAAACTGTCAGTTTGAATAATTCCAAATATAATGTTAAACATCAATTGGCTACTTCTAAAATATATCCACCAGGTACTGAATTTCAAGTTACTTATGCGGAATCTACTTTATTGAATGCCTTATTGATGTTATTGACTGAAAATAATGGAATGGTTGAAAGCGCAAAGGCTTTATTTAAATTACGTAAAGCTTATCAAACTTTAGATTCAATTCATAAACGAATTAAAGATCTGGAAAAAGTTTTCAATAAAAATATTCAAAAATTAAGAAAAGAAGCTCAAGCAGTCGCAAATGGTTCGAAACCATATGGTGATGGTATAATAAGTTTGGGTAATCATTCAGTAAGTACTGTAGATTTACCTGGATTTGTCAATAATGGAAGCAGTCAAAATAGTTCTTCAAGTTCATTAGCAGCTGATTTGAAATTAATTAAAGATTTAGAAAAGATTTATATGATGAGAAAATCAAGAATTGAAGGTACAAGTTTAGGTAATAATATCAACCCAGATAAAGTTGATTTATTCCATGTTCTGGATTCTTCACTCTTGAAGAATGGAGATGATATTAATGTTGGAACTGCATCAACTGCTTCATCCAAAGAGGGCCAAGAAGAGAATGAAGAATCTGATGATGATGACGATGAATTCTCAGATGCTTTGGATAGTATTGAACCAAGCATTCCTATTGATACCACTCGAGATATCCTTGCCTCAAGTGCCACCTCTATTGTATCTTCAATAGACACAACCCCTAGCCTGTTTAGTTCCAATCAAGTGCGGCAATTACAAGATGACCATTTACATGTTTCAACTATTGATGAATTTATTCATTCTGGGGTTCAATTATGTTTTGGTATTTTACAAGTTGTATTGTCATTAATCCCTCCAGCTATTGGGAAAGTTCTTTCTATTGTTGGTTTCAAAGGTGATAGAGTTACTGGATTGAAATTATTATGGAGAACGGCAATTACTTCTAGAAATATTCATGGCGAATTAGCACTTATTTTCTTGTTAGTTTTCTATGATGGACCAGTTCAATTTGTTGATGTTGGATTTAAATTACCCGAACAAGAAAATTCCAACGCCAGATCGGTGATTCAATTGGATGGAAAAGCATCTGTTTCTGAAGCTGAATTAGATGTAATCTTGGAATCCCCTTCATTACATACTAATCAATTATTACGCAAAGTGAGAAAATATTTCCCTCATAATGCTCTTTGGATCTTACAAGAAGGGAGAATGTTAGCCGCTCAAGGTGAATTACATAAGGCCAGTGAATTGATGCAATCTTTTACTGACGATCCTAATAATAGAATCCAGATGCAACAAGTCGAAGCATTATTGATCTTTGACAGAGCTATGGTTTATATGTTTCAACATGAATATGACAGGGCCGCAAAGGATTTGATTTATTTGATTGAAATTAATTCTTGGTCTAAAGCAGTTTATTTATTTATGGCTGCTTCTTGTTATTTGGAAAAATATAGATCTATTAAGATGGGTATTTCTAAGGTTGACGATAAGCAAAGTGAGCTTGCCAAATATTCGAAATTATTTGAAAAATATATGAATTTAGCTTTAAGTTATGTTCCAGGTCATGGTGCTAATGCCAGCAAAAAAGGTGGTATTGGAGGTAGTGGTAAGCAAATGCCATTTGATAAGTTCTTATTAAGAAAATATGGTCATCTTGAACAAAGAAAGAAACAATATCCAAACTTACCATTGGTTGATTTAGTTGGTAGTTCATTATTACATGAGTTAATTTATTTCTGGAATGGTTATAATAGAATGACAAAGGTTGAATTAGCTGACTCATTGAAATTATTAGGATATTCTGGTTCAGCTGATTCCTTATATTCAGCCAATACTGGATCTGATTCATTTGCATTAATTAATGAAACTGAAGATGAAGCAATGATTAGATATTTCTTACAATCTGTATGTTTAAGACTGTTGGATAAAGTCAAAGAAGGATTATCTGTCTTGGAAACTAATGTCATTTCAAAATATGTTACATCTGATACTCCTCAATTCAAATTTACCAAAATGACTTATTCACCATACATTTATCCTACTGCATTATATGAAAAGACGATGTTTGTGTGGGTATTAAGAACTCAAACTGGAGGTAAGATTGATGTGAAACATGCAGTTGAAGAAAGTAAGAGTTGGTTAAAGAAGGCTGAAACTGTAGGTGAAGGAGATTATGAATTGAGTAATCGTACAGGTATGAGAATAAAAGCAGCTGGTGATAGGTTAGAACAATTGGGTCGTTTATAGGGACTAGTTTATATATAAAAAGCGGTTTTTTTGCATTGGTAGATAAAATAAAAATAAAGACCGTGTATATAATACAGCTGGCATATGTGTAATAATTATCTCTATATAATATCCAGGGGTGCGATTTATTATAAGAATTTTAGTTAAAATATGTCTCAACCATAGCATCAGCAACGTTGAATCTAAATATAATAGTGATTAACCATCCAATGGCCAATAACGGTAAAATCCCAGCAATCACAACCAATTGAAGGATTCTTGCTGGAGAATTAGTTTGATTATTTGAAGACTTAATGAAATTTGTATTGGTTATAAATGGTAATGAATTAAATCCATAAAATGTAACCACGAAATAATATCCAATACTTCCAAAATATAATGAATTACCCAATATAAGGGCAATTATGGATTGTTTTATTCTTATTATAGGTAACAATATGAATTGAATCACATATAATAAACACCAAATGATCAAGAATGAATTACAATGAATATCAAAACAAAATCCCCATTCAATATAATTAAAACTATATTGATTGATACTATTACCACCTATACCACCACCAAGTAAGGATCCAAAATTATTATTAAATAATTTATTAGCTACAAACCACGTGATTGTAGCGATAATGACTCCCATTAGATAGAAATCTATGAATACCATATAAACTATCAATTTGAAGATATCTATAATACTTGGAGAATAAGCCAACCCCCATGCAATTGCACTTATGGATAAGAATGCCGTTAATAATATTAAGAATGAAGGATCATCTCTTGTATATGAAGATTTCCCACTTATTGAAGATCCTCCTGTTCCACTTCCAGCAACTCCAGAAGTATTTGTTTGTTGTTTATAGAAATAATGAGATCGATACATCTTTCTTGGATTAATAATTAAATGAAATATTTCCCATATTGCTGTTTCAAAATCTAATGTTGTTGGTTTAAATAATCGTTTAATCATAACTTTAAAATTTCTAAATTTATTTGTCATTGATGTATTATAATTATTATTATTGAAATAGTAGTTGGTAGTTGATCGTGGAGTATAAAGTGAAGAAGCAGCTCCTGATGCAATTGACCCACCTCCAACACTTCCAACTCCAAACCTCAGGGTATTGGGAGTGGGTAAGGTTTGAGGGAATAAATCTTGTGTGGTATATGGTAAATTGACTCGTTTACTCATTTTGATGTGTTTATCTATAATAATATGATATCTATTCTACACGGCCACTTTATAGTTCAATTGTAAAACAAATGAATTCAATCTCTCTCTCTCTGCTGTAGTTGGTTTGGGAAACTAAAAAAATGGTGTCTTTCTCTCGTAGCCACCAATGCCCCCCCTCTAACACTCCACCCATTACAGCGAAAAAATAAAAATAGCAAAATAATAAAAACTCGAGGAGTACAATTATTATTTCAGTAAGAATACATAGATATATATGTACAACATGGAAGCAGAAGGACTCATAAAACGAGACTCTTGTTCCAGGTTAAGTGATAATCAATGTGTTGGTTTGTCATCAATTCATTTCTTAATAGTTTGATTACGACCGAAAAATACTAGTTAAACAATGCACACAACAAAAATTACACCGAAACCAATATATCCGCCCAGTGTGAATGGTCTTACATTTAACAAAAATAAAGAAATGAGATACAGCACACTACGGCGGTCCAAGAGAACCCTCACTACAGACAATGTTTTCTTATTTGTCAGACTTTTTCCCCCATCCATGTACAGTAAGCTAAATTATCATTACGGGGTCGTTTCGGGGTAATATTATTTGAAATAAAAAAAATGCCTCACTTGGTAGCACTTACAATTAGAAGTTTATTTTTCAAGTTTTTTAAACTCTCATGACCTTTAAAGTAAAATGATTAATAATTAAGTATTCATAATAAGTATTACTTTCTTCTTACTATCTTGTCATATACACATACATATTCAGATAGACATACAAACATTCAACAATGGAGAGACCAGTTCAAGAGAATAGTTCAAGTGCGACAATAACAGAAACAGTACAACCAATACTTAGACTACGTGTTTCTAATAACAATATAGCCAGACAAAGATCAGAAGTATCTTGGGATGAAGAGGTTGTGGATAATGAAAATATGAATAGAAAGAAAACCAAAATATGTTGTATATTCCATCCCCAGAGAGAATTTGGTGAGAGTAGCAGTAGTAGTAGTGATAGTAGTAGTGATTCATCGAGTGATCCTTCGGATTATTCTGATTTTGAAGGTGGTGATTTCAATCCTCAATTCAATAATAATAATGATAATAAGGATCGCAATGCTGATGATGTTGATAGAAATAAGGATGAAAAAGAACTAACACCGGATTCACAGGAAAATGAGGAATGCTGTGATCATCATCATCACCATCATCATCATTCAAAGAAAATTAAGAAGAAGATAAAGAATAGATCAAAACCAAATGCATACGAGGTACAACCTCAATATAAAAATAGATCAGTGGTTCCCGAAGATCTCAAGCAGCCAGACCAGCAGCCCGACCAACAACCCGTGGAACAATCACAGTCGTCGCATCATCAGAAACTAGTACATCCACTACAGCAAGTTCAATACAATTCTAATTGTTGAGATTTTCTAGATGTATATATAATCTATAAATAAACTAAGTTGAAATATACAAAGTTTTAAAGTCTTTGTTTCTATATGGCTTGTCCTAATTTCACCGATTTAGCTAAATTGGACATATTAATAATTCTACGATTATGTTCATAAATATTCTCATCCTCTCGCTCTGTAGATTCGTCTTCAGGTTCATCTTGAGGTTGCTGTTGTTGCTGTTGTTCGTTTCCTACTTGTTGTTCCTCTTTGGTGTATGAAAAGTAAGTATTAAATTCATCATCCCAAATCCCCTTTAAAAATTCATCCTTATTCTCAAATGTCACCCCCTTAGCTTCATAATCATCCTTGGTTATTTTAGAAATCCAAGTTAAATCATCTTCATTAATATCAATCAGCTGTTTAACTCGATTAACATATCCCAATACCCCGGCATAACTTCGGACAAATTTCTCCTTATTAGTAGTTTCAAATTCATGAGAAGCAAATCTTAATCGAATTGAAGTATATTGAGATAAGATAGTTTCATTCTGGATCTTTAATTCGTAAGGCACATCCCCATTATGTTTATTATGGGTTGATTGTGAATCTTGTTCACCTTCATAAAGTTGTTTATAATCCAATATTCTTTGTTGAATCCTATTTAATTTCACGTTGGAAACAGGTAGATTAAACTTATCTACAAAACTCCCATGTAATTCATGGATTTCTTTAATTATGGCATCGATATCATTGGATGAAGGATGGAGATGAGGAGATTTCCATTGTTCTATAGTGTACTGTGTATCATTGGACTGATCTGGTCTCGGATATATGTTTATGTCATCTTCATCATCATCCAGATCATCGTCGCTTGAATCATCATGGGTACTCTGAGGTCGGTTTGTGGGGATGGTTTCTGAAGTCCGGGATTCTTTTAATGATAGACTGGATACAAATGAATTAAGACTATGATGGGCCAGGTCGATAAGTTTTGTAATCTTAGTATATAAATTATGATTAGGAGGATTCTCTTGTTGAGTTATGACAACTTCTGGTATGTTACTATTATCTTCTGATAAGGTTTTGAATGAATTATAAGTTCTTGATAATTGTGGATGCAGCAGTGAAGTAGGGGCACCAGCCCAACTATAATTTCTTGGGATTCTCTTTGTATCATAATCATCTTTTAAGATATTGATTGGTGATAGTGTATTATCTCTTTGTTGTGATTCTAGCGCATAATTGGAACTATAAGGTCTTTGAGGGACATTGAATGAATTCCATTGTTGTTTATTGAATTTTGGTTTTGGGTGATGTAATGATAAAGAGTGCGGCTTAGTTGGTACATGTGATTCAGAACTAGATTTATGTAGAACTAATGTAGATGACTTAACCATTGGAATATTCTTCTTGTAGTTGTTGTCATATGACATTGGATGATGCCTAGATCTAACAAACTTTGAATTGTCAGATTTGGTAGAATTAGGATAATACTCACTTGATCTTCTTGAATGATCTAATTGTTGTCTATAAGAAGAAGAAGAAGATGTATTAGAAGGAGATTTGAAATTCTTTTTTCGATTAGATAAATTAGATGATAAGGATCCTCTACTATTATTAGTAACAATGCTAGAAGCTCTACCTCTTGTTTCTTGTTCTAATTCAATAGTTTCTAAGATGGGTTCACAACCTTTGGAGTATGATCTTGGCGGTCTTGGCGTAGATGATGATTGTATACGATTATGTCTCCTAGATATTAATGTCTGTGATTCATACATTTTTTATCTCTCTTATCAATAGTAGCACAAAAAAACAATCCCATCCCCCTTCATAGATAGATAGATCGTTCGTTCAAAGCAATACAGGAATATAATAATATTAGTAGGTTTAATCTTTACACAGAAGAAGAAGAAGAAAGTATAGAGGTATATATATATATAGTATATCTCTTCATATAGGCAACTGAAAAATTATAGCCCGGGGTAAGAAGTCTCCCGCCCCTTTTTAACACACACATAAATTGTTCTACTAAATAATAAACTTGATAAATGAATTTTGATTTTGTGTCCAATCAATTCAATTTATAAATTTAATCGTCGATTGGAACTGAATCACACATACAATACCAAAAAAATATTCATTCATTGTATGGGAGAGAGAATTAATTAATTGTTCTAGAAACTGATAAGAAAATGTCTCAAATTAGTGGCTTATCCGATAGTAACCATTTATTATACATAACGACATGGACATTACAAGACAATCCAGTTTTACAACTTACTTATAATATATTTGTATATATTGTCACGTCTATTTACTTTATCATACAACTTACCTAATTATACACCCTTTTCTCTGGGCATAGGTGGAGATTCTCCTTCAGTATTCAGAGGAGGGGGGTTGAAATACAATACCCAAAAATAATATTCTGGTACAATAGATTAACAATAAACCCTTCTTTAATCAACATTAAAGTGTGCCAATCAAAATTCAAACTTCAATAACTTCAGTTTAAGATTATCTTCTGCAGACCTGATTAAAGTTTTCTGTCTAGCAGAAACTAATTCACTAAGATTTCTAATTTTTAATTTGTTCTTTAAAATAGTATCAACCTTATTAACATTCTTTTTATCCATAATTTGTTCAAATATTTCTGACAAATCTTCAACTGATTTATTTAAAAAATCTTGATTAGTTTCAAATATTTCTGAAAAATTAGTTGATGATAAATAAAATGCAAAACAATAAGTCCATTTCAAAGTTTTCCTTCCATTTTGTAAAGCTCTCATTGCATCTGGTAAAAATTGAATATCATTCCATGATAAATTCTTTTCACTTGTTTTTCTTCTATTTTCCATATATAATCTTGTAACTTGATCAATCTTTTGTAAAGTCCTCATATCCCCTTTCATTGAATTTTCATGAATTGAATACCGTTTATAAAAATGCAAATATCTCTCTAAGGTTAATCTACTTCTATTCTTTCTAATTTCTTCTTCAGTTGGTTCACCTTTAAATTTGTTACATGTATAATTATTCAGATGTTCTGACCAATCACCAGAACAAATCCAACAAAACTCATGATGACAACTCCTACATGTCATATGATTACATCCACCATTCTTTTCAATTGATGTATGACATTTAGGACATGCGTGAGTATTGGCATCTATCCAATGGGCAGTTTCAGAATCATCTTGACATTTCTTAATCCATTTCTTAACTAACCAACATGGGCAAGGTAAATGGTTTTCAAAATTACAATTAAAACAAAACTCATGATTATCAGCACAATTTACAATGGGAACTATGGAAAGATCAACTGATTGTTTAGCATCGTCAATATTTGGATCGATTTCACTTGCTAATTCTGCAAAATTCCCACAATCTGGTGCAGGACACCATCTCAACTTTCCTTCATATTCAATTAGTTGTCTAGCATGAGCTAGTAATAACAAATTCGTTTGTAAAGGTTTGTTGACAACAATATAATTTTCTCTTGATTCAATAATGGCAAGCATATGACTTATATCTTTATGAGGAATTGTATATTTACAATCTGGAGTAATACAAGTTATTAGTCGACCACCTCTATTACTTATTTCATTTTCAATATATGTATAATAACAATCAATGCAATATTTATGATCACAAGTTAATGAATAAACTGTAGTAGAAGGATATGTTTCACAGCATACAAAGCAATCAAAGTTTTTCACAGTTTCAAATGTATTATTACTTGGTTTTCCAATTGGTAATCCACAAGTTTCATAAAATCGATCATGATTATCAAAATATTCATTCAAAACTTCATCAGGTTGCCATTTTTTAGCTTGTAACATAATTAATAAATCATCTTCAGTACAATGAGGTAGTTGTCCCTTTTTCAACTTCCCTAATGCAGCGATAAACTTATCCCGAACATAATGTTCCACTGTCCAAGGATGATATAAAGTCCCATTAAACCCAACACGCGCGTCATAAAGGGTCTTACTCATGGGTGTTGTCGAGGGTTCGATATCTTCGCCACCATCTTCAAATATCTCATCTTCATCTCCGTCCGTTTCTAAAGAAAACGAAGAAGAACCATCATCATCATCATCATCATTAACATCATGTTCACTACTATAATAACCATTCATATCGTAACTGTCATTATCAGTAAGTAATACAAGATCATCATCGTCGGTGTCGTCATATTCAAACAGTATATTCTCTTCAATGTCTGTCATGATTTTGTTGCAAATGTATTGTTGTGTATGTAAAAGTACAAGAAAGGTGATGTAATTATATAGATAATATGCAGATTATATATGTAACCTATATTTATTAATATTGTATGAAATGAGTATTTAGGAAAGTAGAAGTTCCGTGTATCAAAGAAATATTTGATTTGGTTATTTATCCGCATTTTTATATTTGATTTTATGGGCGAACAATTTATAAGGAGTAAGTTTTAACAATAGAAGTTTATTTGATTTACGCGTTACCTCTCCAATATTTTGACAATTAAACTGTAAATAAATTGTCAATTAATGGGCGGGGGAACCCTAAAGAAAGCTTAATATTGGATCAACAGGATTGTGATTGATTTATAGATGATTGCAGAATCTTCTAAAACAGGTATGTGGGCGGAACTACAAATATAATAGAGGTAGAAAAATGTTTGTAGGCTGAACACTTGCTGCTATATCCATGTTTAGATGATTCACATCGAGTAAGTATCGAGACGTTTTATTGGGGTCTCTAGAGGTTCTTCTGAATGTCGGGTGTGTTCTATCGAAGTATAATGTGTAAATCTTATTCTTGCTGACGAAAGGTAAACATGTTTTGTTTTTGATTAATCAGTAAAGTGAGTCATTTGTGTTGTGTATCCGCAGGGTTTAAATCCAACTCCATAGGAATTCTGGACAACAATAATAATATGACTCGTTTGGAACGCATTGAGATATAGAGAAACATATTACTAGGCAACTTCCAGTTGTAACCAACTGTGTATTGTGATTTGGTCAAAGAATTATTTATTTCGGTTTTTTGCAACCAATTTTGGAATCACTCACATCTATCAATAATTTGTATAAACCATTCTATTTCTCTAGATAATATCGATGTGATATAAACCATTATCACTGAGTCGACTCCAACGTTTCACCGAGCATCGCCCAGTATCACCGAATGTTTGTTTTTGTTTATCTAAATTTATTAACGCCGAATCATATGATTAGCTCTCGGTTAATCCTTTTAGAGAGTTTGTTGGTATAATCTAGATAGTCTCGCCATAAGTATAAATACCTCTCTTTATGTTTTGGTTTTAATTTTGAATCAATAATTAAGATAGTCTAATATTATAATCTATATTCTATTTATATAATTCTATAAACTTTGTTAATATGTTAATTTCCTGTCTGATCATAGACTTGGCAAGTTCCTCGTGTGGGCCACTAACCTTCTTTGGATATGCTTCTATTCTTTGCTGACACCAATTAACAATTCTCTTATTATATGCTTGTATTTCTTCTTCTGAATGCTGTAATAACATTTCTTTTATTCTACTTTTCAACTTCCTTCCACTCTTGACTGACAAAAGTTTATGCTTGAAATGTACAAATTTCAATTCAATTAACTTTAAAATTGCATATATTTGTGGCGTACATTCTCCATCAAATTTTATACGAATACTTAAGGGCCAAGATTCAGGATAGTCGAATTCAGATTCTTTACAGCAGTCATCGTCTTCACACCCAGAATCACAATCATCGTCTTCGCACGCATTTCCATTGTGTTCATGTTGGTGAGCATGTCCATGCTCTGGTTGGTGCATTTCAGCAATAAGTTCGCTCATTGGTTCATAGCCAATCTCCTCTAACCATTCAAGTTTATCTTCAATTTCTTGTTTCTTTTGGGCGTTGACCTTTTCCTTTAAGCTTTTAATTTGTTTAAAGAATTGAACTGAAAGTAAACAAGTATCATTTGGATTCTCCTTAGCGATAAACCCATACTTTTGTAATAAATAAGGATTAGAAAGTTCATTCCCATATGAATTAAATAATTCACTACCATACTCTTTGGAAGCTGGACGGACCAATACAACATCACAACATTTTGAACTATCTGAAAGTTCTTTTGCTAAATCCTCATTTGGGCCATCTATTGGTTCTATTGGACCAGATTCTTCATCGTCACTCATTGAAACCGTTGATACTTCTTCTGGATCTTGATCGGTTTCTTCATCGGAAAGTAATTCTTCTTCTAAGGTTTGGATATATTCCATAGTAATTTCTTTTATAGGTTCTTCTTCTTCCTCTTCTAAGTCTCCAGATTCGTGATCAGACATTTCACCTTCCTCTTCTATATGGCCCTCATCATCTGATTCCTCGTTTTCACTATCCTCATCCATTTCATCATCATCTTCTTCTTCAAGAATTTGCTGTACTAAGTCTTCATCCATTTCTTCTTCACTATCAGAATCTTCATGTTCACATGCTTGTTCCCCACATATGTCACATACTGATCCATCGCAGATAAAATGAATGTTTTCCCTTCCTTTAATCTGACCATCAATATATTCGGGTTCGATATGATTGAATAAGTCAGCAGCTGGAACCATTGCCAACCCATGGTAGTTATCAACCAGAAATGCACGAGAAATAACTGATTGAATATACTTCCCGAAAGACAACAACTTATCGTGATGCTTTTCCTGGATTGTGTTTGGTGTTGGATTTTCAATATTCAAAACTGACGGTATTGAAATAATATCTTGATTTAATTTAGCAAAATTTATAACCTCAATATAAAAATTGATTAATTCTTTTGGATTCAACATATTTAAAAGATCGACTTCAGTATTCTTTAAACTTGCTTTATCTTGTTCATCCCAAAGACATATTGGTATTTCTGAAGCATCAAAATCAATCGATTGTAAATAGGCAAACCAAGGTGATTTTTCACCTTGTGCATATTCATAAATTACTGATATCACCAAGGCATACATTCCTTCGGAGATTATTATATCAGGATTAGAAGGTTCATATTCATGTAATAAGTTATATATGAATGAGTTTTTGGGAGATAATAAGTTTACTTTTGGAATACGAAGGAATAATGGATCATTCTCATCCTCTTCTTGATCGTCATTGTCTGGATGGAAAACACCTAAACCACCAAATTTTGATTGCTTTATTATTAGATCATTTCTCCAGTATGCGTTTTCATTCAACCACTGAACAAGGGAGTCTACTTTACTAGATGCAGTGGATGACATTTCTTATAATAACCTATTAGCCTGAAAGATAAAGGGTCTCTCATCTTTTGATTGATATGTCTGAAACAATATGCAGTCTCCATCGCATCTTCTCGTAGAGTGAAGCCCTCAAAAATATATTCCGCCGGGTAATCATGGTAATGAAAATTTTTTTCTCTTCGTCGATTCCATGCAGTACTTTTTCACAAGTATAAATAGAGGCCATTCCCCTGATCTCCCTTTTTCTGAACACCAATCATCAGTAGTGGTTATACTATATCTAATATAATATAACACTATTTTAATTTTATAAAGGCTTTTAATGGACTTAATTGTGATTAGCATAGATGTGTTGCAGTTAAGTTTGTTACAAATTCACCCAATAGCTAAGTATATGATTGACCTTACTAACAATTTGGCCACAATCAATACTTCGTTTCGGTCTTTTAGATTATCATTAGGTTTTACGGCATTTACATGTGTTTTTGAAATAAGTTCTGATGAGTTACGGTATGAAGGATTAAGTTCCTTTGTATGATGATCATTCAGATGAAAGCATGGTGCTACATTATATTATCTTCTCTTTGTATTATTTTTTTATGAGCTGTACGTTTCAAGAAACTTTTAAAAGAGACCATTAGAATCGGTCTGCTTGTATTTGAGCCCAGAAACAGTGATCGTTGAGGTCGCTTTCTACCATGGAATCATCTTGTTCCAACTCTCTTCCTTCATTACAAAATTGAAAGGTCGTGTGCCTTGGTTGAAAATCTTTTTTTACTCAAACAAAGAAAAAAAAAAGAAAGAAAATTTGTAGAGGCACCTCTGGAGTGCCACCAGAAGGAATCCATCATCTTCAATCACCTTACATCTCCCATTAAAGGATCTTCCATCACCTCTTCACGGGTATTCTAACATACATCTATACATATATCTGCATACAATATAATTCACATCTTATATCATGGCTCATAGATTATTAGTTAATGTTATCTTCACTGGTGCGTCTGTTTTTGGTCGTGCATTTACAGAAGCTTACAAACAAGCAGCTAAAGCAAGTGCTGCTGGTGCTGCCAATAGACCAGCTAAAGCCGCTTCAACTGGGGGGATTAGTGTGGATGAATCCCTTAAGATTTTGGATTTAGAAAAGACTGAATTATCTTTGGATAAAATAGATGAAAAATATAATTATTTATTTGATGTGAATTCTAAAGAAAAGGGGAACTCATTTTATTTACAAAGTAAAGTATATTATGCGATGGATACTTTAAAGAAAGAACTAGAGTATTTGGAGAAACTTAAAGCCGAGAAGGAAGCAGGAGGTGCGGCGTCTAGTTAGGATAATAGGGTGAAGAGATAGATAGACAGTATTTATTTGCTTTTGGAATAGAAAATTAAAAAGATGAGATGACAATACTAAAGTATTATTGAACTGGCGTAAGCAGAAGAGGGTGTTTTCTTATTTTTTGAACATGGTTTCAGCACATGCATCCCGTCGTTTATGAAAGTCATCCCGCTTTTTTATTCATCCAATCGTTTGTATATAGAAATATTAATGAAAGTTAAGAAATAACAGAAAAGTAAATCGAACCATTTATTGTAAAGTTGATATTGGCTTTTTACGACTTTATACGAATCTTGATTATCTCTCTTTTAATTACTTACTGTCAAATTATTTATTTTTGAAGTCAAAGGAAGTAGGTGTACCATAACTGCTCGTAAAACCCATAAACGATCGTTTAGTCTTGATTTATTATATTTACATTCGTTCCTATACTGTCTCACCAAAAAAAAAATACACAAGAAAAAAAAAACATTAAACTCAAAGGGCTTGTTGTAAAAAAAAAATTCATTTCTTCATTTCTTTCTTTTTGCCTTTTATATTTAAAGAGTGAACAATTATCGTTAATCAATCAATCAGTGGATATACATAACAACCAGCACAAGAATTATCATCAGCATAATCATCAGCATTTTTTTAGAAATAGATTTTCCCACTTGAGTTGTTTGTTTTTTTCATATTTCATAGACAAAACCAATGACTAATAAAGAAGAAGAGGAAAAGCAACTTCTACAAGATGCATCTACATTGTTGATGTTTGCCAACGTAGCTGCAAAACAGCAAACACAACATCCACCCATACCACAACAACAACAGCATATGGTATCTCCGCCAACTCAGCAACAGCCAGCTCCACCACCTCGCAGGCCATCGTTGCCTTCTACTTCACCCCACTTTATTTCAGCAACTCACCACCTTGATGTTTCACTAAACAAAGGAACGCCCACAACCACCAACCAATTTCAACAGCCTCAGTATCCATATATCGTCCCATATGGGGCTCCAATTAGTGCACTTCCGACTCAAGCAGCGACTCAGCCTACTGTTCAAATTCCAGAACATATCAAAATTCATCCTCAGCCAATGCCAACTCAACATACTCATAGACCTACACCTGCGTCACTACCATCTAATCAAGTATCCCAAACAAATATCAACCAACAGATACGACAAAGTTCAATAAGTAGTTTAATGAATCCTACTCAGTCTCAAAGCTTACCTCAGGAAATTAAACCACAACCCAAACCCTTTGTATCAAAACAACTAACTCCACCAGGAAACTTATCGACTCCAATCAAATCTGAATCCCCTGCATCAAACTTACCTAAACAAGGGAATTTTACACCTACTCATGAAAGGTCACGATCAACTCCTGACGTTCACTCGAACAAGCACAGAAATATTCGCGCATCGCCGAATCCATCGCAGTTTATTAGAGGAATAGATTTAGAGACCGGGGAAAGAGATAGTAATAATGCACGTATTGCTGCAGCGGCGTTAACAGCAGCTGCTGATATACCCCTTCCTTTGAAGCATGTTGAGCACAAACAACAAGCACCACCACCACAACAACAACAGCAGCAAACAACAGCACAGCCTCTTTTGGTGACCGAAAAGACCACTGTTGTTAAATTTGATCTTGGCAAGCCCAAAAAGGAAAAGGATGAAGATCAATTAACTGAGCCTGAGAATGATGATAGAACAGACGACGAGAAAACCGAAGATGAAGCAGTAAAGAAACCGAAAGAAACGAAACCTCCACGCCGTCGTACGCCACCTTTACCAAAACAGAGGCAGCAACAACAGCAACCGAAATTCATTGCTCCACCATTATCTTCATATCAAGTAGATCCTGATTCTGGTTTAATTGGATGTATTTGTGGAATTGACGATGATGACGGATTTACGATTCAGTGTGATGTATGTTATAGATGGCAACATTGTTTATGTATGGGATTCCAATCTAATGAAGAAGTTCCAGAAGATGAATATAAATGTTATTACTGTGATGCTTCCAAATGGGGCAAATTTGATCCTGATGAATGTCGTCGTGATACAATGTCAAGATTGGAGGGTGAACGTCCTGTTGGTGGACCCGATGCTGTTGCTCAGCAGAAGGCTATAATCGCGGCGCGTGAAATGCAGAAGGCGCAGCAAGATCAACAACAACAAATAGAACAACAAGCACCGGTGATTCCACCAAATAAGAGAAAGCAACTGAATTCTGACAAGGCCGATATTAAAAAGAGAAAAGTGGAGGAGAAGAAAGAATCCGGATCAAATTCTCCTGCGGCAGAACTTATTCCTCAAGAACTTCAACATCACTATAAGGATGAAGCAATTCCTAATAAGGACAACGAACTATTGGAAGATGGAGTGACAGCAGAAGCATATCAATCTGTCTACTATAAATTAACGCTGAATGACTATAAACGACAAGCTGTTAGACAATTTGTGAGTAATGCTGGTGAAGAATTTTATCAATCATTTCAAAAGCTACCTAAACCCGATCAACAAAAGCGTCTGTTTAAGGATGTTGAAATCATGACATTGAATCAGTTTAAATCCACAAAAATGAGTAAAATTCATTTACCTAATCATCAAAAGTATTTGCAAGAACAACATAAGTTACTGAGGAGGAAGAATCATAATAAAACTATTATTCAAGTTAGACCATATTCTGAAAACCAAAAACAAAAGTTTAATGGAATTTCAAGATTATCTTTATTCATAAGTAGTCTCAACAGTGATTCGTTAACAATTCCTGAAAATACCCCTGTGATTGAATATTTGGGGGAGATTGATATGTTTAGTAGTTATTGTTGTGATAGAGTCAATCAATATCCTTTGTGGGGTACAACGAAACCCAAAGTGTTAAAGACATCAATACCGAATGGCGATGACAAAGTTGACGTAGTTCTTGATTCTCGATTTGTTGGTAATGAAAGTAGATTCATTCGCAAGGCATGTCCTATTGCGGCAAATTGTCGTATTCAACCAATATATATTCCAGAAAAGAACATGTTTCGATTCATTGTTGTGACCTCAAAACCAATTACGTTGAAGGCTGAATCTCATGATGAAGAATTGAGATTACCTTGGGAATGGGACCCATTGCATCCAATCTTGAAACTTTATGAGAATAAATCAACTGAAAAGTTTGAGAATTTAACCAATTTGGAAAAATCAGCATTGATAACATATGTCGATAACATTCTTCATTTTGCGGAATGTGGTTGTTCAACAAGTTCATATTCAACCTGTGCTATCTTTAAGATCAAAAAGGCAACATCATATTTATTAAGGTCAACAAGAAAGGCTAGTTCAATAAGTAATGTCAACTTGACTAAATCCAAAGAAGATTTGATAATGCCTAGACCTAATAAGGAATATATTTCATGGGATGAACGAATGATTAAACGTGATGAGGAACTACAAGAAAAATTATTGGGTTCAACTGAGATCATGACGGAAGTATTGGAGAATGGAAAGGATGAGGAAGATATTCATAATGACAAACCAGCAATTTTGTTTAAGATGCCTTTCAAGAAACAATTGATAAGTCGTGTGTATGTTGAATCTTTCCCACAGCAACAAGTTGATACTCGTGAAATTGAAGTTCGCAAAGAAGAATTAACTGAAATTTCTAATGAGGTCCCAATTCCTGTGGTTCCGGAATTGGTCATTAGTATAGATAGAACAATTGATGAAAAGTTGAAACCTAAAGTCAAAGAAGTGGAAGCTAAAGTTGAACAAGTGTTAATCAAGTCTGATTTGAAATTGGATAAAGAAAATGAATTTAGTGGAGATGGAAACATTCCCAAAATTATTGAAGCTGTGGTTTCTCCAACTGTTGCCAGTATTGTGGAAAAGAAAGATGATGATGCAAGTGCAAAGGCAGCGACTGCGGCTACTTCTCCCAAGGTCGTCAAAAAATTGTCATTTGCAGATTATAAGAAGAAAATGATGTAGGATTGGTAAATGAACGGTGGTTTCATAGGGTCATATACTTTAAGTAGATACATGTATATTATAGAAGTTAATTTATTTGGATTCTTGTGTAATTTCAAGTTAGTAAATAATTGGCTGGATTTTTTTTTTAGTAGTCTTTGAACTGTGTAGTATAGACTGTAGTACACAGTGTGTTTCTGCAACGTCAATGTTGTTAATTTTACTAAGTTGTCTGAGATGATTGCATTCCGACAACCGGTCAATTGACAATAGTGCGCGCCTTAATAAAAGTCGAAGCATTTAATCCCGCACTCAATAGATCCATGGACCAAGACTTTTTTAGAACGTTCGGGATGAAAACAATAGATTCTAGATGCCAATGCTAGGGACAAGAATTCTTGCCTTTTATTTGATGTATTATTGGGGGGCTAAAGCTAGGGAAGATTTCTTGGACACAACTACAAGGCCGTAAAACCCTTGAACTAGTTCAGATCGATTAAGCTGGTGCACTAGTAGTTACATACTACTATAGGGTTGTTTTAAATGAATTTATGTAACTGTACGGAGTGATTCTGTTTTTCTTTTCAACAAAGAGAACTCTCAATTCCCATTGTTGAATTGACTTCTCTTGAATTGACTTCTTCAAAGCATCGTTGGCTCTTCTCTCTCTCTCAGGTCGGTTATTTGCACTTTTCCAAAAATCTCTAAACAAATTTGAGTGAATGCGAAATTAGTTTCCCTAAACCCGCAATTATATGTTTTACCATTCTGTCCTGTAATTGGCTAATTTTTCGATTCTCCAATAAAATTAAAGTTTTGTTTCAGCCCTATCTCGTTTACGTAACTGCATAGAAAATAAATAAACTACTGGTTATGCATCCGTCTTTCTTCTGATTGGATATTTCAGTTGTAATTTTACACTTTTGCAGTTTAGCTCACGGCAAATTACAATTGGATTTTTTTATCTTTTTCATCATTCTTTGATTCCGTGAGCTAATTTACAAGTATTTTGAGTTAGCCATCAGGGATTATGAACACATAGATACATTCTTATATTTCATTAGCATAATTGAATAAGAGTCCCATCTTTGGACTCAATACACATAGCTGTTAATCACCTGTTCCAAAGTTAACGGAGGAGAGGAAAAACCAGCTGGTTTATATTTTTTAGATGCAATTGTTAAAAAACCTTCCAAAAAAATATTTTATTTTTTAACAAAGAAAAAAATTCTCTCATCAGATAATTTTGATGAAGTAGATTGGTTGTAAAAAATAGACAATGTACACATGTAAGGGTAAAACACTTTTTTGCATGTTATTTTGCTATTTAAATACTCCTTATAATTCCTCAAAAAAATTCTTTTAAGCCTCCCTCTCCTTTGTTATTTTTTTCACTTTAGACCACGAATCTCTGAATAAACTGGGCTTATAAATCAAGGCTTTTTTATCAAGTTTTGATTATATTTTTGTATCTATTCATCAATTAATTCCCCCAAAACAATAAACTCATACCTCAAAAAGACTCCCGACAAAGAAATTCAAAATAGAGGAAAACAACCAAAGCCACAAATTTAAAATTTTTAAAGAAAAACTAAAGTACAAAAACAACCAAAATGGCCAACGTCTTTAACGTTCAAGTGTTCTTTATTGTTTTTAGAGAATCTTTAGAAGCAGTTATTATTGTTTCTGTCTTGTTAGCCTTCTTAAAACAAGGTTTAGGTGGTGCCACTCAAGACCCAGTAATTTATAAAAAGTTAGTGCGTCAAGTTTGGTTCGGTGCTATTATTGGTGTTGTAATTTGTCTTATTCTTGGTGGTGCTTTTATTGGTGCTTTCTATGGTTTAGGAAAAGATATCTGGGGAAAATCCGAATCCCTTTGGGAAGGTATTTTCTGTTTAATTGCTTGTGTTATTATTTCTCTTATGGGTATTCCGATGTTGAGAATTAACAAGATGAAGGAAAAATGGAGAATTAAATTAGCTCAAGCTTTAGTAAAGAATCCTAAGAATAAGAAGGATAGATTTAAGATTGGACACATTTCCAAGAAGTACGCATTATTTATTTTGCCATTCATCACTACTTTAAGAGAAGGTTTAGAAGCTGTTGTCTTTGTCGGTGGTGTTGGTTTAAACGAACCTGCTTCTGCTTTCCCACTTCCTGTTATTGTTGGTTTGATTTGTGGTATTGCTGTTGGTGTTGCTTTGTACTACTTTGGTTCTTCTGTCTCCATGCAAATCTTCTTGATTATTTCCACTTGTATTCTTTATTTGATTGCTGCTGGTTTGATGTCAAGAGGTGTTTGGTTCATTGAGGCTCATCAGTATAATATTGCTACCGGTGGTGATGCTGCTGAAAATGGTGCTGGTCCAGGTACTTATGATATTGCTAAATCTGTTTGGCACGTTAATTGTTGTAATCCATTAATGGACCATGGTTGGGATATTTTCAATGCCTTATTGGGATGGCAAAATTCTGCCACCTATGGTTCTGTTATTTCTTACAATATCTACTGGATCGTTGTTATTTCCGTAATCTTATTGATGCTTTATGAAGAAAGAACCGGTCATTTGCCATTTTCTCAATCCATGACTTTGCGTCAATTAAACCCAATGTACTACATTAAGGGTAAGAAGAAGAATGAATTATCTGCACAAGAAAAGAAAGAGTTGTTCTCACAAGTGAAACAACAACAATTGGGTGAGAATGTTAGAAGATCCGAAGAAGAAGTCAACCTTGTGGAACCTAAATAATCGGGTTAGTTGATTTTCAGTTGAGTATTGGAAATGCATTAAAGTATTGCACACACACACATATATATATTCGATGCTATGTTTTTCCAATACCGACTCCTTCGACGTCCGATTTTTTATTTCCATATTGCTTGTTTTCTAATCATTGTTTTACATATTTTTATTTTTCCAAGTCGAGTCATTTCTAAGGGGTCCTTCTTTACTGAAGGATGATTAACAAAGTACATTCTTTGATGAGTTTCTATACTTTTTATATTACTATGGGGGTAATTATGAGGGTAATTTTTTTCTATTTGTTTTAATACACATTTTTAACGGGGTAAATTTAAGTTCTCTATAATTGTTGTGTTCGCAAAAGTATATTATTAAATGGTTGCGAAAATTTTGCAACCATTTCATACCTTTTCAGAAATGAGTTGTTTTTCATTAATTCTGCCTTTACAAGTATTTTTCTCTAAACATATATTTTTATTGCTGTTGTTTAGATGACATGTTAATCTTTGATGTCACTGGTGGTTATGGTTTATTAAAGCTGTCACTCAAGAACAGAAGTCAGCGAAATGAGCGCCTTGGAAAAACTCGCAATCTTCGACCAGATGAGTTTCAAAGTCACTTAATGCTCTCGACAGCCATTTTGAAGTTGTGACCAGGAAGTCAAGATTGTAGATTCTCGCAACTTTCCTCCTTGGTTCTTGCCAAGCTTTACGTTAAACCGTTTTTGACATATTTTTTAGTTTTAATTATAAGCGAGCCAGTGAGTGTCCCATGTCAAGTTTCAAGTAAATTACTTTTCATTTAAAGAAGAGCAGACCCAGATATTATGAAGATATTATGTCAGATGTTCGGCATTTGATTACCGTTAATGTCACGTCCACTTTTCTTAGAATGACTATTGTTTTCGAAACTACAATCAGCCGCAACGCATTCCAATACAACTCTATGAAGTGTTAGTATTCAGTTAAGTATTGATATAGTTAACCGAGCAATATATATGCCAATTTTAGTTCCAAACCTTTCTACTTAGACCGGTATTTTTAACTTGCCTCTTGACTGAAAAATAAAGAATTGCATCATTCAGTAACTACACAAAACCAGAATATTTTCTGACCTCTTCACACATTCTTTGAAGTCAAGTACAGGTGATCAAAAAGATAAACAGAGCCGTTCATAATTTGTTACATGATATATTTTTTTTTTTAATTTTATTCTTATTGTTTGAATTTCCCGCAGGAAATGAGATTATTTCATTTCTCTGATTGGTTAATATTCCTGAATATGGCTTAGTTGTTGGCTTAGGGAAATTTTACAGTTTATGTTTAAACCGGTTCAAAAAATATTTTTTATCAAAAAAATCACCGCTCACTGGGTTTTTCTCCAATAATCTGTTCTATTAAAATTGACATTAGAAGGAGTGAAGAAAGTAAGTATGGACTTGGTATTTCTATAATATGTCAAAATATAAAGAAATCTCGTTGGAAAGCAAGATGAGGCATTTCGTCTAAAGGTCTTAATTTTTTTTGAAGCAGATAATAATTATTTTTTATGCATGTCTCTGAAACTTGTTCATCAGATAAATTTGATGTAAAAAAATAATTAAATTTTCATTAAAAAGTTTTCTTTGACTTTTGAGGAAATACGAAAAAATTTCATACATGGGCATTTCTGAAGTTTATTTAAATACTCCTCAATTTCTCTCAACTTTCAAGATAAACCGCATCCTTTCCTTTCTTCTTCCTCTTCTTTTCTTGTTTCTCTTTCTTTAGTTCAAAAATCTCTGAATTCTTAAAGTCAAACTTTTGTTGAGTTTGGATAATTTTTTTATTACTACCTCCTCCCCCTCCCTGTCGAATTTCCAAGACTCCGACTTAAGATAAAAGAGATATACAAAGGAAATATTAACTTTATTAAAATAAACAAAAGCTATTAACAAATATATTTAAACAATAAGCAAAATGGCCAACGTCTTTAACGTTCAAATCTTCTTTATTGTTTTTAGAGAATCTTTAGAAGCAGTTATTGTTGTTTCTGTCTTGTTAGCCTTCTTAAAACAAGGTTTAGGTGGTGCCAGTCAAGACCCAGTAATCTATAAGAAATTACTCCGTCAAGTCTGGTTAGGTGCAGGATTAGGTGTTTTAACCTGTCTTATTATTGGTGGTGCTTTCATTGGTGCTTTCTACGGTTTAGGTAATGATATCTGGGGTAAGTCGGAAGAATTATGGGAAGGTATCTTCTCCATAATCGCTACAGTCTTGATTTCGTTAATGGGTATTCCAATGTTAAGAATCAATAAAATGAAGGAAAAATGGAGAGTTAAATTGGCTCAAGCTTTAGTTAAAAAGCCAAAGAATAAGAAGGATAGGTTCAATCTTGGTCACCTTTCCAAGAAATATGCTTTATTCATTTTGCCATTTATCACTACTTTAAGAGAAGGTTTAGAAGCTGTTGTTTTCGTTGGTGGTGTTGGTTTAAATCAACCTGCTTCTTCTTTCCCACTTCCTGTTATTGTAGGTATCATTTGTGGTATTTCCGTTGGTGGTCTTTTGTATTACTTTGGTTCCAGTCTTTCCATGCAAATTTTCTTGATCATCTCTACCTGTATCCTTTATTTAATTGCGGCAGGCTTGTTTTCAAGAGGTGTTTGGTATTTCGAAGCTAACCAATACAACCGTGCTACTGGTGGTGATGCTTCTGAAAATGGTTCTGGTCCAGGTACTTATGATATCGCTAAATCAGTTTGGCACGTTAACTGTTGTAACCCAGAAACTGATCATGGTTGGGATATTTTCAATGCCTTATTGGGATGGCAAAATTCTGCTACTTATGGTTCTGTTATTTCTTACAATGTCTATTGGATTGTTATTATGTCTGTGATCTTGATGATGCTTTATGAAGAAAGAACTGGTCACATACCATTTGCTAAGAACTTAACTCTCCGTCAATTAAATCCAATGTATCATATTAAAGGAAAGAAGAAGTTGGAATTATCTGCTGCTGAAAAAGAAGAATTATTTGAAAAGGTTAAACAACAAAAATTTGATGTTGCAGTCAACCGCAGACCTTCTGAAGATGAAGATCACCTTATGGAAACTAAATAATTGCTATCAAATATGTGTCAACTGAATTCAAGGATTGCTTAGTTATTAATTTTCGCACACACACACACTATACAAATTAGTATGAGCATTCTGATTTCAAATGAATTTTTTTGTTGCAAAATTCATTTCCATTTGGTTTTCTTCTTTTCCTTTTAACCATTCCTTTTTATTCAAAGTCGAGTCATTTCGAATTCCCTTGATAAAAAGTTAATTCTTCTTATTATTGGGAAATCAACACAGTACCTTTTTTTTATATATTTATATTTTTTTGGGAGTTTCTTTACGAATTTATTATAGTATTAAATTCGATGGGGGTTTTTTTATTTAATTTTATAGTATTATTACACAATTTTTTACGGGGTATCTGATCTATTATGAATTTGTAGTGAAACTAATAGCAGGTAGATAATAGGCATAGCCTAGCCGTTTCGCCTAAATATCTAACAATGAAAACCGTTGTAGTGGTGGTTGCAACCTTTTGCACCCAATTTTTTTACGAAAGTGCTTTTTCTTGGCAAGCTAAAAATGTAAAAAACGAACTTTAAAATTTCTTGGTTAGTTAGCGAGTAAATTTAACAAAAGCATCCTACAATGAGATTTCTGTTTTAGAAAAACTAAAGTTGAATATACTTGCCTTCGTTTTGTTTCCATCAATAGTTAAAATGACTATTGACTTTTAAAAAAGACAACTTACGATATACACATATCTTCCCGTGATATTGTGAGTTCCAACGCAATTCCTTTCATACTGAAGCACCTACTGTAGCTTGATGTACTTGTACTTTTGCTAATGTATACTTTGCCATTTAAGAAAATTAAATTTCGTCTGGGGAAATGATGTAATCTTCGAAATAATAATCCTATTTCTTTTTTGTTTCTTTTAGACAACGTATTTGGATAAGCCACCTGCTGGAAATTTCCACCGTTTATCGCATTCTTTCTTGAACGTTTATTATGACGTAGTGTTACGATTACTGTAACCCTAGGATCCCCCACTTTCTTTTCCCAATTTGAAAATATGACATTTACGTAATCGTAAAAATAGAAAGTTTCTGAAAGAAAAATACGTCGCTCTATGTCAACTTATGCTTCATGTACAACCTATACTCTATACTACATCTTTGTTCCTTTTTCTTATTCATATTCTATCTGTCTTACTGATTGGATACTTGATGCACACTTAGCTCTGAAACCGTAAATGTATCAAAAAAATGTATGAAATGGTGTTGTACATGTAATAGAAAGACATTGTTGTAAGAGCCGAATTACAATGATATTTTATTAGCCACGGCTGCAATGCAGTGTTATTTTTTTAGATCCTTTTTTTTGTTTCTAGCCTCCTTTTTTCTTTTTGTCTTTAAAAAATATTTCAATACGAATTTAAACTTAAAAATAGAAAATTTTTCTAAAGAGAATCATACCATTTGGCTGTCTTAATCCCCCACACACCTTCACTAATCCCAAACTTTCTTTCGACTATAAAGGTCCTTCATTTTCCTTGAGAAACTGAAAAACTCATTCCGATTGATCATCATCAAACAGCAGCAAAGCAAAAAATGGCTAACGTTTTTAATATTCAAGTCTTCTTCATTGTTTTCAGAGAAGCTTTGGAAGCAGTGATTGTCATCTCGGTTTTATTGGCATTCTTAAAGCAAGGTTTAGGTGGAGCACAAAAAGATCCACAAACTTACAAAAGGTTGGTCCGTCAAGTTTGGACAGGAGCAGCATCTGGTCTTGGGATTTGTATTGTCATTGGAGGTGCTTTTATTGGTGCATTTTATGGCTTAGGGAAAAATATTTGGGGTAAATCAGAAGACTTATGGGAAGGTATCTTCTGTTTTGTTGCATCTGTCTTGATTTCCTTAATGGGTATTCCAATGTTAAGAATCAATAAAATGAAGGAAAAATGGAGAGTTAAATTGGCTCAAGCTTTAGTTAAAAAGCCAAAGAATAACAAGGATAGGTTTAAACTTGGTCATCTTTCTAAGAAATATGCTTTATTCATTTTACCATTCGTGACCACTTTAAGAGAAGGTTTAGAGGCTGTTGTTTTCGTTGGTGGCGTTGGTATCAATGAACCTGCTACTGCATTTCCACTCCCTGTAGTTGTTGGTTTGCTTGCCGGTGGTGCCGTTGGTGCAATGTTGTATATCTTTGGATCCAATATGTCTATGCAAATCTTCTTGATTATCTCCACTTGTATTCTTTATTTAATTGCAGCAGGTTTGTTTTCAAGAGGTGTATGGTTCCTTGAATCTAATACGTTCAACAGACAAACCGGGGGTGATGCTGCAGAAAATGGTTCAGGACCAGGTACTTATGATATTGCCAAATCAGTTTGGCATGTCAATTGTTGTAATCCTTTAACAGACAATGGTTGGGATATCTTTAATGCCTTATTGGGATGGCAAAATTCTGCAACTTATGGTTCTGTTATTTCTTACAATCTTTATTGGATGTTGATTATGTCTGTGATCTTGATGATGCTTTATGAAGAAAGAACTGGTCACATACCATTTGCTAAAAACTTAACTTTGCGTCAATTAAACCCAATGTACCACATTAAGGGTAAGAAGAAGAATGAATTAACTGAAGCTCAGAAACAAGAATTGTTCTCCAAAGTTAAAGAACAAAAATTTGAAGAGAATGAAACCACTGTAATTGAGACAGCTTCCAACTAAAACTGCCTCTCAAACAAATTCCTTATATAGGTCTCAACGATATGTAGTTCTTTAGATATAAATCAAAAAAGTTTGCCTTTTCAATACAGTTTTTGTTATCGGTAGGAACTGTAGAAAGAAGTACATTTACACAAAAATAAAACATAATACATTCAGTCTTAATAAAGACAAAAGAACACTAATAATTAAGGATTTATACAGCTACGGGGTCCAATGACACGTTGGGTAATGAAATCTCATCCAATTCATTCTGAGATGTTTCATCAACTTCCCCGTTTTCTTCGGGTACTTCTTCAGTTTGGGTAGCGTCGGCAGGGAAGTTACGTTGCTTCTCTATTTCGATTCTTTTATCTAGTAATTTGGCTTGATGCTCATCTAGTTGATTTATGATTCTCGAGTATACACTCCCTAATTTATCTGCATTCAATTTCAATCTCTTGTGAATATCATCGGAAACCATCAGCAAATTGATTAATGATATCAACTTGAGTGTATACAATGATATACTCTTTTCGTAGTTCCAGATTCTGTCGCCCTTCTTTGAATTAACTTCTTCTGTCTCCGCTTCATCTGAGCAGGGATGTTCCTCTTCCTCTTCGTCGTCGTTCTCGTCATCAAACATACTCTTTTCGTATTGATTGGTCTCATCAGCTTCGAGATAATCGTCAAAGTTGACTCCTTCTTGATCGCCTCTTTCCAAGTCTACCTTCAATTCATTTGCGAGTCTGACTTCCTTGATCAAGAATAATTCAAGTAATTGAGATTGAAGTTCGGCGCTAATTGTCCATAATTGAGGATGCAAACTAAAAAATGTTTCAAATTGATTGAACTCATTCTTATTATCGAATCTAACATAGAAAATCTTGAATGAAACTAAGAAATCAATATATTTCTCACAGAGCAACGTTTTCAAATCTACCAATTTTTCATTCTTGTCACAATGACCGATCAACCTTGCAACTTGTTTGACCACATCTACCATATCTTCAAATTCAGTAGTTATGTTTACGTATTGTTGATGTTCACTAGGTAATAAAATTAATCTCTCACATTTCCATGAGAGAACAGTTAAAAGCAAATCCAATATGGTTTCAATACTTTCCCTAAAGGAAGGTAACTGTTGCAAAAAGTTATACCTCAAGCTAGCCATAATAATAGGGAGCTGGACTACTCCAAAGGTTTTGGATACCAATGCATCAATCAAATCAGAAATATTAGATAATTGAGCAATATTAACATGGCAACCTAGTTGACCAATCTTGACCAAAACTGGGGATATAGTTTTTAACTTGACAAGCAAGTCATTTTGATTCTTAACATCACGACTATCGTATCTTGTGCCATTTTCTAATTCAAACTCTTCGGCTTCAACAAAATCCTCAAGTTCATCGGAATGCTCATTTAGGGAATTTGTAACTTCTACAACCAATTCCTGTAACAAATTCTGCAATTGACTCTTAACTGGTGACGTCAAGCCTTGTGAAGCAAATAAATTCTTAAAAAAGTCATCAAAGCCTTTTTCATCTTGTGAAGATTCTTTGTAATAATCAAGTATTTTTATAGTGACTTCATCGTATTCTTCTTCTCTGTTCAATTTAGTAAACAAATGGAACAAGTTGATTGCATCTTTTGATTCCCCAATGAAATTTGTCCAAATACTCAAGAAGATAGGGAACAATTTAGAAGATTTAATCAGATGGGTTTGTAATCTAGGTAAATAATCAATCATTTTAATTAACTGATTAGAAACTTCTTCTTGATCTTTTGCTGATTTGGCGGTTTTACATAAATGACTCAAAGACCCTTGAATGAACTTTAACAAAACTACTCTGTGTGATTCATTTAACTCAATTAAATCTTTGAATGCTTGGGTTTCTTCATTATCAACAACATCAGGGTTTTCTTCACCTTCTAAATTCTCAGTAAATTGAAGCAGGGACATGTCAGCGAGGAAATATTTCATTAAGAATTCCCAGTTAGATTCGTAGCCGGCAATTTCACATAATGATCGGTATGTGTCTTCGATATTGTTTTCGGACTTGCTTAAAACATCAACTAAATTCTTGATCTTTAAACAGGTTCCCAAATCATCGTTGAACTGACTCAATTTATAATTTTCTAAAAATAACTTGTATTTACCATTGATGTACTCCACTTGATTCTCGTTAATGACATGAACAAATCTAGCAAATTCGTGATGAAGTTTAGTCAAATTGCTCTTCGCTAAGTTATCCAATGGGAAGTCCTTGATGATGGATTCCGTGTCGGAATCTTCCAAGAACCCCAAACGGAACAATTCACAGCAAATTCCAAGACTATGAATTCTAACCTGAGGATCAGTATCAATCCTGCACATTCTGATAAAGTTCTTTTTAAATCTTTCTGTAAATTGCCTAAGAACAGGAGTACTCGTTGATTCGGTTAAGGACTTGTATAACCTTAAAAGGACCTTGGTATTTTCAGCTCTCACAGTTGAAGCGGGATCAGATAATAACCAACCAAAATATCTGATATATGTATCTTTGCAGAAATAATCAGGATAAGAAATAATGGTATCACTTAAGTATTTTAAACAACTTAATCTTATTTGGGGATCAATATCTCGATATCTATGGTTTATGACAATTTGGCCAATGTCGTCAAAATACTCAGTTAAAGTTGCTTGTTGTTTCTGATAACTTTGAATTGTTGAGCTTACCGTTTTATATCTAGCTTTGTTTGTTTTTTTGATCTTGGATAATTGTTTCTGTGATTTGTCAAGATTAGAAGTAACATTTTTAATAATATTACATAACTCCTTTTGAATAATTAGAATAAGCTCTGTCGATATAATTCTTAATGGTCTAATTTGACTTGTTGTCAAAGAAGTTATCCATGTTATGATGTAAGTCATCAAAGGTGATGCTAAGGAAACCTCTTCATTAGATTCTTCGTCGTCTTCTTCATACTTATATAATAGACCTCTTTCATGAGATATTTCAATAATTTTCTCAAAAAATTGAACTACATTCTTCTTGAACACGGGCAAAGCTTTATATGGGAATTTATGAAGTGATTGCTTGCCAAAGGCGATTGTGATTTCTCCTACTGTTTCAGCAGATGATTCTAATTCTGATAAATCATGTGGTTGGAACAAATAAACCGATCCACAACTTCTTAAAATAAGGTTGATTAGCATAGTTATAGCAGCATATTCACCATTTGTTTGATCTTCTTGATAAGATTCAATCCAATCTAAGGCGATTTCAGAAACATCTACTTCTGTATGAGCTAATGCTTGATACAAATAATTTTCTTCGAGTTCTTCTTCTAATTCTTCTAATGATTTAGTTTTATCTTTACGTTGTCTTTTGGTTGTTGAATTGACTCCCTTTGAAGATGATTTTGATCTCTTTTTAGTGGACACATTTTCAACAGCTTCATAATCACTTTCAGAATCTTCTGAATCACTAGCGTCCTTATAAATAGTTGGATTCGCTTTCCTACGCGTCAGTCTTCTAACCATTCTGATGCTTATCCTTTATCAATGTTTAATAGTAAAAAATGGTAAATGATAGTTGGTTGTAAGAAAAAAAAACAAGAAAATGAAAAACAAAACAGACGCGTTTGGTAAATGTCGTCTTAGGTAAATGTCTCTATTTCCAATCACGACATATTTGGTCGTGTAGAAAAGGATAATTCATGATTTTGAGTTTCACACGTAAAAAAAACTTTTCCAGTGAAAATTTAAAAACAAATCAGACACAACTTAATTATTCACTTACAACTTGTTATCTATTCATCTCATTTAAGTTCAAATAGTAAGCAATGTCTTCAATCGAACCAGATACTCCTTTGGCTACTGATACACCAAGAGAAACCACTACTGAGCCAACTGCATCTGTTGAAGCAAGTACTCCAGCTGGTGGTATTGATGAACAGCAACAGCAACAACAACCAGCAGAACAACTGGCAGAACTTAAATCAGAAATTGAAGAAGCTCCAAAAGCTGATATTGAAAAGTTACAATTAGAATTTCAAGAGAAGGCAAGAAAGTATTTGGCGGAACAAACTTCTCATATAGTGGTTCCTTCATTTGCAAAATGGTTTGATTTAAATGAAATTCATTCAATTGAAAAGAAATCATTTCCTGATTTCTTTCTTGCTGATCCAATAAATTCTTACAAGACTCCTCAAGCTTATAAATATATTCGAGATTTCATTGTTAATACCTTCAGATTAAACCCAAAGGAATATTTAACTGTAACTGCTGTTCGTAGAAACTTATCTGGAGATGTTACTAATATAATAAGAATTCATCAATTCTTGGAAAAATGGGGATTAATCAATTATCAAATAGACCCAAGAACGAAACCAAGTGTTGTAGGACCACAGTATACTGGCCATTTTCAAATTACTTTGGATACACCTCAAGGATTAGCTCCATTTATTCCACCAAATGCTCAAATTGTTAAAAAGGAAGTTGAAGAACCCACACCATCCTTACCATCTCCAGCACCAGAAATCAAATCAGAAGAACAGCAACCATTAGGTTTAAACTTAGAGATTAGACGTGATATTTACGCTACAGGTGATAGGAAATCCAATTATAAATCCAATAATCTCGTCCAGTACGCATGTAGTGTTTGTGGTACAGATGCAACTGAAGTTAGATATCATAACTTAAAAATTAAATCATATACTTATAATCCATCTTCCACCTTAAACAACGCCAGTATTTTATGTTCCCTTTGTTTTGATCAAGGCTTATTCCCCCTGAACTTTACTTCTTCTGATTTCATCCAATTACAAAAATCTCAAAAATCGGCTGAATGGTCAGAACAAGAGATCTTGTTATTATTGGAAGGTATTGAAATGTTTGCCACATATGACATACCAAATGCAAACGGAAGTATCGCTTCAAATTCTAATGCTCAATGGGATAAAATTAGCGAACATGTTGGAACAAAATCAAGAGAACAATGTATTATTAAATTTATTCAATTGCCAATTGAAGATAAATTCTTAACTAAATTAATAAAAGGTGAGGATGAGGATGGAAGTGGAAAGTCAACTTCTAAGGTTAATGAAACCTTAGTACAAGAAGTTGTTAAAAAATTGATTGAAACTAAGCAAGGTCAAGATTTACTTCAAGACAATTCTACTACAAACTTGCAAGAATCAATCTTGGAAGAATCAAATTTAATAAATCAAGTTATTGAATTAACATTAGAGAAATTCAATCTTAAGCTTGAAAAATTCGAAGCTTTACAAGGAAATATCATTAAGATTGAAGATCAATTGAATTTGGAAAGAAAACAAGTATTAATGGAAAGATGGATTCAATTTGAAAAAATTCAAAAATTAAAACAACAAAGACCAGATTTATCTGACATCTTGGATGATTTGATTCAACCTGTAAGAGTAACCGAAATCAACAAATCACTTAATCCAGTCAAGAAAATTGATACAGAAGATAAGATGGAAGTAGATGAAACTCAAGCCAACGACATAGATTCAGAGAAGTTACCAATTAGTATCAGTCAACCAAAGACTTATCAATATTGGTCCGGTTAATTTTGAAAAATAACTACATAGATAAAAATTCTATTTGTAAATTAATGTAAAATCACACTCACGTACATTTGAACTTTAAAAAATCAAAATCATAAACTCATAACATCAGATAACATTGCTACCTCTTATTCTTACCTTTCCTTGAAGTCAGGGGAGATATTTTTAAATTCTCCATTTTTTCATGCAATGTTGTTGGTTCCTTAAGACTTATTGCCTGCTCGTTCAGACTTGAAGTACGATTAGTCGGAGTTATAATCATAGGTAGCGATACCGAAGGCGTAGTATTTAAGCTTGGAAACTGTTCGTGACTGGAACTTAATGTTTGCGCTTTTTGATTCGGGATAAGATTCAACGTAATATCACTTTCATTCTTTCCCGCATAAAGCGGATGTTCCAATGTCATCGACATATCAGCTTGGTTGAAAAGCGCATTATTACTGGAAGATCTGGAAGCGCCTTTTAAATTCATTAACGAGCTCGATGAAATCACTTTTGGCATAGTATTTACAGCTAATCCACCGACAGCTGATGAGATAGCACTAGGAGCTGAAGTTATTACATTAGTTGTCTGTCTCATACTTGACGATAATCTCTTTTTGATGCTTCCGCTTCCCTTTCTTTCTATCGGATTCGGAGATGAACTTCTACCTCTGGCTGGCTTTTTTCTCAATGGGATTTCTTTTAATGATGATAGACGGCCAGTCTTTAAGACCATATCACCAGGACAATCCAATTTAGGTTCCATTTTAGCTTGACAATGCTTGTAGAAAGCGACAAATCGTTTCCGATGGACATGAGCACAGTCTTGTCTATATACTCTTATTAATCCATATTGATCAGTTGTCACAATAATATGCCCTGCTTGCAACTCTTCTTCTATTTTAGATTTATCTCCATCCTTGCTACATTCATATTTGGACATATCAAACGAAGCTTGCTCTCCTCTCTTTTGCAAATCAAAAATAATATCATCGGACAATTGCAATAATTTCTTGGTTGCTTCTGGGGCAAATATGGCAGCATTACATCTTGAATGATGAGCATGGAAACATGAATAACTGTTGTTTTCAGTCGCCACGAATTCATATGTTTGTCTTTGTCCGTCATCCAATAACTTCTTGATGAATTTGTCTGCTTTAATGAATCTTGAATATCTCTGACTCTTTTTATTTAATTGATCTTTTCCATCGATAACGAATTCTCGTAAAGATTGTTTCAATCTGTTATTGATAATACTACTGTTGTTCTCCCATACATAACAATAATGATCTTCTGAACCAGAAACGATATACCTATTGTCATCGGAGTGACCTGCGACTATTGATGAAGAATTATTAGTTAATCCTTTAAATCTTGTTATTAATTTCTTCAGTGTAGTTGTTGACAATCTAATTTTAGAATCATTGGTTGTTATTAATACTGCCCATTTATCTAATTCTGATGTTGCAACATTAGGATCAAACAATGGATTTTCAAAAATTTTAATCCCGGTAATTTTATTCCCATTCTTATTACCGAAATGAATAACTGATCGATTCATAATCTCAAATCTCTGTATCACATATAAACCCTTTGTCTCCATGATAAATACAGATCCATTAAAGCCTCCAATTACACAATGCAGTCCATTCGGTGTAAATGAAAGTGCAGTAATCAAAATATCTTCACCTAGACCCTTAATATATGAAACCGACTTTTCCAAAACTGACCAAAGCCGTACATGATTATCCAAGGACCCACTCATAAAGAATCTATCATCTAAAGGATGGAATTTTACTGCAGTGACAAAATCTTCATGATGGAAGGTTTGTAAGCATTTTTCTCGATCTACATGCCATAATTTGACTGTTTTATCCATACTTCCTGAAATTAAGAAATTATTCTTGCTCCATGCTAATGTTAATACACTCTGGGTATGACCTCTGAAAATTCTTGTTGGTTGCCTATGAAATACTGGTGCTGAGTCGAATATAGGATCACGCTTGTTACTTCTTTTCGGAGTTCCATTTTCTCGTTCTCGATTATTGTATTCCAATCTTCCCAATGGGGAAGATATAACTTTCCATATCCTAATAATGGAATCTCTACCTGCTGCAGCAAGATATTTCCCGTCTTTACTAAATTCCATAGTCAAGATTTCATTACTTCTATTACCTAGAAGCTCTTCATTTCGTATGCTTGCTTCATAGTTTAAGATATTCTCCTCTTCTTCACTATCAGTCGATGTACTTCCATTAGGTTGTCTTTCTTCCTCTGGATTATTTACGTTCAATTCCTGGGCAAGAAACAAGTTGTTTAGCACCTTGGGACTTTTTTTGTGTTTTCGGGATACTTTTACATATTTTGGAGTTATGAATGATTCATAAGTCAATCCATTCCAGGGAGGCTCTTCATCATTTTCTAAATTCAATTTAGTTAACTCGGTATCTATTGGCGGGAATTGAACTTTTTCAGTTAGGGAATAATATCTATCTTTATTTAATAAAGCATCCAAAGATTCCACCAGGGATAAGAATGATTCATTTAATGTGTAATCGCCTTCTTCCTCTTCTTCTTCTTCCTCGTCACCATTATATAGACTTTCATCCCCGTAATCAACAATACTTGTACGTTTACTACCATCAGGTGATCTACGAAGACCTCCTCTCAGTACAGAAGAACGTCTACCGCCGTTACTATTTCTTGGTGTTGGAATGTGAGATGTTGACAATTCCTGTTTCTGCTGTTTGCTGTTGTCATTAGAATCGCTTTTCTTCTTTATTAGTTTGCTAAAGAAATTACGTTTGGGAGTTGTTGTTGCTTGAGATCCATTTGATGGAGGTGGTGTTGCAATTTGAGTGGTTGCCATCTCTCAAGTTGTACTCCTCCTGTTTGTCCTGTTAAAACAATTAATTGTAGAATAAATAAATAAATAGTTGACTCCTTCAAGTCAATGAGTCTCTTAGTATCTTCCTTTTGAACTCTGCTTTGCTGCTTTATAAGTTGTTCTAATGAAATTGAAATTTAAATCCAAATCTTGCAAAGCCCATTTAATAGTCACATTTTTTTTTCTACACTTAGCCTGAGAAAGCGTTTATTACCGGAAGACAAGGAAGAAATTACTGCTGGGCCATTGGCAACTCAACCAAATTGTCAATACAAAAGTTAAACTTTTCCAAGAGATAATTAACATTAATGCTATACGGTATATATATATACTGTTCCTATTACTAAAATACACAAGAAAACTCAACTAAGTTGGCTTCTTCTTCTTTGACCATTCCAAACGTAAAATCAAATTATGATAACCCTTACCATCAAGCATTTCTAATGCTTTTTGAGCAAGCAGTTCAGTTGCAAAAGTAACATATGCAAGTCCTCTAGATTCACCAGTTTCTCTATTTCTAACAACATTTACTCTTTCTAATGGACCAAATCTAGCCAATAATTCATTTCTTAACATACTTTCATCAACAAATGAATTCAATTGAGAAACCTTCAAAGTACAAGAATCATCTCTTGCTTCTCTAGTTTGAATATTACCACTTGCATCTGGTCTTAAATGTCTTGGAACATATTTACCTGGAGCAGAAGCACCACCAGCACCACCTTCTGAAGATTCTGCAGGTGGAGTAGAAGTTGAAGATGCTCCAGCACCCAAAGTATCTCTGAATGGACATTTTGATGTATAATGATCACCACCACATGTTCTACATTTAATAGTTTGAACAACATTAGCAACTCTAGATGTTGCCTTTTCTTCTTCTTCAGCCTTTTCAACTTGTTTCCATGAAGTACCTAATTTTAATTCAACCTTTTCACCAAGTTGAGTAGTACTTGTATCTGGACCTGGTGCTGAGTTCTTTTCTTTCCCATATTTTTTCCAGTTCTTACGTTGAGCAATCAAAGGATGCACCTTTTCTTGAACTTTGACTTCTTTTATTTTTTGAGTGATTTTAACCTTTTTACCTTCTTGATTGGTTCTAAAAGTAATGACAGTTTTAGTTCCATCTGGATTAGATATGACTTCTGGTGGAGCAGAGAATTCTTCTGCATCCGCCCATGATTCTAACATTGTAGACATTATATATATATATATTGCTTATGTATTAAAAAGTATGGCTGATGAATATACTAAACATTTAACAAGAGAAGAACTGACTGAAAAAAATTTTTACAGCTGTTGATATTATCCAATTTACACGACCACTTACTTTACCCTATACATCTACTCAGTCAACTGAAGATATAAAGTCCTTGCCATATGATGACGATATACTTGTTCATGTTGTCCAAAGTTATCGAAAATCACTTTAACTGGTTGATTTCTATCACATAAATATTTGATAACTAATTGTGTTTGTTTAGTAGTCAATAATTCATCTTGAAGTGAATGTACCACTCTAAACTTAGTCTTCTTATCTACTAATCTAAATGGACTTTCTTTTGGTATACGAGTAGAAGAAGGCTGAGTAGAATCGATTACTGCTTCTTCTGATTGAAATGCTTCATAAACAAATGACAGATATTCTGGATATTCATTCAATAATTCAATCGTATCATAAATCCCATCTAAAAATACAAGATTGTCAATAGTGAAATTTCTCTCAATATCGTCAAATAACTCTTGCAAGTATTGGTTTGGAGACACTTGAGACAGATTCTCGAAACCTAGTCCAACTATTTCTTGGTAATGAAGTAATTGAAGCATAAGAGTAGCACCAACAGAATGTCCAAGTATCAGCGCTTTCTTTATTCCTAAAGTCTTATATAAATATCTAATAGCTTCAAGTACATCTAACAAATGAAATGGATGTTTGATTTCTGGTGATAATCTATAATTTATCCCAATTATATTTATACTTAAATTTGATAATTGGACATGTTCTTTAGCTATTTCTTCAAAATCATCAAATGTGTTATTTGGATCTCTCCATGCCCCTCCATGAATATATAGGAATGTAGTCTCATTCAGTTCTTCATAGTGGAAAATCTTAATTGTTTGTAAAGAATGAGAACCATATGATCTTTGCGTGTCTACGAATGACATAATTGACTCAATCTAAATTGAAAACAAGTAGTTAAAGAGGAAAGTCGGTATGCCCTGGGCAATTTATAAACTTAATCTAGTCTCGGTTATAAACTTGCCTCGGTTTATATACAGGAATATCAAGATCTATAAATTATGTCTATTAAAAAGTATCTATAAATTCTCCGTAAAGATGAACAATAATCCATTCGAATGCTATTCAATATCCTTGTTACTCCAGAATATAAGTCAAATCAAATGATAAAATCAATAATAATACAATCCCTTTTTTATAAGGTTCAAAAATGAAAAATGAAAAATAATAACAATAATAATACACTCGGAATCTCTATATCTGTTTGGGTTCCTTTTTAAAAAAAATCAAATTATCATCATTAAAAACAGTTTCCTTTTAAGATGAAAAACAATATAATATCAATAAAGTCTAAGAATTGAAAAAATAAAAAATACAACATGACATTCATGAAAACGCCTTTCAATTTTTGCTGGCAAAAATACTTTGAATCCACTAAATAATAATTTTTGATTTTACATAATACACATTACTCTCCATCAACAAAAATACATCTAATACAATTTAACAATTTCCTTCTTATTCCTTCTTTCTTTCTTCTTTATCCAAATAGCTGTGATTCAGTGTCAATCAAAACAAACAAACATAAATGCAACGTAAGGGGAACCTCAATTCATATTAAATTTAGAAACGAGTTGGGGATCTTTCACGAACATAAGAATCTCTGTCATCTCTTTGATAGTCACCACGGTCACCACGGTCACCACGGTCATAACCTCTGTCAAATCCACCACGGCCACCTCTGAAACCTCCACGTTCAAATCCACCACGGCCACCTCTGAAGCCACCACGACCACCTCTGAATCCACCACGGTCAAAACCTCTATCGAAACCACCACGGCCACCTCTGAATCCACCACGACCACCTCTGAATCCACCACGGTCAAAACCTCTATCGAATCCTCTGTCGAATCCACCACGACCGCCTCTGAAGCCACCACGACCACCTCTGAAACCACCTCTTGGTGGAGGTGGGACGAATGGAGAAGTATCTTCTTCAGCACCAACAATAATACCTCTGAATTCAGCTTTATCTAATAATGGAATAGCTTTATCTAATTCTTCACCACTTGAAAATTCTAAATTTCCAACAACTTCATTAGTATCATAATTTCTGAAAACCTTAACATAAGTAGGTTCTACTTCAGTTCTATCTCTAACGAAATCTTTAATATCTTGCCAAGCAGTACCATCTTCTAAATTAGTTAATTTAACACGATATTTACCTCTAGTATCTTCTCTTCTTTCTTTAGCAAATTCAACCAAAAGTCTAACACCATTGAAATCTGAATCATTTAAAGTTTCAAGAGCACGAGTTGCATCATCTTCATTTTCATAACTAACAAAGGCAAATCCTCTCATTAATTGAATATCAACAACTGGACCAGCTGAAGAAAAATGATCTTCTAATTGTTCACGACGAACTTCAAAATCTATAGGTCTAACAAATAATTGTTTAGATGGAACTGGGGCTTGATCTTCCATGATTGATTGATTGATTTTTATTTGGTTATAAGGTTAAAGAAGAAGAAGAAAGAAAGAAAGAAGGCAAAAAGAAAATTTCATCTCTTCGCAAGAAAAAGGGCAGCGCAGATAAAAAAAAAAGAAAGAGAAATTTTCGTGATTTTTAGTGTGGCGTTTTTATTTTTACTTAATTAGGATAGATTTGAACTCAAGTACACGACAATACACGAGGAACAATTATTTCTTATTAAACCCTTATAGGTTACTTAAGACTATGGAAGAGAGATAAACATTAAAACAAATTGTCAATGGTATTAAGAAAGAAAAATGTTGGTTCTATGCAACATAAAAGTATTAAACAAAATTAATTAAAAAAAAAGACACACTCACTAAACTCACTCATTCATAATCCTCTGATTAACTAACAAAAAACAACTAAGTCTCTGATGGGGGGGAGAACACATTAAATAAAACAGTTACAATGAATTAAACTGAAAGCCAGTCTAACAACGATAGATTGGGGGGTAGTAGTAGAATTTACAACAACAAAAAAAAAGCAAGCATCTTTAATTGATGAGGATGATCACAGACAGATACATACTGTCCTCATTATTCATATATTGTAGTTAGCATTCTTCCTTAAGAAAAGATCTTCTTTAAGAACTTTCTGAATCCACCCTTCTTCTTTTCTTCAGTCTTTCCTTTGCTAGCATCCTCAGTAGCCTTCTTGGTAGTTTGCTTGACAGTAGTTGTAGCAGTTTCAGCTGTAGCAGTAACTTCCTTCTTAACATTATCCTTGGCACCTTCTGCTTCTCCATTAACAGCTTCTTCAACATTCTTAACTATATCTTCCTTTTGACCCTCAGTTGCTTCTTTAGCGCCAGTTCCAGAAACAGCAGCAGCAACAGCTTCAATATCCTTCTTGGACCCTTGAGCAACGAGAATTTCTTCTTCTTCTTCACCTGCAGCAGCTTTAGGTTCCTTAACTACTGGAGAAGCATCCACTTCGGTAGCTTCACCAGCAGATGCTTTTGGATCTAAAGTCTTTGGTTCTTCAGATACATCGGTCTTGGTAACTTCTTGTTTAACTTCCTTGACTTCTTCAACTATTGGTTCTGATTGTGCTTCTGGTACAACTTCTTTAGCTGCTTCAACGGTGGGAGCGACTGGTTCTGGTTGAACAGCAGCTGGAGCAGTTACGGATTCTTTCACTGCTGCTGCGCCGGCAAGGGCAGCGGCGGCAGCGGCAGCAGCAGCTCCTGTTTCTTCAACTTCCTTATGTTGTGGCTCTTCGGTTTTTGGAGCGGTAGTAGCTGCAGTAGCTGCTGCTACGGCTTCTTTATCTTCTTTAGCTTGTGGTTCTTCGGCTTCTGGAGCGGTAGTAGCTGCAGTTGCTGCTGCTACAGCTTCTCCGTCATCTTCATCGGATGAAGTACCAGAAGAAGTTCCTTCAGAAGTTCCTTCAGAAGTACCTGAGGAAGTCCCTTCAGCGGCTGCACCTCCAGTGGCTACGGTAGCAGCAGTTTGAGCAGCGACAGCCTTCTTCTTCTTTGCCTTATATTGAGTTCTCTTGACTTTCTTCTTATATTTCTTTCTTTCTTCTGGGGTCATATTAGAAGTATCAACTTCACTAGCAGAAGCAGAAAGACTTGGTTGGGCGGCGGCTTCTTCTGGTTCATTTAAAGTCTTTGGATCAACATTTCTAACTTCAGTGAATGCAGCTAAAGCTTGTGGGTCAGTTGGGATTTGAATTCCTGGTTCTCCAGCAATAGTTGGTTGTTTTAAATCTTCCTTTGGCATGACGGTTGTTTCTAATTCATCACTAATTGACAATCCCGATTCTGGGATGATTTTAGATGGAAGGGTTTGTAATTGTTTAATATCTTCAGTTTCCAAGACATTATTATCAATTCCTGCATCATCTTGACCGATTTTTTCTTCTCCATTAACTTTCCATTCTCCATCAACAACATATTTATACAAGATTCTTTCATGACTTGGTGGCAATGGAACTTCAAGGGAATGAGATCCATCAACTTGTTTGACTAATGGTAAAGATTTAGACCAATTGTCAAAAGTACCTGTAACAATTACTTCTTGAGGACCGGCTGGCCTATATCAAAATCTATAGTTAGTATTTACTTATATTGAATTCCTATTAAAATGGTTGTCAAATCGAAGCTTTTCATTGAAATTTTTTCGTTGCTTTGGAGTTCTTAGCTATTGTTTATTCGTCAAACTTTTCCAAGGCGGAGGGGTGAAGCGGAGTGGTGAAACAGTAAAAGTTTATCTTGGATAAAATAGTCACATGACCCATACTATTTGACAACATCTCATATATAATATCAAGTCAATTGGGCGGTTATAACTGCTATTAATACTCGAGCCTCTTTTTATATTAAAGGTTGAATTGTTTAGGAATTGATGTGGTGTGTTTCATTTGTATAACCAAATATTTTGCATTTTAATTCCCCCATCCCTATAAAACCTTCAATTTAATGACAACCTGTAATAAATTTCAATTGATAAATATTCAATTGAATTGTTAGGTGTAGTGTACATACCATTTGAATGTGTAATTAGCTGACATTGTATTTGATATTCTTTTCTTTTCTAAATAACTAATCTTGTCTATTTATATAAAGAAGAAGAGAAAGAGTAGAAAGTGAAAGTGTAAAAAAAAAAAATTGTTTTTAACGAAAATTCCAATACAAATAAAAATCTTTTTTTTGTTTTGCCCTTGCTATTTTTTCTTTAATAAATTTTGCCAGTAATTAAATAATTATAAAGAGAATGTTATTGTTCTTTTGTATTTAGACGAAACAATAAATAAAATTACAATAAATAAAAATAAATGACTTTTTTTTTAAAAATTTTTTATTGTTGCAATTCATAGCCTTCCCGATTAGGAAATAGGCACACAATCTATCTCCTAGCCCCCTTCTTCCAGTGCCACTCTCTCTTCTATGTCTATGTCTATCTCTATGTCTATCTATCTATCTATAAAACTACAGCCGCAATTTCTCAATTAAACAGCAATTAAAATTATTGATTAGGCTTTAAAAATTTTAGTTATGGAACATTCTATACATACATACATAGATGTAACATTAATTACATAACAAAATCCTTTATTAAAAACTATAAATAAATTATACACATTAATTGTGTTTTAATAACCACTCAATTAACCTATAAATAGAAACTTATAAATAGAAGAACCTTTAAAAACAAATATAAACCATTTTTTTAATATATAATCCTGTGTCTTTCTCTCTCTCTCGGTTAAAATTCTCTCTTCGCTACCCTCTCACGATCTATCACTTTGATTTATATCAATCTCTTCATCTTCATCAACTTGATTATTATAATTCGCACTCAATTGACTCTCATCTTCAACCCTAACCTCAGGATTATAATCACATCCAAAATAACTTAATAATATCGGTAAAATACATAATGCATGAATTGCTGCAATTATAATTAATGAAAACCACATTCTAAAATAATAAACTTCAAATATTTTTGATCTTGTAAATGCTAAAACTGAAATACCAATAAATTTAGTTAATGTAATCCCACCAATAATTGATCCACCAACTGTACTTAATGCACTATATGCTCTTAAATTACGATGACGAGCAGGTAATTCATCTAAACTTGATATTGCCAAAAAACTAGAATATAATGATTCTTCATTCGCATTCTCAAATAATGATACTGGACTATTCACATATGCTCTAGTTAAATGAATAGTAAATTCAACTGCAAGTCCAGCACATATAATCAAATTAACTAATGAAACTGCATTCAATGAAATATCCCAAATGGCAAGCACACCTCCAATATTAATCAATATTGAAATAACCGTAATTGTCATCACTGTTGCCGATTTGATTGATCCTAATAATAAACTACTAACCAACCAAATAATAATCATAGCAGCTCCTAATAATTCAAATGTTAAATTCACAATAGTATGATATTGTACAAAGAATATATAAAAGGGTGACCAAACAAATATATCCAAATCATTAATAAACCCTTTAATTTCATCAACAACCCTAACAGCACCCTTATATGCATTAATAAAATCTTGTTGTGATTTTAATGGAGTATGTGAAGTTCGGAAATAACTGGCATGAATATTCTTACTAGTTCTTGAAATAGTATTTCCATATGGTGCCTTGCCTCCTAATGGACATGGATCACTTGGTTCTTGAATCCATTGATTGAAATAAAACATAAATTCCGGTCCTTCGGGGAATCCATTCATACTTGAATCATACGGTGGATCATGATTAAGATAACAAGTTTGACATTGACGTTCAGGTGCATATGGAGAACAAAATTCAGGTACATTATCAGGTTGTTCAAATACAGTCCCCTTTTTAAATCTACAACATTGATCTAAATCTGGATTTAACCATGTCAAAAAATCATCCAACCAATTCGAAGTAGGTTCAGCAATCATTGATTTCTTTGATCTCTTAAATTCTTGTTCTAATATATTTGCCAATGAATATTTATCACATCCAGAAAATCTTCCACATATCTTTTGTTGATTCTCTCTTGTGGTTAAATCTAAATCTTTAACTACAAAAAATGTAGGTGGACCAGCATTGAAATAATCATATACTGAATTAAAATAATTAATCAAATATGAATCCTTAGGAATGGCAATTCGTTGATCTAATCCAAGTTTAATCTGAGGGAATAAACTTAATGAAATACCCAACCATATCACAAACAAGGTAATTATCTTTGGTTTCATCGTTTTCTTTAAAATCACAGGTGCATAATATTGACTCACCCAATGGGAAAAATTATATTCTAAATGTTTAATCCCTTGTTCATCCATATCAGAATCTTCTTGAAGTATATGATCAGCATTCAATTGTACAGGAGCAATAGTTATCCATGGCATACAATCCACTCTATTATCTTCCAATCTTCTTTGATCCAATGCCAATAATCCAACAAAACATGTCATTTGAAGCATGAAATTAATCGCAACCGCTCCAGCACTGTAATATGCGAAATTCTTAACCGCGGGCATATCCACAAAGGTAGCTAATAAAAACATTGAAACTTGTAATATGGCACTAAGGAAACATGAAGGTCCAATACATCCCAACGCTTGTGAGATTCGATCTTCCAACGGTAAATCAGGGAAATGTTCAGTTGTTAAATGTAATTCATGAACAATTAAAAATATATTATCTACCCCAATTGCCAAAACCAAAAATGGAATCACTTCGGCAATAATTAAGGTTGATTTTAATCCAATTAATGAAAAAAATCCAACTGATGCACTTACTGATAACAAGATGATTAAAATCCCACATAATCCTAACATGAATCTTGTTTTAACAAGTGAATGCCAACTCCTGTGAGGTAATTTCCCACCAAGTGCTAATGAAGAATAAAGAAACATTAATAAATATGATATAATAATGATTCGAATATCAGTATTGGTAGATTTGTTAAGTTCTTCAGTTAAGGATATTTCTGTACTAAATGCAATATTCAATTCTGGATGTTCATCTTGTAAAACCTGAGCCCATTTTTGAAACAGATGTTCAAATTCAATACTCTTATTGGAGAATGTTTCATCACCAGAATTACTATTTACTAAAACTGTAACTGTGAATGCTTTAACTTTTGAAATATCATCATTATCAAACAATATATGTGGTTTCAAAGGTTGTTGGAATGAAGGTAAACAATTCACCGGTGAATCCATACAATTTTGTAATTTCGCCTTCCAAGTATCTTCTGTAATAGAATTGATATCTCCATTAAAATATTGTGTAAAGGATTCAATTGCACAGGTTTCTTCTAATGGTTTGAAACAAATATCAGATAGTAAAACATTGGGGTTTAATTGTTCCAATTCTGATTCCTTCTCAAACCACCATTTAACAATTTCCCAATTCAAAATTGGTCCATCATCTTTTGAACTAACAATAACTTGTTCAATTCTATACCATTCACCAAAATTAGATTCGAAATATTGTTGATTCTTAAATGCTGGTTCATGGGGACTAACCCAAAGATTCACGGGGTTAGTCTCTAAGTCCAATCTAAACAAACCTGATGACAACATTAATGACAACAAAATACTAGTTCCAATGGTAACTCCAGGATATTTCACACAGAAATATCCAATATTTTGGAAAATTTCTTGAATCTTGTATTTCAATCTATTCAGGAATGCCGTAACACTAGGTTTTCGAACAGTTACATAAGTCATTGGACTAATCATATTATCAATTTCATCCTCTTCTTCGAGTCCACCATATGAAAGATGTCTAACAGGTTTTGATCTGACTAAATACACATGATATCCACCTAATACAACAATCATACATAACCAGATTATAGCAATTGCAAATGAGAAACAAGGTAATAAACCAACCATACATTTCTTATCTAATCTGCTGGCATGAGGTAATTTTGGACAAGAACTAGTACAATCCGTACAAGCACATTTATATTCCTTATCATCACAATTCCGTAAATGATCATTTCTTAATATGATTCCAGAATCTAATTCTTCCTTGGTTGTTTCATAAACAAAATTAATCTGATATGGTGAGCCACCTAATAATGGTTTTTCATCACCTAAAAATTTAAGAAATTGTTTATAATCTTTTGCCCCTCCACCAATTAAATCCATAGCAAACCCATTAGTAGCTGAAAATTTGACATTTTTACAAGAATCGAAAAACTTCTGAGCCATTTCTGGATTAACATATTGATCAATCTCAGTCACGATTTCCTTTCCCGTATCTCTGGCAATTTGAGTCTTGGTAACATTTATAAATGTAGATTCATTAGGTGAACAAGTGAATTTACAAAAGAAATCATAAAAGTTCTTTCGACAAGCTGGACATGTTGATATAATAGGATCTACTCTTTTTAAATTAGATTCCAATGCATCAATTTGTTCTGGGGAACAACATACCAATTCAAATTCTTCTCCACAAATTGCCTTTAATTTAGTTTGGGATTCCTTGGTTGGTTTCGTAGCCTCTACAAAGTTGGAACAAGGAAGTTGACTACCAAATACGGATTTCTTTCCACAATTGCCATATGTGTTACAGTAGCCAGGTTTATGTTGTGGAGAAATTGCTAGTACCCACAGAATATCAAAAAGGAATATTAGTAGACCAATTAGTCTCATCTTTATGTTTGGGGGGGGATTATAGTATTTCTCAATTGATTAGTTTGATGTCAATAGTTAAAGTGATTATCTTCTTGTATATCAATTGAATTGAATGATATTCTCGTTGTATATAATTCTCTTATAAATGAAGTAATCGTGTCTTCTCTAAAGGGGGTTGTAAAAAGGCAATTCTATTTAATCACCCGTTTTTTCTGGTTAATTTAATGTATACGGCATTGGTAGCGCATTTTTCTTTATACTTTTTCACTGACCTTCTATTACAAACTTTAAAATGTTGACAGTTGGGTGGACAAACTTGTATGCGAAATATTCTGACTCTTTTCTATCTAATCCTGTGGTTATCAAAATAACTATCACGTTCACTAAGCATGTCATGATTTTATGAGTGCTATGAATCCTTCGGGGAGAGTTGTTTATCTCTACTATAGATTTTGCAGCACAGTGATACCCGTCAAAGAAATTTCTTTTCCTAATGTCTATCTAGGTTTCTACATACTCCCAGTACATTGTTGATATCTCCCTTTCTCTTAATCTCCTTCTATATTTCTATCACGTTCTCTTTATCTTTCTCTCTCTTGTCATCTTTCTTTTAAGTGTTTTGCAACACGGGTCGCGCTAATTTTCCCAAGAATACGCGCAATTATCTATTTACTGGTGCTAAAAAAATCTTCAGATAATTTTCATTTCTCCTTTTCTTCAAGGATTGGTGATTGGACTTTCACTTCCATAGTTTCCTATTATCTTAGCGAGTTTAAATCATGTTAATTGGTATCTCAGGAACATTAAGTTCCGGTAAGACAGAAGTAGCACGGTATTTAACATTCCAAGGATTTAAGTTAATCTCATTTGAACCTCCAACTCCTCCTACAAATATTGCTGCCGATTCTTCTGATGAATCAACTCCAGCTCCTCCTTTAGGACAACAACTTCAATTAAAATGTAATATAAAAGAAGATCTTACCAAAGTTTCACCCTATTATTCCAAAATGGAAATTCATAAGAAATTTACCGATTTAGATTCATTATTAGATTTTGTTACTGTTAATTGGAAACAGAATTTTGTTATATCTCATATTAATGATATGACAATGTTAAAAGCTTTACAGAAAAGACCATTCTTTTTACATATTTCCATAGATGCTCCTTTGACATTAAGATTTGAAAGATATTCATTAAAACCAGCTAGGGTTTGGTTACAATTAAGTGACTTCATAAAAAAGAATGATGATTTATTATTCAATATTGAAAATCCATTAATTGAAATAAATAATCAAGCACAAGTTAAAATCATTAATACTTCTAGTTCAATTAAAGATTTGTATATCAAATTACTGGAGTTAAACTTATTAGATTCTTCAAGATTAAGACCTACTTGGGATTCTTATTTTATGAGATTAGCTGATTTAGCAGCATTAAGATCCAATTGCATGAAAAGAAGAGTTGGTTGCGTCATTGTAAGAGATTGCCGTGTTGTTGCTACTGGATATAATGGAACCCCTCGACATTTGACTAATTGTAATGAAGGTGGTTGTTCACGTTGTAACAAAGGTCATGGAAGTGGTGCATCATTATCAACATGTCTTTGTTTACATGCAGAAGAGAATGCATTATTGGAAGCTGGTAGAGATAGAATTAGAGGTGATAGTATATTATATTGTAATACTTGTCCCTGTTTAACTTGTTCCATTAAGATTGTTCAATGTGGGATTAAAGAAGTTGTTTATGCACAAAGTTATTCAATGGATACTCAAAGTCATAAAGTTATGAGTGATGCAAATATAATATTACGTCAATACCAACCTCCAATGGATGGGATATTTATTTAAATATTTATAGAATTATAGAATTCAGTTTAAATTTCTTTGTATTCATAAGGTCCTGGTTTTTCTTCAGCATCCAATTTAATTTCTTCTAATACTTTACCATCAACTTTAAGATATGCTTCAATCTTATCACCAGCAACAATTGGACCAACACCCTTTGGAGTACCAGTCAAGATCAAATCACCCTTTTGTAAGGTCATAATAGAAGACATATGACTCAAAATTTTATGAATTGGGAAGATCATTAAATTAGTCATATCTTGTTGTTTAACTTCTCCATTAATCTTTAATACTAATTCAACATTATAAGGATCTGGGATCTTTTCTTTTGGAATGAAATTAGACATTGGTAAGAAAGTATCAAACCCTTTACCAATTGACCAAGGTAATCCCTTTTTCTTAGCTTCATCTTGAACATTACGAGCAGTCATATCAATACTTAATGCATATCCTTCAATACATTCTAAAGCTTCTTCAGGTCCAAAAGATTCTGGCAAATTCTTTAAGTCTCGGTTTAAAGTAAATGCCAATTCAACTTCATGATGAACAACAACTCCCTTTGGAACTAAGAATGGTCCTTCATTTGGTTTTAAAATGGATGAAGATGGTTTTAAAAAGAAAAATGGTTGTTGAGGTGCAATGTTATTCAATTCTTTAATATGGGCAGCATAATTACGACCAATACATAAGATCTTTCTAGCAGTATCAAGGTATTTCAATGACATCGTGTGATTCTTTCTTTCGTCCATTCGAGTGACTTAATGTAAGAGAAGAAGAAGAAGAAGGAAGAAGGATCTGAAAGCAGAAGAAGTCAAAAATTTTCAATAAATTTATAAATCCCGAGAACTTCGGAAAAAAACAATTCCGGTCGGAAATCTTCCCCCACACACAAATAGATCGAACCCTGTTCATTGATATTTCCATCTGGTTCGTATTGTTAAGCTTTTCTGTTAAACAATACAAAGATGTTGTGGCAAATGGGTAACCAATTAGAGACGTTTCCGTGATCTCCACAAATCAATCTAGATTGCATAATCTCGGAAATCTGCCCTTTTTGAAACGTTTTAGTTTTACAGAGATCCGCAAGGGAAGATTTCGGAGTTGACTTTATCAATTCTTTTAAAAGAAGGGTGGCATTTTTCCGTTTCATAAGTTCCAACGAATAAAATCAAAAGGGCCAGGCCCAAGACTCCAACAAGGACTTATGGAGCTCTTTCGTGGCTATGTAACAAAAGAAAATATAACAGTATTTTCTTGTTGAGAAATACGCCTTTCTGAACCCCATACGGCGTTTTAAGTACCTCCTGTAATGGAAATAATGTGACCTTACAAAATTCTTTTAGCTTCAATAGTTTACTTCCATATAATGTCCTTTACCTAGTGATCTCGCAAGCATCTTCGTAAACTAGTTATTAATCTGGTCTCTATTATGTCCCCCCATCTATCTCGTCCTTCTCTTAATTGTTCAACTGGGTTTTGATTTCTCGAGCGAAAATTGAAATTTTATTTTTCGTACAACCGATGAGCCGTTGCGTTATGTCAGCGTAAACAGAGATCATCCAGTCACCCAATAAATGCTATTATCAAGTCTAACGCGACATAGTCGTACACGTAACCTACTAAGATCAACTTATACTTTCCATTTCATTCGTAACCAATCCCTTGCATCTCATCATACGCCCATTCCGTATTATCCAAAACAAAAATCATACAAAGAACGAGATGAACAAATCAATCCCATTAATCCAGAAGAATATTCTCAAGCAGAACCGAATCCCGATGATCAAATCATAATAGCAATGAGCTCAGGTGTAGATTCATCTGTATGTGCAGCTCTATATGCTAAGAAATACAAAAACGTCAAAGGGATCTACATGGCTAATTGGTCACAGACTGCATCATGTACAGAACGTGATTGGAAGGATGTTCAAAAATTATGTGAACAATTAAATATCCCATGTGAACGAGTTAATTTCGAGAAAGAATATTGGTTAGAAGTTTTCGAACCGATGATACAAAAATACTCTGAAGGTTTAACTCCAAATCCTGATACCAGTTGTAATAAATATGTTAAATTTGGTAAATTATTTCAATATTTAAATGATAAATATAAAACTCAAAAATGGTGGTTAGTCACTGGTCATTATGCTAGAATAATGAAACATACCCCAACTGGGGAATATCATCTCCTAAGAGGACTTTCCCGTAACAAAGATCAATCATATTACTTATCAACCATCCCTCCTTCCACTATGTCCCAGGTCCTCCTTCCCATTGGCCACCACATCAAACCCGATGTCCGAGAATTAGCAAAAGAGTTCAACCTCCATGTAGCCCAAAAACCCGACTCTCAAGGATTATGTTTCGTAAGTCCCGACCAAAACAATTTCACCGATTTCTTACGTGACTATATCCCAGCCAATCCTGGAAATATCGTTACTGAAGATGGCAAAATATGGGGCAAACATGATGGACTCTGGACTGCTACTATTGGACAAAGAGCAAGAATAAGTATGCCTCAAGCAGATCCTAAATATTCTGGTACTTGGTTTGTCAGTGATAAAGATCCAATTAAGAACGAATTAGTAATTGTTCGGGGATCAAATAATCCGAAATTATTTAAATCAGGAGTGGTTTTGAATTCTTTGGATTGGGTATATCCCGTTGAAAAAGTCTTGGATATCCCAAATAATGAAATTCAATTCCAGATGAGTTCGTTGTCAAATCCATTTGACATTGAAACATTTAGTGTTTCTACTGAGACGAATCAAGTTAGTATTAGATTGAAGAAACCAGGCAGGGCACTTGCTCCTGGTCAAGTGGGATGTTTATATAGAGGAAATCAAGTATTGGGCTCAGGTACAATATCATCAGTTGAATAATTTTAACTTTTTAGAGTGTGTATATAGTACTGTAACATCAATTACTACGTGTAAATAATATTTGGGATAAGGTTTTAGACTCTATGTAAAAGTCATTCTTGGCAATTTCTAACCATATAGATCTCTCTTGAAAAAGCTTACATTGTCAGGGTTCAAGCGATATATAATTATACAGTCATCATTATTATTACTAACGACTAAATTTAAGTTTATACATTAAACATATCCAAAAATAAAAAAAACTAAAATAAAAAGAATTGAATCAAAAAGTTAACAAAAAACTAATTAAACACATAATAAGCAACTAGAAAAATTGATACAAAATTTAAAACACACAACACAACAATCCAAAAAAACCAAATCAATATACAAAATTTAACAACATAATAATAATAATAGTAATAACATCTCTAGATTAAAAAGCAGCAATGGTAGGATATAATTTATTACCTTCATTAAGCTTCATTTCTTCATTCTTATCTCCTCTCATTCTTTGTTGTTCTTGTTCTTTGATTTGCAATCTCAAATAAGCAAGAACAGTTCTAACCATTTCTCTATGTCTAACAACATCCTTCAAATTGAACCCATTAACAACAACATCTTCATCATCCTCATCTTCTTCCTCTTCTTCATCGTCTTCATCACCGATGGACAATCTGTCAAATAATTCGTCAAGCTCATCGTCATCCTCCTCAGAAGAAGAAGTATAGGTCTCAATATCATCCTCGTCATCCTCTTCGAGATCAGGACACAATGGTTGACCGGACTTTTGATAATTCGAAACACCACTGAATTCCAAAGCAGTAGGATGTTGTTGAACACCAGCTTGTGCACCATTGTAGGGTATACCAGTATATCCCATAGGTCTATTGATTTGGGGATAAGAAGGTAAGAAACCATTATGATTATTAACAAGAGCATCCTTATTGGCAGCAGCTGCAGCGGCAGTAAGTGAACCATTACTGGCAATGGTAGGCAAGGTTGGATACAATGGTTGTTGTTGTTGTGGAGGTTGTGGTTGTTGTTGTTGTTGTTGAGGTTGTTGGGCTTGTTGTTGTTGTTGGTATTGAGTAGATATGTTTTGATATTGCATATCGATGGAGTTAGATAATTGATTGAAGAATTTTTCAGCTTCATAGATGTTTCCATTAGGAACAGCAGGATTACCAGCTGGAGCAGCAACACCATTAGCATATCCGGTACTTACACCACCATAAGAAGCATGATGTTGAGCATTCAATTGTTGTTGTTGCTGTTGAGATTGGTGAGTGAAATGATCATCTACATGATTCAATTTATTGAACATTTCAAGGTTATATTGAACATCTGGCTTTATTCTCTTAGTTGGATATTCACCATTAACAACTTGTTGTTGATATTGTTGTTGTTGCTGCTGTTGCTGTTGTTGATGTTGGAATTGTTGTTGTTGAGTCATATTCTGGAAGTTGAAATCACTTAAAAGACTATTAACCACATACATATTATGTTGAGAATTATTTTCATATCTTCTCTTTCTTGAACCATCATCAAACGCCATTGCAGTGTCAACTTGAGCACCACCATAGTAATTAAAGTTTGGTTGTTGAGCCAATTCACCTCCCATCTTCTTATTCGCCAATTTAGCTCTTTGTTTAGCTTCCTTTTGTTGTTGTTTCAATAATTGTCTTTGAGCCTTCTTTAATTTCTTTGGATGGTCATCAGCATGAATCTTTGAATGTTTCTTTAAATCCTGAGGTCTCTTGAATGACTTTGGACATAAATCACAATGGAAAGGTTTCAAAGGAACATGAACTCTTAAATGAGAAGTAATATGATCTCTCTTTACAGTAGTTATACCACAATTTTCCCAATGACAAGTGAGCAGTAAATTATTTGAAGATTTTCTACCAACATGATCATCACATAAATGATCATATAATAATTCAGGAGCTTCAAATATTATCGAACAATCAGCCCAGGAACATTTGAATGGACCTCTTAAATCTTCTTCTCTAATCTTCTTATAAGTCTTCTTTGGAGGTTTGACTCCATTAAGGGTATTACCAGTTGCTGGTTGTTGTTTCTTTTTGAAATTCAAATCATTAACTGATGGAATACCGCCAACGTTTGGATAGAAAGAATTTACTGGAGGTTCATTTCCTTGTTGCTGTTGTTGTTGCTGTTGTTGCTGTTGGATCTCTTGAGTCATTTGAGTTTGAGTATAAAGATATGGTTGAGGGTAATATTGATTGTTATAAGCTTGATTAAGATTTGGATGTAATTGAGTTGGCTGTTGTGGTTGTAAATTTGGTTGACCAAATGTACCAGTTGGCAACGTAGATGGTTGCGGCATCAAGTTGGTTTGTTGTTGAGGTAAAGTTGGTTGTTGTTGTTGTTGTTGGACAACTGGGGGTTGGATTGCTTGATGTATTGGTTGTGGTTGTTTTGGTAAGCGTTGGAGATTGTTTGGTTGGATCTTAGCTGGTACCACTGGTGGTTGTTGCTGAAGTTGTGTTGGAAGTTGTTGTTGTTGCTGGGGTGGTGGCTGTGCTGGCTGTTGTTGTGGTTGTCTCTTAGCATCAGCAACAGGTGAGTTTGCTGTTGATTGTGATGTGAATGATGAATGTGGACTGCCATGATGTGAAGATGTTGCAGAAGATGGTGATGTCACATTATCCATCTCCATATCCAATGGTTCTGATCCACCACTACCCGTACGTTTAAGGGGAGGGTTGGTAGGGTTGATGTTAATATTATTATTATTGTTATTGGTGTTTGTGGAAGTTGAGGTTGATGTACTGGTAGAAGATGGTGGATTACCAGATGACAAGTTTGGTGTGCTATTGGCACTTGTCTGATTATTGGCATTTAAATAGGTGACTGGATGTAAATTATAATTCATCTTTGTCTGTCTGTCTGTCTGTCTATTTGTCGGTGTGTCTGTTTATCTATTTTCGTTTTTGTTGTTTGTGTGTCTGTTCTTTTTTAATTTATTTAAAGTTCTGTTAGTTTAATACTTTGATTAATCAATTGAAATAAATGATGAGTTTATATATAAAAGCCACTAATAAATTGTCTGATTATTTTTCCTTTTGGTAGAAAAGACAGAAGAAAATCTTGTTTTATTTATTAAATTTATAAGTAAAAAAAAGGGAGACGTAATGTCAAACTAAAAAAAAAAGTCTGATACAAAAAAAAAAAAGAATGTGGATAAATTTAAATATTTAATTAAAAATTAAAAAAAACCACGAACCGGAAGAAAAAAAAAAATGATTAAACAAAAAAATGTGCCAAGAAAAAAGGTCTGATCAAACATTAAATTTCTTTTGCTCAACTTCATGCAGGTAAGAATTTTAGTAAAAAAAGTGTGTCTTCCTTTCTAAATGGTAAATAATATTTGAACTTCTTTCATAGTGTAGTTTTTTTTCTTAGCGCCAAGAAGAAACTGTCTACTAAAACTTAAAAAGTGTCTGACTTCGTATTGCATCCAATAATAATCCGATTCTTTAATTTTAACTTATTTATTTTCTTATTACTCCTATTGTTATTTATAAAAAAAAACAACTTTACCAAGTCAATTATTTTGTCTGACTTGTTACTCAATGCTTCCTTTCTATGTTCGGATATGGTTGCAAAATTTCGGTTAGTCATTGTATTCCATTGTTCAATTTCAAAAAGAAAAAAAAACGTGTGCGCAAACCAAAAAAAAAAATGACTGACGTAATCTTATTGTAAACTGGCGAGACAATTGTCAACGGACAATAACGAGTGAATCCAAAAAAAAATAATTATAAAAAAACCATAAAAAAATAATGGTTATGTGCAGTTCTAAACTAATTCCCTCTGTAAATTTATAAATAAAAAAAACCACTCGTTAACTCCTGTTCTTTTTTGTACCCACTTCATCTTCTTTCAATTACATAAGAGAAAAACACCAACACGTGAGTTAATCTAATAATGTAGAACAAAAAATGGACGAGGAGGCTTATCTATTTTCAACGGCATCATTCTCAATCAAGGCTGTATGTGATGATACGGATATATGTTTTTCCAAAAGAGGAGAATACATCCACATCCATAATCATGGTGATTGGTAATCAATTTAAATTCCGCAATTCGTATCTTCAAATTCTTACAGCGTATCATTCAGATTTACAGGTCATTCTCTATTAGTGGGCCACTACATGGACTTGCGTAGCGATGCGTCAGCTTGCGTGGGTTCCACGTGAATTATTTTATTAGAATATGTTTCTTGTACTTATCATTTCACCCCTCAACTAAAAAAAATGTTTTCCGCCCTGACTGATAACCCCCCTCTCCCTCCTGCCTGCTTCCCTCGCGTAATTCTAAGCGAAATCGTTTTTATAGTTTTCTAACCCCCCCCTCCCGTTAACAAATAAAGTAAGAAGTGACAAAGGTGTTTTCACAAATTAGACATCTATTACTAATTGCTTCGTTATTATGGACCACCAATGTTAACATGTATCTCTACGTCTACCAAATTTGGGGTAACTCGTATCATCGTCAAGAAAAAAATTCTAATTCAAACGCCTATCTCTTTCTTGGTAATATTATTATGTGTGTATATCAAGAAAATTCTTAACCCATTCACGATCTTTCCCGAGGGATTAACTTTTTCAAAAAAGCCCACAAGCCATACATCAAAATTTTAAACAATTCAACATAAATTCAATTGACATAAAGACACCCATTAATGCATGGAGAATTAAATAGTCAGGGGACAGCAAAAAGATCACACGACTCAAAGTGAATTAATGCGAGACTTAGTAGAATATAGATCGAGATCTGACTTTTTTGTTCAAACCTTCTTTTCTTTGAAATAATTTACTTGCTTACATTCTTGCATCCATTTCGTTTGTAGGGTTAGGTCGAAATCGAATGTTTTTATTTTTTGGTGTTTTCTTGGAATTACTCACTTTTGTAACAAAAAGGTATCACCAAAGGCGTCAACAAGTACATCAAGAAAAACAAACATGCTGGACATGTAATTGATGAGTATTGGCAAGTAATTCAAGAAAATTCGCTTTTTCCGCCTAAATCTAAGAAAAACAATTACTCTCTGGCGGGTCTAAGTCCGGAATGAAAGTCTCGTTACCATTCAATGAGAGAGATTTTCATCTTGAATTTGCTTCGAACCTAAGAATGATCTGGCTTTGTTCATCCATCGATTCTCGGGATTGAAAGTCTTAGGTCTTTCTCTTTTTCGTATTTATCCGTCCAAGAAAATTACTTCTTTCCCCGTTTTCTAAAAGATCGTTCGTTATTTCCTGTCAATTTGAAATCGAAAGATCTGGCCATTAATTAGGAACTCTTTTAACATATGCCTTTGAGAAATGAGGAGTAAAACTAATAAATAGCGCAAGTTATACTGGTTCTTATCTCCAATTTTTTTCTCATTCGTCGGAGATTGTAATCAATGTCATATCTATCAACAAATCTTCCATATTAAACCGTATTGAATACACATAACAAGAAAATCTATTTTCCCTTTACTCAAGTCAATTCTATTTTCAAATCCCACTTTTTCTTAGTGGTATCGAGTAATTACAAGTCGATTTCAATAGAATATTCTATTTGTTTTCCGCTATTCTTGTTTCTTGTTGGAATCACAGCATGGATATCTTGTTTCTTGAATCTGGTCACAAAGTGGCCCCGTCGAATAATGTCAAACTTGACGGTTGCAAAAAGTACATAGACAAATTATTATAATCAAAGTATAATTCCTAGCTCAAAAGGGTTTTCACTAGGTGTTTGAAAACTGAGAAGACTAAAAGTACTCCCGAGGATAATCATAAATGCAGGCGGTATATGTGTATTGTTTTCTTGGAACCCCACTCGCACTTGTCAAACTATGACTAGGAGGAATGGTTGCATTAAAAATGTCTACGTTACCAAGATGTACCGTTTTATTGTTTTCGATTTGGGATTCATCACGGCTTTTGGCGGGTAAAAGCTCATCCTAAGATATCATAGACGTGAACATATTTTTCTTGGAAGTTTGGGAAGAGGATCAAAGATAAAAGTAAAAGGACATTAACGTGCGATTTCTTAAAATCACATTCCCGATTAATCCCAAATTTAAACTATTAGGTTAAATCCTGAGAAAAAATAAAACCTTAGTTCAATTTTTCTTTATTTTAAGTCACGTCAAAAATGCTAACAACTAATATATTCATGAATTCGATTCTTTTATTTAAGAACCGATCCTTTAAGTGATTCAAAAAATGCAAAAATATATGCCTTCAGCCAGATTCGAACTGACGATCTCCTCATTACTAGTGAGGTGCCTTACCAACTTGGCCATAAAGGCTTTCCTATATTTCTGTTATTTTCTCAGCTTTTCCGAGTTTTTAGGTTTTGATACCCGATTAGGAAGTTATAGCCGATTTTTTTCCTTTTTTTGAGCTCGTAAAATGATATACGAGAGATTGCAAAATATTGTTTTAGGACCCACAGATGTTCTTTATAGGCGAATTATCAAGTGTTATGAGACTCAGGTGACTTTAATGGTATAACCATTTAGAATATTACCTAGAATGTTTCCTTTTGGACTATAATTGTCTATTAATCTCTAGTTCCGGGAGAATAAACAAGTTTTCGCTAAATTATTGCAAGAAATCGAAGTACTGCAAGTTAATGAGTCTTTGAGTTTCTTCCAATCCTTATACCATTCATCTTTGAAAGGTTGATCTTGCTTTGCAATGCTAACACAACCATGAAGTGAACCAAAAAAGTTTAAGGGATGCTAATTACATCCCCTATCTATGAGACAA